CGTGGGCGGTGTTTTTTTTCCCTGTCCCGACAGAAAGTTTGAACCCACACCCCTTTAACACCCCCCCACACTCCCACACGGCCCCCCCCCCCCCCCCCCCCCCCCCCAACAACCCCCCCCCCCCCCCCCCCCCCCCCCCACTATTTTCCCGCCGCCAAACACACTCCGATGCTATTGTTTTCCCGCGTCACTTCTCCAACACGTTCCCTCACTGAGCTTTCAGTCACTCCAATCACTCGCGCAGAGCCTCGAAATATCTCGTTATAAACCACAATCGCGGTCGGTCGGATGTCTGCTCCACGTGGGTCGGATTGGAACCAAATTTACTAACAATCGAATCCTGCAGACCGCACAAGTCACCCCGACTCTCCCAATGGATATCGACCCTGCTCGACGCAACAAGAAGCCTCGTCTCTTGCTGGAGAATGAGCGCGAAAAGCTCGACGAGTTTGTGGATTCCATCCACTACTCGGCTCGGTGAGAGCGCAGTGACCCCGAGCTCGATCCCCTCACTAACTCTGTCCAAAAGATACAACGACGACAAGTTTGAATATCGCCACGTGCAGCTTCCAAAGAACATGCTAAAGAAAATCCCAAATGAATACTTTGACAGCGCTAAGGGAACCCTGAAGCTACTCTGGGAGGAAGAATGGCGCGCGCTTGGTATCACACAGGTATGCGAGGGATTTCATGTGATGATATGGGTCAAGACTGACACGAGTGCAGAGTTTAGGATGGGAGCACTATGAGGTGCATGAGCCAGAGCCTCATATCCTCCTGTTCAAGTAAGTACTCCCGGAACTGCTCGTTTGACGGGCTGGACTGATAGATCTGGCAGGCGCCCTCTGAATTACCAGCCCCCACTGCAACAATAAACTTATTTGTTCAATGGTGTCACCCTCAGCAGTCCAAGCACTCGAGGAGATATTCCTTCGTGGTCATCGATGGAACACGCGTTCAAAATATTGCTCACTAAGGACCACAAAAGCCTTCTAATTGAAGTGAAATGAGACAAAGCTTCGTTATCTCTTTTCCCGCCATTCCATTGACTTGCTAGACCCAGGATCTTTCTATATGCCCATCGAATCCTAGCCTCGCCTCGTTCGCAGGCGCCTTGGTGATTTTGGGCATGGCTATCAGATCACATTTCTGGTCAACCATTCTTCCCATTGGGCGGCGGTGAAGCCACTATTGATGCTGCGTTCTTCAGCTCCCTGGCCTTGGTGTTAGCGCTTCGCACCATAACTCTCTCAAGTTCCCTTACATTGAAGAAGACCGTGGGAGAAACGTGAACCCCCACCACTCGGTCCGTCTAGCCAACGTCAACAAAAAAAAAAAAAAAAAAAAAAAAAAAAAAAAAAAAAAAAAAAAAAAAAAAAAAAAAAGCCCCATCCAGAATCGAGCAAAGCAAGAATTGGAGAACAAGAGGAAGATTTACATACCTTGACCATCCATTTGATGTCGTTGGTCACTTGGTTCCCAGCATTGAGCTGGCCATCGTCACCGGGGGTTTCACTAATGGTTAGCAAATCGAGTAACTTATGTTCATCTACTCCAACACTCGCTCCCACTTTTGCAAGCCGTTCGTATGTCTTGTTGCGAGTTTCGTTTACCACGCTGATATCAAAGAACTCGGTCTGGCACTTGAACAGCGCGGCACTGAATTCCCAAAATTTCTCGGGGGCGAGTCGTAGGACGGCCGCTCCAGCCTCGTGGGCCAAGGTGGAAGATGGGTGCCAGGGTTGGATATGCTGCCGAAAAATGACCTGCAGCCGCGTACTATACTGTTGGGTGAGCAGGGGCTTCAAGGTGTAGAATGTATTGAACATCTTGGCTGAAAACTAGTAGTTTGTCAGCTCATCAGGATGAAAGCTCATGAATTTCCATCACTGACAGGGCACACATAGTCCAGATCTTGATACAGTTAGGAGTCCAAAGCTATTGGAGAGGAAAAGATGCAGTGGCAGCAGACATACACAATTCTAAGGTATGCGACGCTAGAGGCGTGGCACTGGAGAGCTTGAGCCCTGCAAAATGAGGAGTAACGGACATATGGGAAATCTGAAATCGAAGGCCCAAGAGACGGTGGATGTTGTTGGGAAGTTGTTAGAGCGGGGGCCGGGGCAGACCTGTTGAGACATGCCCTCCGCGTCATCTACCCGCACAAAGTACTATATTCAAACGAGATGAATTTGAGGACCATCTTTTTGTGCTTTACGTTGATATTGATACATAGTCTCTTCAATTACCCACTGCCCTTTGTCTTCGCATATTCAAATCCTTGAGTTCCATTTCCACCGTTCGCCATTCATGTCTCGCCGGATCAAACTCGCCCCGAACCTCAAAGCGACAGAACCCATTGGGCCCCTTCAAGCCAACTGGGCCCGTGATGAAGAAAGCTCCTCGACGAGGCGTTCCCGGATCTCGCGCCCGTTCGTTGTTGAGGCGTAGCTTGAATGCCTGTGATGCCAAGTGCAAGTCCGACCCGGGGCCGAGATCAGGTAACGGGATCCGTTGTAAAAAGGATATTAGGGCCGAGGGGTGATAGTTGGAGTTTTCGGCGTCAGGTGGCATGTTTTCTTTGAGACCCTCATTTAGGGGTGGCTGTACATTCGACTGCTCCTGTTTGCCATCGCAGGAGTCTTGCCCCTCGCCTGGCCCATTGGAATATATTGACAGTCCCGAGGCACCCTCTTTTGTTCCCACGGGATTTTTGAGGCGATCAAGTTGTCTCGCAAGCAGAACAAGATATGCATCGCGGATCGCAAGGACCACATGCATCGGTTTCATGAAAGTTTGCAGGCGGTCCCCGATATCAGGGTCCATCGGCCTTGAGGCCCAGGATATATTGCCACCTGCTATCTCCAGCCTGCACATGATTAGTTACTCGTTATTTCATCGAAGTGGAGAAGCACATACCCCGATCGTACGTAGCCAGGCGGAGCACGGGTTGGAAATTGGTGCACCAGCCAGAACCCGGTTAGTGCGAGAGGATCCCCCAGGATATTTGACATCTGATCACCGGCACTCGTGAGGACAATATTGGCGAGTTCATCTACGTGTGTGAGTACGGAGTTTGGAGAACAAAATAGGTTGCCCACCTCTAAGATTTTGGAGCTTCTTCCGATCTTTAGACAACCTCACAAATTCTTGCCATTCGGGGTCTGACGTGGTGTAGAGCTCTCCTTTCTGCAACCGAGACCAGGCAAGTGGTATGAATAGCGCATCCTCGTTGACAGTTTTTTCTAGAGTTTCGGCGTCTTCGTGCCTTTGATGCGAAGCTGTCTGTTCGGGGCGGGCTAGCGCCGGGGTATCGTTATCGTCCTCATCGTCAAATTGTACCAGGACGAATGTGCTCCAGAGATGGAATGCGGTGCCGTAGAGTAAGCATTTCGAAACAAACGACCTTAGGGATTGGCGTCAACCTTGCGAATCGCGGCATTAGAGAGTGCTTACCTGACCCAAGGCCGCCTGAACCTTACGTGTCGAACATTTGAGGAGAAGTTGGCACGAGTGTGAGTGGAGCGGAGAGACAGGCGTGTTGGAGGACTCCGTAGCAAAGACCTGAGCCGGAGCATTGGGAAAAGCCAATCCCAGGGGTATCACTCTCAATCGGAAATCATCTCAATCTGTGAAAGACGAAATTGACGCGAGATCCAGTCTGGCCCAGGGCGGCTCGGTGGATTATGTACTGGATAAGGGACAGGACGTACGTGAAGGTAGCACTTCGATAGAGCCTTTGCAGAGGATGAGGCTAGTACTCAAGGCGAGAATTGACCAAAAGCTTTCTCCAATGTGGGGAGTCCGGAGTAATCGTCCACGGGTGTTAACGCTGATGCAAAGTCATGTGATATCTTATCGGAGACCTCGCAGCCCTGGAGCTCCCTTCACTCCTCGACGCTCCAACGCTATTTATCTCGCCAGTCAGACACTTCCGAGGGGAAACTTTTGGATGCGGCAGCTGATACGCCGACTGCAAACATCACACACATTTCGTCTCGAGAACTCATTCCACTCAGCAAGATGCGTTGGTTCTCCACTTTGCTTGCCCTGGCCGCGACAGGCGCATTGCAGGTAAATGCCCGGGATGCCACAATCCTGACATTTCCTCCTGGATCCAAAGGTCCGCTCCACTCAGCTCCCAAACAGCAAGAACTTTCCCAGGAGGAAGCTCGACTTGTCTTGGAGCTTCGCATGCAGTCATCCGTGGCATCGGTCCTCGGAGTTGTTGATGCAGATACAGTAGGTCACTTGAACCATTTCGCCGACATTGACTCTGCTCTTTTCGGCGGATCTAGCAACCAACCCATTGGGAAGAGTTTGTTGATCCTGGAGGGGGTAGAGCAACGCACTGGTAAGTCGGGCTGGCACATGCCTGGCACTCCTGCTAACACTCCTCTAGCTTCGGAATTGCAAAGGAGTCAACCGGCCCATATAGTTGTTTCTCAAGTCTCCTCCAAATTCATCGATACGGATTTTCTGAAATCGTGCCTTGAAGTTGGGAATCACGGACACTATTGTGCATGGAACAACGGCGATGGAGTTACATCGATGAAGGCCCAGGTAGTGCTCTCAATTCCAAATAACTCGAACCCGGTCTCTAATTTTTTGTTCCATTTCACCCTAGACTTTGCCGGAATGCCTATCTCAGGACCCCATGCTTGCTGGACACCTCGGCTCATTCGACCGTGGCTCCCTGACCGTGATTGATTCCGTGCAAGATTGGACCAGTGTAGACAGTCAAATTTCCATCCTGAAATTGTCGTTCAAGGTAATCCCCTCCACATCGTTCAGCGAGCAAGATTCTAACCCGACGTTACCAGTCGCAGGGTTCAAGCAGCTCTGTTGCTGATTCCCGGTTGTTACGGTCTTTGATTAATCACCTGACGAAGCTATCGGCATCCAGCCAACGTGAAGTCACAGCCGTCATCTTACCACCAGGCTCTACATCTGTCACACTCAGCCGCCGAGGCGACAAGAGCATTCGGTCATCCGTTGGTAGCCAGAATATTGCCCAACAGTCCACCCAAGACTCATCTTTACTATCAACTCTGGCGCCTGTTTGCCATTCCTCAAACTCCTCATGCGCCGAAGCAACCAGAAATTGCTCTGGGCATGGCTCTTGCTATCTCAAGTTTGGAACCGGTGCTGAGGGAACCACAGGTAATTGCTACGCATGCAAATGTCAACAGAGCATTGTGAAGAACAGCGATGGCACCACAAAGACTATTCAGTGGGGTGGCTCCGCCTGCCAGAAAAAAGACATCAGCTCACCCTTTTTCTTGGTTGCGGGTGTCAGTCTTTTGGCCATCCTCCTGGTTGGTAGTGCCATCAGTATGCTCTTCAGCATGGGGTCGCAAAAGCTGCCGAGTACAATCAGTGCTGGTGTAAGCAATCCTAGAAGCCAGATGTGAGCGAGCTGTATCGATGGTAATGAGGGTTGTTTTGTTTTCTTCTTTTCCTCCCGGTTTCCCTGGAGCTTCACTTCCAAGGTTTCTTAAGGTTGTTTCCCGAGGTCCCGAGGTCCGCTGCCTGGAAGCACGTGACTTTGATTTCGCCTTCCAACCTTCGAAGGTTGCGTTGCCATAACTGTCACACTTCTTCCAGAGTATACACATAATATACCAGTACGTTTTGTAGGCCGGGAAATGATATTGCATAGCATGTACAAAATATGTAATTATCAAGGGAGAGGACGAGCGACGAGGAGCTCCCCGGCCCAATAGATAGACAGGAACCTGAAGGGATGTGAGTGGTGTGTACAATATGAAATTGCCCGCTCAAGGCACTTAGAACGATCAACAGGAAAATAAGAGGAGAGAAAAATGCCGAACGGGAATACCTGCAACCCCAAAATGAAACAAAGTAAGATCGTTATCCATGTACGCCGCAAGCCCAAGCCAAGTCAGGCTCAAAAAGAAGAAAGAAGGGAAAAGAATACACAGATGAGGTCGTCAAGCGAGAGATTTCAAGCCAACATTCCAGATGTTGTCCTGAATGCGAAGGGTATTGGTAGAATTAGGCGAATCGTGAAGTAAGATAGAAGAGATGTGCTCATGAGGTCCCTGCTTCCACTTGACGCGGGGTACGCTGCTCCGGAGAAAAAGGATCTGTGGACGAAGCCCCAGCCCCAGGGCTGGTACGAGAGTGGCGGAGAGTGGACAAGGCAAAAGGCCGACGAAGTCGACTTGGTATGAAACGAGACCAGCCAGGTTGGTCTTGGCCCGGGGCATGACTTGTATTCCAAGCCTCATCGCGCCTGCGCAGATGCTGGTCTTGATTGATGGGGATTTCTCTTTCGCCGAGATCACCAGGATGTTGTGTTCGGAACATCCGACCAGGCAAGACCATCTGGACGCGGAATCCATTGTTTCGACTGCCATGATGGGCGACACGGGCAGGCCTGAGGAGTGCATCCACGGGGCTTGCTGCAACCCTGCGGCCTCGACGATCAGCCGACTGAGCTTCGTGCTCTGTTCGAGGTTTTGGCACGTAATAATCGGCCTTGCACAGAGGGCAGCATGCCCGCCGGCTCGTCAGCCAGGGGTCGACACATGAAGCATGGAAAGCATGCCCGCATGTAAGCCCTCGGACATCATCGTCATCTTCAATGACGTCGAGACAGATGGCGCAAGAATCACCAGGGTTGGGCAGGAGATCTGCGGGTACCGCGTTTTGAATGTGTTCCTCATCGGCTTCTGGGTCGAGATTCATGCTTTCGGTATGCTGCCACTTTTCCGGAATCACCGCGCTGGGGTTATTGTAGGTTGCTGTCGTTTCTGGCACCGGAGAGTCATCTTGGCCCGGAAGTTTCAAATGTGAGTCTTCCAGGGATCCCGTAGAGACACAGGAATCCATCTGCCGGTGACTCTTGGGGTGTGGTTCTACAGCACTTGAAACATCGATGACGGTTGTCACTGCGTCATGTTCATCCTTCAGACTTGGTGGCTGACTGTTTGGGGCCGTGATGCCTCCCTCGGTGGAAAGACCTTGATTGGCGCGAGAAGACCTCCAGACTTTGTATTTGGCCAGTGGGAACCGCCCGTTGACTTCCTCCATCGTCATCAGCTTTTTCTCCCTTCTCCTCCGGTGCGTTCGTGGCATGGTCGCTAGATCGATGGGGTCCCCAGCCTCCTCGTTTGAAGCGAGGCGATTGCGTTGGTTATAGCGAAAGCAATATTTCACGCCCACGATGATCCTGCGCGGGTTGTTAGAAGGCAACCAACTTGAAGGCAACTACCCGATAAGGCAGGCCCTGCGACATACCAGAGATTGGTGAATACCACACCAAAGCCTAGGGCGACGAAGAACAGCAACGGTGAGCTGGTGGCATTATTCGAACCCGACCCCTCTCCGCTCCCAGCAGTGGTCGTCGCCGCACTGGTAGCGGTTGATGTCGCCGTTGACATTTTGAATGAGCGGTGCAAGTAAGCACCCGGGGCCGGTTCAGTGGAAAGGATACAAATCGACCATGCCTCGGGTTCGGTGTACAGGCCCTGTACGTAATTTCCCGTCGAGTGCAATCTGTAAGCTTGAATCTCAAACCTCTTACGGAGAACCGTAAAGAGGAGGCTTCAAAGAGTTTCAGAGAGTTGACTGGAGAATGTTCATGTCCAGAGCAGGGAGCGATGGAGAGAGAGGGAGAGAAGAAAAAGTGATGTGGATCATCAAGATGTTAATGCGGAGACGTCACGGGACGTATTTCTCTTCCCTTTGAGATGCGAGGGACACGCCAATAGAGGTGAGACAGTGGCCCCTGTGCTCTCACACTTTCACTATTACGGATGTCACCGTAATCACTGATCTTATAACATGACCAACCCTGTTGTGTTCTTTGATATTGCCCTCGGGGGTAAAGTCTTCGCCCCATCGATGACCCTACTTCCACTGACATGCCTTAGGGGAGTCCCTCGGCCGAGTCAAAATGGAGCTGTTCGCAGATGTCACCCCGCGGACTGCGGAGAATTTCCGCCAATTCTGCACTGGTGAGACCAAGGGCCCCAAGGGACAGCCTCAAGGCTACAAGGGAAGCAAGTTCCATCGAGTGGTGCGTGACCCCAATTGGTGTAGCTTGAGGCTGGACTGACCGGCGCAGATCAAAGATTTCATGATCCAAGGTGGTGATTTCATCAATGGCGATGGAACTGGGTCCTGCACCATTTACGGCACCTCCAAATTTGCCGACGAAAACTTCACTCTGGCCCATGATCGTCCCGGCCTGTTGAGCATGGCAGTATGTCTCCCTTCGGTCTGAGTGAACCCTTCACTGACCCGTCAGAACTCCGGTCCCAATACGAATGGCTGTCAATTCTTTATCACAACGACATCCACCCCTTTCTTGAACAATAAGCATGTGGTCTTTGGTCAAGTGATTGACGGCATGGACATTGTCAAGATGCTAGAGCACACTCGCACCACCAAAGACAAGCCCAACCAGGATGTTACCATCGTGCAGTGCGGAGAAATGTGATCAATGCCATGGACTTTGGGATGTTCTGATTGATTTACGTGTGTTTCATGAAGCCAACCCATGTCATGTTGAATATATTTCAGACTGAGCCCCTCAGAACCGCAGAGGCAGTGATTGTTCAACGGACACAAGCTTAAAAAAAAGTAGAACATGATATACGGGAAATGTAACTAGAGCTTGAACTTGCTCAGATAGTCAGTAGCCAGGGTCAGGGCATCCTCCACCTTGTCGGCGTTGGTGCCGTTTCCAACGGATGTAGGTCCCTTTCCTCCGGCTTTTCCACCCACTGCCCCAGAGACGACGGCCGCCCAGTCGCTGGCGGAGGCACCTTGACCACTCAATTCCTGTGAAATTGTCAGTCTTTGAGATATCCAAAATTTTGGAATCGCTTACCTGGGAGATATAACAACCGTGGGAAACCCGACCTTGCTCAGAGTCGGCAGCCAAAAGATACACACTCTTGCCTTGCAATTTGGACTTGACGTGGTTCAAAGATTCACTGACAGCCTTGGAGTTGGCCGTGATGGGGAGCTGAACCACGAGCCACGATTTATCCTTGTTCTCGGGAGCCTCGAAGTAGGAAGTAATGGTGTCCACGGCTTTCTTGGACTCGAGCTTTTGTTGAGCCTTCTGGCCATCAAGAACCTGCTTGTTGATCTTGGCAAAGCGATCGCGGAGCCGGGCCTTCTCGACCGCGGAGATCGTGAGCTGGTTGAGATCAACCTGAACCTGCTTGGCCTCGCGTTCCTTCCCAGGTCCGAGAGGCAAGCTGTTTAGCTTGTCGAGGCGCTGGTTAAACTCCTGAGCAACGCGCTGCACCTCATGGGCCTCTTCACCGGTGACAGCGATGATGCGACGTATTCCCTTGGCAATACCGTTTTCTTCCAGGATGATCAGATCCTTGATGTCGCCCGTCTTTTGAACGTGAGTTCCACCGCAGAATTCGATGCTCACTTCCTTCCAACGAGGATCCTTGACATTCTGAAGGATCTCCTCCAGTTCCACGCCGACGGACACGACGCGGACAGGGTCAGGGTAGGTCTCGCCGAATACGGCTCTGACGCCAGAAATCTGCTGAGCAGTGGCAAGAGGGACTTCCTGAGAGTAGACCGCACAGTTCTGGCGGATATACTCGGTAGCCTTGGCTTCAATCTTCTCCAACTCAACGTCTGAGATGGCACTCTTGTGCGAGAAGTCAAACCGAAGCTTTTCGGCAGCTACGAGAGAGCCCTTTTGATCCACACCATCGCCAAGAACTTCCTTCAGAGCGAAGTTAAGAATGTGCGTTCCAGTGTGGTTGTTACGGATCGGCCAGCGACGGAGCTCGTCATACTCGCAAATCACAGAATCACCAACAGCGAACGATCCATACTTCATGAATCCGGTATGCAAGACGTATCCAGCATAGGACTGAACGTCGCCAACCTCGAGCTCTGCTTGACCGTCAATGATGATCTTACCAGTGTCGTTTTCCTGACCACCCTGCTCGGCATAAAAGTTAGTGCAGTCGAGGATGACACCAAGTTGGGCTCCCTCTGGAACTTTGTCGGTGTTGCTGTAGAAATTCTTGCCATGATAGATGGCCTTGACGTGAGAAGTAATGTTGCCGCGGCCAAACTTAGCAGAGTCATCGGTCTTGAGGACGTCATTCATTTTTTCCAGGTTTCCAAGGTCATGGACGTCGAGCTTGACGGTGTTCTCCGCAGTCTTCTTCTGTCCCTTACTGGCTTCCTTGGCCTTGAGGCGGGCTTCTTCGAACTCGACATCGTCGATACAGAGGCCACGCTCCTCGGCCATGATCCGGGTGAGGTCCACGGGGAAACCGAAGGTATCGTACAGTCGCCAGACATCGGCACCGTGAAGCTTTTTGGTGCCCTTGACTTTGCATTGTTGCGCGTACTGCTCAAATTGACGCTCACCTCGATCCAAGGTCTTGGCAAAAGATAACTCTTCCTCATCCAGGATTTCGATGACATCCTGCTGTTTGCGCTTGAGTTCGGGAAACATCTCACCCAGCTGATCCACCACGGTGGGCACGAGTTTGGCAAAGAAGTTGCCAATGTCCACCTGGAAATACTTTCGGGCATATCGAGCACCGCGACGCAACACACGACGGATCACGTAGCCACGGCCCTCGTTATTGGGAATGACTCCATCCGAGATAGCAAACATCAGAGTACGCACGTGGTCAGCAACGACACGGTAGGCTGTGTCGATGCCATCGACATCTTCGGCACCGAAGTGACCACGATATTCCCGAGCACCGGTAGCATTCTGGATCGCCTGGAAGATGGGAGTGAACACGTCGGTGTCGTAGTTGGAGGACTTGTCTTGCAGAATAGACACCAATCTTTCAAAGCCCATTCCGGTGTCAACGTGTTTGTTGGGAAGAGGTCGGAGGGAGCTGTCCGCCTCCCGGTTATATTGGATGAAAACGTTGTTCCAAATTTCCAGCACGTTGGGATCATCTTCGTTCACGAGATGAGCAGCATTACGTCCGCCGATCCGATCGTAGTGTACTTCACTGCAGGGTCCACAGGGGCCCTGATCACCCATTTCCCAGAAGTTGTCTTTCATATCTCCGGGCAGGATGTGATCTTCGGGAACACCCACAGACTTCCACAATTCCTTAGCCTCGAGGTCCGGCTCCAAACCGCCAGCCTCGTTGCCCTCGAAGTAAGTAACATAGAGACGGTCCGGATCCAGACCATAGACCTTGGTCAACAAGGTCCACGAGTATGTGATGGCCTCTTTCTTGAAGTAGTCGCCGAAACTCCAGTTACCGAGCATTTCGAAAAATGTCTAAGGCTGTTTAGCATCGTGGCTTGAGTCCATCGTGGTTCCCATTCTTACATGGTGGTAGCTGTCCTTGCCCACATCATCCAGATCCTGTGTCACCAGTCAGTATATGGACAGTCCCTCTCGCAGCTTGACCTGGAAAACCCACGTTATGCTTTCCACCGGCGCGAAGACACTGCCGACCGTCGTTAGCTGTCAATTCGTCAGTGCGGGGAGTCGAATGTCCGATACTTTTTGCGAGTTTGCCGCCCGCTTCAGCTTGCCAAAGTCCGAGGATGGGTCCACGGTGCCAAGGAAGATGGACTTGAACTGGTTCATTCCCGCATTGGTGAACAGGAGCGTCGGATCCGACAAGGGAGCGACGGGCGAGGAGGGAACTATGCGCACATTGTCAGTGGGATGGTGGGGGTCTTGGAGGGGTCGAAGGAAAAACCGATCCAGGGCCTCGACGTACCAAATGTATGACCATTTTGCTTAAAATAGTCCAAGAAAGTCTCACGGACTCGTTGAGCGGACCAGTCACTGTTGGAGGCCATCCTGGGGGTGAAAGAGTTGGGGGACGGAGAGTGCACAAAGCGAGAGTAGAATGTTCTGGGGTTGCAAAAGATATGAGTCAAGCCCCCGGTTCTCACAGGAACCCGCATCGAGAGCCAAAAGAACCCCCTCAGGTATGCCCTTGGCCCCCTCCTTCCGGATCTGGTGAATCTTGGTCTTCTTTTCTTTTCTTGTGGATGGCGCGCGATGAAGGAATTCAATACGGGAAGAAGCGCCCGGCACCAGACCCCGATGCGCAACCACTAGCGAAGCGGTTTGGTCGGCTACGTATAGGTATCGCTCCCCGACTGGATAGGAATGTGACAGCTCCAAGATGTGCTAACCCGTCGTTTTCTTGTAGACAACAGCGTGCCAATCTCCGCTCGGACCAACCCCAAGGGGTGCGAGTCTCCCTCTCAACCCGATACAATGCTCTTGGATGACACCCAGCACACCACGTACATACACAACCTGGAGCAAGAGCTGGCGGAAATTGACACGCCCGGTCTCGTCTTTGCTCCCTTTGCCGAGAAAGTGTTATCAGTGCCTCAATCGGTGCTCTACACGAAGCCCTCCGGGACCGAACTGGTTCTCTACACAGAACCGTGTTCCTTGACGGTGCCCAAAGACAAAGACAACGTGCGCAAGGCGATCCTGGAGTCTCGCGCGAGAGCCCGAGAGCGCAATTCAAATGTCATTGGGTCTGGCGACCCAGATGCGGACGTCTCTACTGACTCTACAATGGTCGCGGTGCCTGAATACGATCCGATGGATATTGACGAATAGCGGGGATATACAGAGAAGGGAACTCCGTAGTGGGGAGCAGAGCTGAAGATGCAAGATACCAGCCTACTAGTCAACGAAATAGTAACTATGTAGATGCCCCCAGTCTGTTCTGTACAAGTACATAGGTAGGAGGAAAGAGACTGGGAAGATCACATGACTCACCGCCCTCGAAAATTCTGCATTTGTGGCACTCGATTAAATATGCACTCCATTTCGATCGAAAAAAATTTCCTCTTTCCCCCACCATCCCTCCAAAACCCTCTCTTCAATTCCCATACTAAATATCACAATGGCCGACATTGAGGTCTTCGACGGTGCCGTCGGTATCGATCTGGGTATGCTTTTCTCCCTCCATTTTCGAAACGCACAGCTGATTAGGGCTTTTCTCCTCCAGGTACCACCTACTCTTGCGTTGCCAACTACGAGGGCACCAATGTCGAGATCAGTATGTTTTCCCCCGCTCGCCACACGGTGCAAGTACTGACTGGATTTAGTTGCCAACGATCAGGGTAGCTACACCACCCCCTCCTTCGTCTCTTTCACCGACAAGGAGCGTCTCATTGGTGATGCCGCCAAGAACCAGGCTGCTATGAACCCTGCCAACACCATCTTCGATATCAAGTGAGTATTGCGACTGGGGTTTCTTCAAGGCCTGGAATTCGATCTTTTGCGCATTCCCCACAATTCGTTTTTCCCTTTTGAGGGCTTTCTGGATTTTTTTTTCTCTAACCCGAAACCAGGCGTCTGATTGGTCGCCGCTACGATGACCCCATCGTCAAGAAGGATGTTGAGTCCTGGCCTTTCAAGGTCATCGACCAGGGTGGCAACCCCGTCGTCCAGGTTGAGTACCTCAACGAGACCAAGACCTTCACCCCCCAGGAGATCTCCTCCATGGTCCTCATGAAGGTAAAGCGAAGAACCACTACAGTTGATAGATCGGCATGCTGACCCACCCAACAGATGAAGGAAGTTGCTGAGATCAAGCTCGGCAAGAAGGTTGAGAAGGCCGTTATCACCGTGCCCGCCTACTTCAACGACAACCAGCGTCAGGCCACCAAGGATGCCGGTGCCATCGCTGGTCTTAACGTCCTCCGTATCATTAACGAGCCCACCGCTGCCGCTATCGCCTACGGTCTCGGTGCCGGAAAGTCCGAAAAGGAGCGCAACGTCCTCATCTACGATCTCGGTGGTGGTACCTTCGATGTTTCCCTGCTGAACATCCAGGGTGGTGTCTTCACCGTCAAGGCTACCGCTGGTGACACTCACCTTGGTGGTCAGGACTTCGATACCAACCTCCTTGAGCACTTCAAGAAGGAGTTCCAGCGCAAGACTGGCAAGGATCTCTCCGGTGATGCCCGTGCTCTCCGTCGTCTCCGCACTGCTTGCGAGCGTGCTAAGCGTACTCTCTCCAACGCCACCCAGACCACTGTCGAGATTGACTCTCTCTTCGACGGTGAGGACCTTAACTCCTCCATCACCCGTGCCCGCTTCGAGGACCTTAACGCCAAGGCCTTCTCCGGTACTCTCGACCCCGTCCAGCAGGTCCTTAAGGACTCCGGCATGGCCAAGAACAAGGTTGACGAGATTGTCCTTGTTGGTGGTTCTACCCGTATTCCCCGTATTCAGAAGCTTCTGAGCGACTTCTTTGATGGCAAGAAGCTCGAGAAGGTACGATGAGACCTCTGTTATTCATACTAGACCGCTTTGCTAATCCTGGATGATAGAGCATTAACCCCGATGAGGCTGTTGCCTACGGTGCCGCTGTTCAGGCTGGTATTCTCTCCGGCAAGGCTACCTCCGCTGAGACTGCTGACCTCCTCCTCCTGGATGTTGTTCCTCTCTCCCTCGGTGTTGCTATGGAGGGTAACATCTTCGCCCCCGTTGTCAACCGTGGCCAGACCGTTCCCACTATCAAGAAGCGCACCTTCACCACCGTTGTCGACAACCAGCAGACCGTTCAGTTCCCCGTCTACCAGGGTGAGCGTACCAACTGTGCCGATAACACCTCCCTGGGCGAGTTCACCCTTGCTCCTCTCCCCCCTATGCGCGCCGGTGAGGCCGCTCTCGAGTGTGTCTTCGAGGTTGACGTCAACGGTATCCTGAAGGTTACCGCCACTGAGAAGTCATCCGGCCGCACTGCCAACATCACCATCTCCAACGCCGTCGGCAAGCTCTCCAGCGCCGAGATCGACCAGATGGTTGAGGATGCTGACAAGTTCAAGTCCTCCGACGAGGCCTTCACCAAGCGCTTCGAGTCTCGCCAGCAGCTCGAGTCTTACATTTCCCGTGTTGAGGAGATCATCTCCGACCCCAGCATGTCCATGAAGCTCAAGCGTGGTAACAAGGAGCGCATCGAGGCCGCCCTCAGCGACGCCATGGCCCAGCTCGAGGTTGAGGACTCCTCCCCCGAGGACCTCAAGAAGAAGGAGCTTGCTCTCAAGCGTCTGATCACCAAGGCTATGGCCACACGGTAAATGCATACAATTGGATGACATGAACATAGACTTACGGCCAACGAATTTTTCTCTTTCCCGGGACTCTGCTTCTCAGGGAATCTGCACCTAGACCCAGGGCAGAGTTGGTCTCTGTCGCGCTTTGTTTGTGAAGCCGGGCTTTGGGCGCAGTTTTCTTTTCTTGAAAAGTACGATTTGTTTTGTTTTTTTGTAGACGAAGTTCGCCATCTGCAATTTAATGACATTGTGATGACCTTGTCGCTATTATTATGATCATATTGTTCGCTGTAGAGCTTGTAGACCCTCGCAGACCCTCGAAGTAGACCACGAACACAACCTCGGGAGCAATCGCGCTTAGGCGAAGCTTGGAAAAACGCCGAGTTTTAGACCTTTCCCTCCCCCCTTCCCCTACACCAAACCCATCATGCAACGTATAACCCTCACGCGTTTCATTGCCCTTCGTGCTCCTCTGCGCGTTCCCCTGCGCGCTCACCGACAGCCATTCCATATTCTATCTCAAGTCCAACATGCGATACCTCGCAGCCGTGGGTTTGCCCATTCACCCATCCTACACAAGAAGAAGGATAAGGCCAAGAAGGTCTCCGACCCCGAACCGGAGACGGCGAATGCTGCCGAGGATCCATTCGACCTTTCTCAGTTGCACAATGGCATCTCCGCCGCTATCAACCGGTTGAAGGATGATCTATCCAAGCTCCGCGCCGGGGGGCGGTTCAACACCACAGTCTTGGAAGGCTTGAGAGTCCAGCTCAGCAAGGACAGCAAAGATTTGATCAAGTTGGGAGATTTGGCCCAGGTCATCCCCAAAGGAGGGCGCATGGTTACTCTATTGGCCGCCGAAGAGAATGTGAGTTCTCAATGCGCCGGTTTGGGGTTCCTTTTTCCCGTCTGCTTTTTGTTTTGGTGATTTTTGTTGAGAAAAAACTTGGTTTGGCTGCTCACTGAGTCTCATACTGCGCCTTTGTCTGCAGGCTCCGGCTAACACTTGGTCTAGCACCTGAAACCTCTTACTTCAGCTATTGTCTCGTCCAGCCTGTCCCTCACCCCCCAGCCTGATCCACACAACGCCCTCCAGCTCAACATCCCTATTCCGCCACCCACGAAAGAATCTCGAGATAAAAGCGTACAAGCGGCAAAACAGGCCTTTGAAAAGGCATCGGGTTTAGTCCGCGACTCTAGAGGCGCCTTACACAAGCGTCTTCAGGACTTGCAGAAGAAGAAGCTTGCTCGGCCTGACGATGTGCGCAAAGCCCACGATCAGATGGAGAAAGTTGCAGAACAAGGCCACAAGGAGGTCAAGGATGCATTTGAGGCCGCTAGAAAGACTCTAGAACAGGCGTAAACACCTCGAGAGCTTACTCAAGAACAGGTGGGACATTCGGCAATGTGAAAACATTCGCGAATTGGCACATCTAGATACAGGGTCGATGGAAATCGTGGGTAACGCATGGAAAAGGAACCCAGAACAAAATATATAATACAGACACCCCCCGTTTAGCTCACGTATCGTTGAACATTCTCATCGTCCCCCCACACCCTTACTGGTATCCTATGACATGAGACGCTTCATCTCATCCAAGAACTTCCCGCTCTGCCCGGTATAGGTCCGATTGTTCCGGAGCTTTTCTTGCAGCTGAACCAGCGCCGGGTGAGCATCAGCCTCCGATTTCTTGAGCGGGTATTGCCCCACGACGCGCGACTTCATGATTGCCTGGATCCGGGGGGATTCGGGGCCAGTTTGACGGAATTGGACTTCGTGGGCCTCGCAAAGCTCACCACGACGCTCTGACACTTGGTTGGCGATTTGTCGGCTCAAACGGTTGGCCTCTTCCAAGGCTTCGGCCTTCTCGCTCTCACTGTGGAAAACAACGTTTTGCTGCCGTTGAAGTCGGCGTCCGAGCTCACTGATGGCGAGATAACCTCCGGCAATGCGACCGCTTCGGCGGGAAAGCTCCTGGTACACGGTGGCCGAGTGCGCATTCGCATCGGTGGGTATTTGAGGCCAGGTGTTTCTCAAAGAAGAGAGATCAATCTCCACCGGCTCGTAGCGAACAGCAGTTGGACGAGATTGAATGACTTGTTCTTGCTGAATCTGTTCAATGAGCGCCGCTTGTGCATCTTCACCTGCGGTGTCCTCGGCCGATTTGGCTCCACGTTGAGCTGTACGCTTGCCCTTCCCCTTGGGCTTGCCTCCCTTGGCCGTTGGCGTCGCGTTTCTCTTTGGGGGTTGACCGCCGGGCCGAACGTTACGAGACCTGGGGCTGCGGATGACTTTAGCTTGCTCTCCCCCACCAGCCTTGGACGCAGCAAAGGATCTAGCGTCAATCACTCGTGGCGGGCGGGCATTATTCGGGGTAGAGCGAGGGCCGTTGGAGTTGTGAGGTCGGCGGTTGGGACCCGCAGGACGAGGATTCGGGGTGTGGTTTGCTGTTGTTCGATGTTAGCGGAAGCACATCAGTCAATCTTTGGCACACATTGCAATCGTATTGTTTGCAATCTCTCGTGAATATGTCTGTGTACATACCAGAAGGCTGGGGCTGCTCTTCTGCCACCGTAGGGGTGTAGGAGAACTGCCGGGCCGGCGTGGAAAGCCCGATCTTGACACGTTCGCAGCGCAGAGAAAGATGCCTCAACTGTGGTCGAAACATCTTGTAGTCCAGCTCGACCAGGTAAACCAAGTTGTATAAAACGGGAGGAGCTTGGGACACGGTCGTCGACGAGACTGAAAATGCACAGCACGTGACACACCGCCCTTGACACCGTCCACCTCTCGACGAGATGCCACTGCACAATCAACGAGATCCCGACTTACGACTCTCGCCATGCTTCGCCGAAAGCCAACCGCTATTGCCATCACATCTGAGGACCTAGCTGCGTTTGAGGAAGCTAGACTCCGCAAACTGTCCGAAGAAAATAAGCAGACAGAGTCACACTCCAAGGGAGCTTCTAATGCCAACTTCGACCCCAGCGATGAGTTGAAACCACTCCCAGGGGACAAGGCTAGGATTGTCAGGTCGCGCGAAGAACGCATAGGCCTTGCCAGACGTGCCTGAAGTTACTCTTGCTGCATGAATTCCCGAAGAAACCCCTTGCCCAAGCCACCACCTACAACAATGCTATACCGACAGAGGATCCATGATTCGATTGTGACATGGTTACTTTGGGTTTCCCCTACCCCTTGGGACTGCCGCTACGCGCAACTTAGAGAGCGAGTCAAATCAAGCTTGAAGCAATGAAGATCTCACTGTACTGCCCTTTATTTACTCGCCAATGACACTGTACTGTGCACTTCCCAACACCCTGTCGGTATACCACGATGGAGAGACAATACTTCTGTTGCTTAGCAGTTCCCATTTTCCATTTTCCATTTTCGCGGCTTATGCGACTCGATGTCGGAGAATCAACCATACGCCCGATAATGAGGAGACCCGGAGGCCTTGCATTTATGCATCGAAGGAGCACGAAGAGAACCAGCGACCTTCAGAACCAGTGTTATTACTTGACCAGTGTGGCATTATTGTAGCGTCAAATCGGCAACACTTGATACAGCCCCCCTACTATGTACAGAAACCATTGCATGTCACCGTGTCAATCAATGACATCTGCTCAAAAATTGTCTGTTCTTTCCAACATTTCCATTGTATATTCAATTTAACCAGGAGACCGGGTGACGACCCCAAATTGTGATGTACAGCGGGGACCAATGGTTCATACATCGTGACAGCCTTGGCTTAATGTGACATTTGTGTTATTGGGTCTTCTCCAGCGTAGCCAACCTAATGCTCGCTGGTACTCCAGAAGTATATAAAAAGAGGTGTTTCTCCTGGTGAGGCTGGCATTGAAAGGCAGGTATAGCAAATCGAAAAAAGAGCCTCGAATTTTGCCTGTGGCAGGCCAAGGAGAACCCGGGCCACTTCGACACGAGAGAGTCAAAGTTAAAGGTGTCAACTTATCCTCGCTGGCGTTTAGACATAGTGTCAGAGGCCATGTCGCCTGGATAGTTCCACCGTCTCTTCACTCCTTGTGGATCGTAGACACTAGCAACACTCTGCTGCCAGTCTCGTGCGGAAAATACCACCGGGGGTGCCTGGAACTGCGGGGGGGAAAGGGATTGGGATGAGGTTACGGAGGGCACCTTGTGAGGTGTCTCGTATTGAACGGGATACTGGGAGTTCATGACATTTTGAACACCGGGGACTGCGTTGTTCAATGGCATCGGCGGGGAATTTGCGCTAACGGTGGAGGGATTCACGGAGAAGGCCATATCCCATTGTCTAGGGCGAGCGGTGAGTTAGATCGGTGAGGTGCTGCGGAAGCCGTGTACATACGTGATGATGCGGGTTGGATCCCAGCTTTGTTCGTCGACCAACGGAGCATCCATTGGGTGAGTAGCGTGGGGCTGATGGGCAACCATTCCGAGGGATTGTAACTGAGAAGAAGCGTCGGGCTTCGAGTCTTCAGCACCAGCCGATATTGGAGGGGTTATTGGAAGCGCATGGAAACCCACTCTGGATTGAACTTGATTCAAGTGCGGATGGTAGTGTGCATCCATCGGTGGACTGGGTTGATATGGCTCCGAGGGGCTTCCATAGGGGAAACTGGGTTTGAGCTCGAAAGGACGATGCATATCAGCAGAGAAAGCCAGTCTGAGGGAATCGATTTGAGCCTGAATCTCGGGCATAGGCCAGGCGGTTGAGCAAGTCTCCAGGATTCTCATGTGTCGGGTGAAAAATTCCCGGGCGTCGGAGTTGAACTCAGGGTCTGGCGAGGTGATGGCAACCTGCTGGTGTCAAACAACCAGGGCAATGTCATAATCAACACTAGGACGCTTACCAGATGCAACATGGTGCATGTTAGAATACAGTAAATGGCAAAGTTGATACCTCTTTGCATGTAAAGAAGTCCAGACAGTCCAAAGCGCTGCAGGATAGCCTCCTGCAGCCGGCACAGACTCTTTGCTGAAGAGTAGCATAGTGACATGTGGATCTTCCATTCACCTCCGGCGGCAAAAGACTGGGAGGCAAGAAGCTGAGGGCGATGTAACAGGATGATAGCGAGGTGGCAGTGTGAGTGCATATTGCCCACGAAATGAGAGGGAAGCCATGGCGGAGAGCCATCGGAGGGGTAATTAACCTGGAGATCAGAAGGCAGGGTTCGAAGCCAGTCCGCGAAAAGGGGGTTATTTTGCACGAATCGGGCATCCGCGCCCCAATCCTTTTGCTTTTTAACCTTGTGGTAGATGTCTGTGATGATGCGAATGTGGTGTGCGTTGCGAACGAAATACGCGTACTGTCTGGACCGATCACTCTCGTAATGATCAAGTCCCCTGATATCTAGAATCGGACGCATATCCACCGTCTCAGGATCTACTCCGTAGTCCGAGCGACCTGTTGGGGTCAGCTTTGAATTTTTTCCACCCTGGCGTCTCTTCCCATCTGATGGGACAACATTGACCTACCTTGTGGCGCACCGATCATGACCTCGACCACCAAAAGGGCCTGCCAGATTCGGGTGTGCACCAAGCATTCAATGGGGCTCAGGCCACAGGGCTTGCCCTCGGCGTGGTTGCTGTAGTGCTCGTGGATGTCCAGATCCTTCGCCATCGAGACAATGGTCTTGACGGTCTGCCAGGATCGATAGTAGTAACCCTTCTTTGGGAGCGATTCTCGAGCTTTCAGTAACAGAAGTAAGGCCTGAATGGTACTTAGACGAGGTACATCCATGAAGCTCGTTTCATGTCCTGAGGATTGTTAGGTACAGAAGAGAGACAAAAACTAATCATAGCAACTCACGATTTGCCAGAGCAAGCCACTGAGCTCCCTCGGCAGGCTCGTCGGACAAGCGGCCCGCACATGCAAAGAGAGCCTCAAGCAAGAGGGGAGAGATAGAGCGACGATCATGCTGCCACTGGTAATATAAATGGGCTCGTGAAATGACAGGGACGTAAGGGTGTATCTCATCAAAGTAAATCTTAAAATATGCCATCACATCGTCTTCTGCAGGCATCAACTCAGGCGGGATGCGAATAGTGGCACCAGAACCGGTACTCAAGGGGGGCAACCTTTCTTCGCTCTCATCTTGGACAGGAGCATCGGGTTCAACGCGATCTGTCCGTTGTCTTCTAATATAAGGGGCTTTGTCGGACAAAAAAAAAGTGTTAGCCACTCACGGAACCAAGACGCTTCCAGAGATGAGATGCCCTACCGATTCCAGTCTCGTCGATCTTAAGCTCTCCAAGCACCTCGCTAAGATTCTCGGCGGTTGATTGGTCGTTATCCACATAAAGAGACCTATCTGAGGTGCCAATCGATGGGGTTTGAGGTCCAGTGTACATGTGCGGCTGCTGGTATGCCTGCGGGGCCATTGCGATTGGCGGCGAACGAAGGTCGCTGTACATGGCCGGCTGTGTCTGAGGGGGAACAAACTGGGAATATATGTTCATCTGCTCGTAGGGCATGGTGTTCATGGGAGGTTGAGTGTCCCGATACACCGGGGGCACTGGGAATGTGTGGCCATCCACTGAGGTAGAAGGACCCCCGGTTTCCATTGTGGATTCACCCTGACCGTCTGGTAGGAAATCCCCATCTTGCCCGATGGTGGGAGGGACGCAGACCAACTTTAAACGAGTGCATGCAGAACACGGCCAAGTATTTGTTGTGGCCGCATCGCACTTGATTTTTCTCTTCCGACACCCGTTACAGGCTCGCATCACTAGATTAAGCTAGTCAGCGTCTTATAGCTAGGTGGATCTCCAAGTGGCCATACCCTTGAGCCGCTTGTGTCGGTTATGCTCATCCACAAATACATAGTCTATCCGATCAAAGAACAGATTAGTGACCCGTTCCGCGGACCGAAAGTGCTCCAACGTACTTTTCTGTCCCTCCTTGGGAGGCCCGGCTGGGGGCGCAAATGAGTATCCCTGCATGATTCGGTTGGATATAGGTCAAAGTCGTTTATAGCGATCACTGGAGAGGGAAATGCGGTTTGGATGAAAGACAATCCGGGTATCAAAAGCAATTGCGCGAAACGATTGATCCTCACGGGGCCTGCCCTGCGAAGTGAGTGTCGAAAAGCCCAAGCTGCGGATCTGCGTGACGCCGGTGATTTCGATTTGGATTTTCTTGGGGGAGGGGGGATGAAATGAGATTTGAGATGGTCGAGTGAATCACTTCGACTGCGGATTTATTAATGGTGGCAAGATGTCGATCGGGTCAAATCAGCGCGTCGGGCGACGGGAGAGCCGTTGACCTGAGGGTTGTAGACAATGGGATATTGCGCGACGTTCGAGACCATAGACGAACTCTGAGGATCAATACTATTCATCCGGTCAGCCTCCGATTGTCCGATAGCGCTGCATCGCGGCTTACATGATGATCGCATCCAGTTCGCAATTCACCACATGTCGCACTATCGCAATTGGAGCGCAGAGGGTTAAGATAGAAGCGCAAGTAGCGACATAGGGACGAATTAAATCGGCCCAGGACACGTCGAGTGCGAAGAATAAAAGAAAGAAGCTACAGCAGAGGGAGGGGGGGGGGAGAGAGAGAGAGAGAGGTAAGGTGAGAGGGATCCAATAGCGCCGCTGTGGGTTTTCCCAGAGTGGAGGGAGGGGGGCGATCCGGATACTCGCTTTTCTCCAACACCCGTTGCTTCTTTTGTTCTCACGGGTCTTTCTGGAGTTCAGGATCGACCGTGAGTGTCTCCAATTTTCCCGGGTTTTTCTGGACTATATATCACCTCCGGCGTAGGGAATTGATGGATGGCCCGGTAGATGTCCGAGGGCACGCTCCACCTTGATTAATAGCAATCCGCGCTTATTTGGACTCTACGGAAGACTGCCTACGAGAGCCCTGGATTCGGATATAGTACTAAGTACTGCCATCACTGCAAACGCAGTAAATTAAGGCGCATGGATGAAACAGCCTAGTCTTACAGTGAACCTCGGCAAGTGGCTCAATGGTAAATCCGATCCCGAGACAATAAGCCTGTCGATCCTCCCGAGTTGCTGGGATTATATATTTGATGTACCGTACCATCCACAACTAGTTCCAAGTTGATATTGACGTCGATCGCCAATACCTAGTAGGGTATATACATCTGCAAATGTGAGGGAGCACCAAGAAGAGGGTACAGTACATATGTCTACATATGTGGAAGCGATGATGATGTAAGGCACGTGAGTGATAACACTACCTGCGTATCAACTCCCCTCCCGGGGGCGCTCCTCCGTACTCCCAACATAGTAGCCCTCCCCTACCATCACCATGACGGAAATCCAGAATTCAAACCCCACAATCCTCGATGCAGCTGACCTACCGACCCGTCTGCGAACCCCCCAGAAATCTGCCGACCATGGCCTCTTCACCTCCGCCTTGCCCCTCCCCGCAGAATTTGATGCGTCATCTGACTCCGACGATGACAACCTGATGGAGGAGCCAATCGATGAACAGGAAATTTATGGTAGGTTGTAGCTCAGGATACCGCCCGCCACGTCACTCAACTCAAACAGACCTCATCTCGTCTATCTCCGACCCCGAACACCCCATCTCCCTGGGCGAACTCGCCGTGGTATCCCTGCCAGACATCGCAATCAAGCCCACCCTCCCCAATGTACCAGAATCGCCTCTCCAGACGGTCACCGTGCTCATCACCCCCACAATTACCCACTGCAGTCTGGCCACCGTAATTGGACTCGGTGTGCGGGTGCGGTTGGAACAGTCTCTGCCGTCTCGATTCCGCATGGATGTGCGCATCAAGGAAGGAACACACAGTACGGGCGATGAAGTCAACAAGCAGTTGGCCGACAAGGAGCGGGTGGCAGCCGCACTGGAGAACGGGGCGCTCATGGGCGTTATTGCCAAGATGATGGAGACCTGCCAATAGACACTGGCCTACACCCTTGTATGATACGAATTGTGTCGCACTGGAGAGAAACTCCCCCAACCTAAAGACGAAGAAATCAAGAAAAATAAAACAAACGAGGGCCAAAGGACCCTGTGACGACCCCTGACGACGAACCGTGGAATGACCGGATCTTGAATGACTTGCATTGGAATATTGATTAGAAGTACATAGAAGCAATATACGATCTACGTGAAATTGTTGACCAAAGCTCCCCCGCAGCCAAGCCCCATTTTGATTGTAACTGTTGGCCTGGTTCAGAAACGGCAAGATCATGAGTCCAAAACACCGCTTTCCTTCAATCCCTTCCAGAGCTCAGGCTCCAGGAACTTGCTGACCGTGACATCCTCCGCCAGACCCTTACGGCGGCGGGTCTTTAAGACAAAGTCCCGGGCCGTGGCCATCGCGGACGCCTGCTCCAAGGGCTTCAACTGGACATCCCGATCTAGAGGGTCACCGGGGACGACGCTCCACTTGTCAAAGGCAAGATTCACCATGGCCTGACCCTGCGTGTGGATGCGAAGATCGGTCTCAAAACCAAAGGAATCAATGACTGGGATCAACCCGCGAACGGAGTAGAGGGGCGTTCCCGCAATGGGGCCGTCTGACAGAACGTGACCACGTCGGCGGGATAGAACGGTGTACACCGACGCCACAGCGTCGGCAGGTCCGGTCATAGTACACGAATAGATGGGCTCCATGAGACGCGGGGAGGCCATCAGGAACGAAGAATACACGGCGCGACGGGCCGTGGGGATGATCTGACCTCCACCACGGTAGATAGCCTGGTCGGCCAGGGACACGTCGGTCAGTCTGAACTTTGTGTTTCGAATGGCTAAATCTCGATTAGTGTCACATTCGTCATTCGCGCCGATAGCGAGAGCTTATTGGGGTGGGTTGGGAGGAAGGAAGAGAGACTTACGTTCTTCACACAGAGGGCCTTCCCGTGCACCCCAACTGAAACCTTGGGTGATGGAGTCTCGGACGCTTCCCAGAAGCTTCTTGTCGACTTGGGAAGGCAAGGTATCATCCTGGAGAATATTGGGGCCCATTTCATCGGGCCCAAATGCCCAGATACTCCGGGCTGCAAGCTTGTCCCAGTCATAGTTGTCCTCGAAATGTCGGGCAACCTTCCGGATGGGGTCCTTGATACTGACCTTGCCACTTTCAATGTCCTCTGCAATGCCATCATCCAAGGGCTCCGCGATCATGGTGATCTTGTTCTTCTTGTTCGGGGTGATGGAGTAGCACATGATAGCGGATGTTTCCACCACAGTCTCACAGAAGCGTGTGACGGGATCAGAGACCTTGATCTCCATCTCCGAATACAGTTTGCGCAGGTCGTGCAGAACACAATCCATGTACAGCTCACCAGTCCCTAGAACGACGTGCTCACCAGACTCCTCCACCTTGGTTGAAATGAGAGGGTAGCTTTTGTTGATCTTCCGCAAGCCGTCCAACATCTTGGGGAGCTCTGAGGGGTTGACGGGCTCCACGGCGACCTTGAACACTGATTCCGTCATGTGTCGGATGGGGCGGAAAATATGCGCCTCCTCGTCATCCTCGAGTTGAAGTGGCACTAGCGTTGCGGTCTTGACAATGGAGTTGTCGACCCCACCCAGTAGCACCCAGTTGCCGGCAGGAACGCCGTCTGTAGAGACATTGTACCGAGTTTCCGCAATCCATGTATCAGAGATGGTTGCAATAAACTGGTCTTCCTCATCTTCGGGGGTGTAGCCCTCGCCGAGGACGCGGACTTGCTGACCGGGTCGGGCTGTGCCGCTGAGAATTCTGCCAAAGGATTGGAAGCTTCCAGCATCAGTACTGCTGAACAGTTTAGTGACATGGATGGCAAGAGGTCCATCCGAATCGCAGGCAGCCATGGAAGCCCCGATCTTGGTGTCAAGAGGACCGGTGTAATACCGCTCCAGAATCCTCTGGGAGCCTTCCACAGGGGAGGGAACGTGCTGAACAACCATGTCCACAAATCCAGATGCAGGACCAAAGAACTGTTCACAGACTAGACCAAGGAGTTCCTTGGCATCGGTCTTGAGTTGGGATGGCTTCAAGTGAACACCAACACTGGCCAGAGTCTGCTTCAGGTCTTCGGGACTTTCACTCAGAGTGTGAGAGTAGAGTTTGTAGATCGGCTCGAGAACAAACTTGACGAAAGACCGCATGGATCTTTCCTCCACTCCCTTGCGAGTAAATTTGCGGCTCGTGGGATTGAAGAAGATATCACCCCACAGTCGGGCAGCAAATTCCGTGGAGTCCAGACTCGGGTATGTGTCTGCGTACATCCGAGCAAATGAGGGCAAAGTGAAGCACCAGTTCATGGAGCTTGAGGCAAACGTCACGTTGCCCTTCTCAGGGCTCAGTCGTCGTCGCTCACCTTGGCCTGGCAGAATGCTTTCGATCAGGGTATTGACCTCCTCAATGACGTGTTTCAACTTGAAGTATGCATCGTTAGGAGGGAGCTTGAGCTCAAGGATGAGACGATCCATTTTGTTCACTACCAGAGTCAAGGGAATGTTCTCCAGGACTGCATGCTTGATGATTTGCTCTGTATTCGCCTGAACACCCTCCACGACGTCTACCACCAGGACCACACCATCCGCCAGGCGGATGGAAGCAGCCACCTCATCGACGAAGTTCACATGCCCGGGGGTATCAAGGAGGTTGAGCAGGTGAGATTTGCCTTTGGTCCCTTGAAGCACGAGGCTCATTGGTGCCGATTTAATTGAAAGACCGCGCTCCCTCTCTAAGAAATGAACATCGGTGTATCGCAGCTGTTCCTCCCTCTTCCGGCCAATGCGCTTGTCTAGGCGCTCCGAGATATCATGTGTCTGTTCAACCAACATGTCCATGAAAGCGGTCTTTCCATGGTGCAAGTGGCCCACGATCGCAACGTTTCGTATTTGTGAGGGAAAGTTCAGAAGATCGGACATGAACTCTCGAGAGAAGTGCACCGGTGGAAGCTCAGTCTCGGCGATCGCAAACTTCTTTTGTTGCACGGGAGCAATGATGGGCTCTGATAATGGCTGAGCATCCTCCTCCTGGACCATGGTTTCGACATCCTCGCCGTAAACTTGTTGTGCGCTAGGGTAATACTGCTTGTCTTCGTGCAGAATGACCGCATTTGAAGGTCCATCTGAAGAGAATTAAAGGTTAGCGCAATGGCAGGTATGAGAAGAGACACGCGACTATACCATCGACCTCCATCAATTGCTGGTCATTCACTTCCTCTTCTTCATCATCGAACGCCTCATCAAACTTGAAGGCTTGAGGTTGGACATTGTCCTGCTCCTCCTCTGATTCCGCATCACCGATGTAATTGCCAAACCTGAAAAAAAAAGAAAAAGATTAGCCAAGGAAGAGAATGCATGAAAAGAACATACTCGTCGTAAAGGTCGTCCATATTGGAATAGGCAGAAATGGCCGTAGCGCGCAGGACGGCGGAAATGATGTTCTCGCAACTTTCACTTGGCCCGAGCGTCTCGGAGTACTCGCGCCTACACCGTACAGCTCCTCACTCCCCTCTCTTTTATATGAGATCGTCCGGCTTCCTCACTTCCGTTCTTTTCACTCTCTCACTTCCTGTTTTCCCTCTTCATCTACCCTCCCCTGTACACTCATAAATTCCCTCCAACATGTCTTCTCTCCCCCCCGTCTACATTGTCTCAACTGCTCGTACTCCTGTCGGTGGTTTCCTTGGGTGAGTTCTCCTTTTCTTCTCCTATTGTTTTTTTTTTTTTTTTTTTTTTTTTCTTATCTGATCTGATTGATCTAACCTTGTTTTAGCTCCCTGTCTAGCCTGACTGCCCCTCAGCTGGGTGCCCACGCCATCAAGTGTATGCGTCCCTCAACCCTAACCCCACACCCCATCATACTAACCATTATCTGTAGCCGCCGTCGAGCGTGCTGAGGGCATCAATGCCTCCGATGTCGAGGAAGTCTTCTTCGGCAACGTCTTGTCCGCTGGGTGAGTCTTATTCCAACCTTGTATTCTTACAACCAAGGCTGATGGGCTCTATTCTTTTTTTTTTAGTGTCGGACAGAACCCCGCCAGACAATGCGCTATCGGTGCTGGCCTGGCCGAATCTACCGTCTGCACCACCGTGAACAAAGTCTGTGCCTCTGGCTTGAAGGCCATCATCCTCGGCGCTCAGACAATCATGACTGGTAACGCCGATATTGTCGTTGCTGGTGGTACTGAGTCCATGTCCAACACCCCCCACTACCTGCAGACTTCTCGTACCGGTACCAAGTTTGGTGCCCAGACTATGGTCGATGGTATCCAGAAGGACGGCTTGACCGATGCCTACGGCAAGCAGGACCTGATGGGTGTTGCCGCCGAGGAGTGCGCCGAAGACCACGGTTTCAACCGTGCCCAGCAGGACGACTACGCCATTCGCAGTTACGAGAAGGCCCAGGCTGCCCAGAAGGCCGGTCTCTTTGACTACGAGATCTCTCCCATCGAGATTCCCGGCTTCCGTGGCAAGCCCGGTGTCACCGTTTCTCAGGACGATGAGCCCAAGAACCTCAACCCTGAAAAGCTCCGTGCCATGAAGCCCGCCTTCATCCCCGGCACTGGAACTGTCACTGCTCCCAACTCCTCTCCTCTGAATGACGGCTCCGCTGCCGTCGTCTTGGTCTCCGAGGCCAAGGTCAAGGAGCTTGGCCTCAAGCCCATTGCTAAGATTCTTGGCTGGGGTGACGCTGAGCAGAAGCCCAGCAAGTTCACCACTGCCCCTGCCCTGGCTATTCCCAAGGCTCTCAAGCACGCCGGTGTCGCCCAGGATGCTGTTGATGCCTTTGAGATCAACGAAGCCTTCAGTGTTGTAGCCCTTGCCAACCTGAAGCTGCTTGGTCTCTCCGAGGAGAAGGTCAACATCCACGGTGGTGCTGTTGCTATCGGACACCCTCTCGGTGCCAGTGGTGCCCGCATTGTGTCTACCCTCCTCGGCGTGCTGAGCGCCAAGAAGGGCAAGCTTGGCTGCGTCGGCATCTGCAACGGTGGCGGCGGTGCTAGCGCCCTGGTTCTCGAGACTCTCTAAATTAAGAAGAGAGAGAAAGAAAAAAGACTCTGTTTGAAAAGAACGGAGATGTGAAACGACCTTCTACCTTGTGTGTGAATACCCAACCCCATGTTTGACGGGATCATTTTGGGGAAGATTGGCAATGGCATGCAGAGCATAGCCTATGCAGAATCATCCACGTTGTGAAAACTTTTCCCGTCTGTATCTAGATTAGTTAATGAGATATCCTTGTGTCTGTGTATCGAAACTTCTTGCTCACGCATATTGAGCGACAAACCTGTGAAGCAGATTGCATCATCCCGTCTCCGGCCACTCACTCTTCGGGCACCACAAGCAATGGAATTCCCAAGGTTGATGTAAGCTATACAGGAAGCTAACGGTTTAAGCTTCATTCCCTGATACAAAATTGTTGAATGTCAATTGGCCGTTCAGCCAGCCAGGGAAATTGTTCTGTGTATGACAGCTTTGGTTTTTCCATTTCCCACAGAACCCGACAATCCTGTCCAAGAATAATGTGCCATAATGTGTCGGCTCTTGGATCGGATGCTAGTCGGACGACGCTACTATGAGGTGTGATTTGGCCATAGCTGGCAGGATGGTCGATCGAAGCTAAGGATGCGCCCATTGAAAGTGTAGTGAAAACTGTATAATACAATTGAAACATGATGGTGGTTGTTTCGTTGACCTGGGACACAAGAGCGGCCATGATATGATCTATGCCTTTAAGCAAAGGCACCGACGAGCGCCATCAGGAGCGCACCGCCTGCGACTGACAAACAGGCCTCGACGCGCCGTCTGCCCTTGAGGGTGTCGTAGCTGGACTCGCTCAAGAAGTCCTCTGCTAGAAGTTCTACCAAGCCCGCGAAAAGCAAAAGACCACTGCTGATGGCGTTGGTAACGCCAACCATCAAGAGGCCTGTGGTACTGGCGGGGTCGTACATATTGTGCAAAACCAACCCAATAGCTTGACCCAAGGGAGTTGTAGCCCCGTACGCAAGGCACATTAACCACGGCTTGGGGGAATTCGGGGGGAAGAGATCTGGGATGAGCGATGCGATTCGGGAACCCAAGGCAAAGCCTTCGAAGGTCTGATGGAAACTGATCGCAATCAAGAGGACGACAAACGAGGTCCCCGTTGCAACACTGAGTGCCATACCAATGAAGATGCTGTGGAACAGGATGCCGGCCTCTAAGAGAAGACATTGTAGAAGTTGGCGCTGTGGGTTCGCTATAAGTGATTCCGAACCTGTCGGGCGGCGGCTTACGCTCATCTGCGACGTGTGTCGACGGTGGGACTGCGATAAGGGGGTTGCCTGTCCATTGATGGGTTGCTGGTCGTTATCCATGTAGTCATCCAGACCATCGAGGTCGGCCAGATCGTCATCCTTGTCCCCCGAGGCGTCTGTCAGCGGAGAGCGGCTCAACTCATGAGATGAACCCGAAGCTCTTGTCGCCCGCGACTGAGGCTTGTGTCCCACGTTGACCAAGCTGATACTCTCTGGAACCTGCTGTGCTTCAAGTCCCGCATATTCCCCAGCGCGATCCCCAGTGTCACTTATTGAGTCTCTTCCGACCTCGCCGATCAAATTATCATACTCGCTGCCATGAACATGCTTCGCGCCCTTCATGGCAAAGAACATCTCCACAAGAACAACCGCAAACACCGAGATCATTGCCACGAATCCAGCCATGGCACGGTATGATTGACTCCAGAAGCGAGGAAGACATGGGTCGGTTAGGGAAATGAACGCTGTTGGGAGCAAGTGCACAAACGCCGTCGCAATCAAAACACCCGTTCCGAAATGCCTTGATATGAAGAGGAACCGACGGGGGATTGGAAGACGCGGGAATCGGTGTGCAAGAACGGGAAAGGAGCATGCTATTATTGCGTGGTTAGTTGTTGCCCACTTGCAGGGGGAGCAATCCGTACCCAGGGTACTGAGCACCAGGATGAGGAATAGTGCCATGACATGCAGCGGAGTGTTATAGACTCCCTGCGATTTAGAGCCACATGTCGGGGTATCATCAGATGTCGCATCTCGTCGACCGAGCTCTGCCTTCAGCACAGCATCGGGCAACTCAGAAATGGCCGCGAGAGCTCTCTTCAAATCTAGCACCAACGTCAGTGGTAGTTTGGGATTGGTGTGCAAGGGATATTTACCCAAAGGAAAATCATCCGCCGTCCAAGGTTGGGCATTATGCATTTTGGTGTCTCAATTCGAAGCCGTGGTCATAACATCAATGCACATGTAGGGGGGTTTTGAATGGGCGGGCTCAGATTGTACGCAATTGAGATTGTACGACAAGATTGGAAGATGTTAGATCAGCATAGATGCCGACGCATGAACATATTTTGAAACAGTGAGGCCAGACTAGCAGAGGGGGAAGTTGACCTCAAGCTCAAGTGCTCCAGGGCTCCAGGGCTCTCCTGTCCGCTTACTAAGTGGTTATATCTCGACGCACGTGGGGCAATACAGATCTACTGTTCAACCCTCTCAGCATTGGGGCTTTCCCATAGATTAATTCCATATATTGATCTACCGGCTGCCCACTTTGGTCCAACCTTTTGTGCCTTTACCTTTAGGTCGTGGATCTGAAGCGGAAGCTTCCGATTTTTTGACAGAATTGGTCCTAGTTCTTGAACTTGGACTGCCCTTGGCGCTGTCGGCGGACACAGTGTGAGATCCTAGTGGAGGGCCTTGTATACTAGATTGGGGGGATTGTGAAATGGATTGATGGGATTCCGTCACCGCATCGCCCCATTCTTTCTCTTCGAGTAGCTCCCATTCTGCACTGGCCATCTCACCCAGAAGATTCGACTTGAGTTTGTCCGCTATCTTGGTGGGTGTGGGTAGCTTCCACATTCGCATAAAATCCACTCCTTCGGAAGCCCCCAAAAAAGAATGTGCCGTTCCATGGGAATAGTGACCGAGCATGGCAAATGACGTTGTTCGTTGGATGGTTGTTCTGGGAAGATCCTTACCAGGTTTCGCCTGGGCTTGCGTATCTCGCCCGGCGAAAGCTCGCATGAGGGTGGAGGGATGGGCGGGGGGAGCAACCAGGAGTTGCCACAGATTCTTGCCAATGTCGCAAACTTCCTCCCAAGAATCAGAGGAGATACTAATTCCCTGTGTTCGACATAGCCATGCAACATTCCATGCTAGAAGAGTGGCACCTTCAAGGAAAAGAGTATAGGTCGCGAATTCTTCTTTGGCTAGTTTGGGTAAAGGTTTTCCGATGGAAAGGGGACGTGGACGTGGGGTGTGAACGCGCGGGTCCATTGTTCTTGAAGCCGCTGGACTCGACGAGAATTGATGATCGAGCCTGGGATGGGAATTCCGCGAGCGATACGACGCTGAGGGGGTGTATATTGTGGGAACAGGGTAGTTCCGGTGGGGAAGGGTAATTTCAGCAGGCAACCTGAGGGATAGATAGTGCGAGACAATCATGACAAGGTGAGCAATGTTTGAAAGAGATGTAGATATTTGCTCCTGGGAAATGCCTACTGTGCGTTAGTGGTTGAATCAAGTATAGTGGTGATTTCGGTACCATTCATGTCCGTCAAGTCAACAATATGGTCACCGCCAAGTACGTAGCTGTCCCGGTCTTGACCCTTTTTGATAGCTTTCCGCAGGCCATAGAGATTGGCCACTTCCCGACATAGGTAAATCCGCGACTCGGCCGTTTTGTTATGGAGATTATGCCATACGTGCTCCGCCCGCTTGCTGGTGTTCTGGACACTCGCTAGAGCCCCATCTTCTCGTTCACCGAGCTGATACCGGGCGGACTCTGCATCCGAGCGTCTGCGAGCTAGAGTTTCTTTGCGCTGACAAATCTCTGCTTTTTTGGCGAGAGACTCGGCCCTCAAAGATTGAAGTTGAAGTGCGAGATATTCCCTTCTTGCCAGGGACTCAGCCAAGTGGCTGTTTGTCGCCCGGAGAGCCCATCGAGGCGAGAAATCATCCCTAAGGAGTGGCTGCTGCTGATTTGACCGCTCCTCTTGGCCATGGCCCTGAGCAACAGCAGTCTCAATTCGTTTCCCAAGGACTTCCTTCTCTAACAGCACTCGGGTGCCTTCGACGCGCAGTTGATAAAGCTGGTTGCGAGCACACGTCGGGCAGTGGAATGGCAGATGGGGGTGAGGAGCACGTGAGCATATAGAACAGCTCATCGCAAACGGTTTGGTAGATTTGATAGCTCGTTGAGATAAGGCAAATGTCCATGTTGCGTCCCGGGGAGAGGATTCTACCTGAGTCGTCGACCATGTATAGGAGTCCAAGGAATTTCAAGGAGTTTCAAATCCCACATGACTCAAGAAGTGGAAAAAGCCCGTGGAGTCACACTCCTAAAAGATATTGGCAAGGAGGAACGAGGATCCGATGTCGTCACCCGACGGTGTGACCGCCTTCTTAGACCGCCTGCTTATCGCGATCTTATCTTCCAAGGTTTTCAAAACAACCCGAGACATCTAGCTAGATGAGGTGTTGACACTTCATACCTGGATGAATATGCCATCAACTCCCAGGACCAGTAAGATTCCCCGGCCTGGAGCACTATCACCCCAGGCCAATCAAGAAAATCAAACTCCAGAGGGAAGCCCAGAACACCAAAGCCCAGAGCACCACCCTCCTGGTCCTGCGCCTGATGAGTATCCACTTGTATCTCACTTGACGAATGGACTTGAAGATTGTGACTGGGGCCAGCTGCAAGAGAAATATGACAATGCAATGGAGCAACATGGTCGAGTCGAGGAAAATTTGCGCACTGAAACCGCAAAGCTCATGGAGGTAGATACTTCACTTTCATTTCTCATCTACATCTTTAACAGCATCCCCCAGGTTTTCATGGCCTGGTCCCAAACCACCGTTGCACAGGATGAGAACAGAGCTCTGAAAAGGTGAGACCCTCTGAACGAGGTGAATCATCTGGCTACTAAGACACCCGGCAGGTTCAAAACCCAGATGCAGCATGTCCAAAACTCCGAAGTCAATGTAGAAAATAAAAAGAAGCATTGTAAGTTATCTTCTCATTCGAGCTGAGATCGGATTACTCACTCCCGAAGACGCGGAGGTAGTCAAGGCCTTCCAAAATGCTCTGGCGCTGCTCAACGATCAATTGAAGACATGATTATGACCAGCGCGAGGACCACGAATGTGATGGATTACCGTATGATACCTTTGGATTAAAGGGCTTGCTGATTAGCATGGAAATGTTAACAGTGGGAATGACCACTCATTATCGTATTCATATGGCAAGCACGAAAGCACGAAAGTCAAAAGTCAATCCACGATGCAGACAATATTGATGACTTGAAGATCAACCCGCGAGGACAAAAAAAAAAGTTGAAAAAAAGTAGTCCTGCACTGCAAGGCCTGAGGAACATGTCAAGACGCTCGTTTGTTATTGCGCAATTCTGAAGCTTCAAAATTCACCCCCGTGAGCCCTCACCACGATTCGCTCGCCCAGTAATGTCTTGCCAACTGGCATTGAAGCGTCTACCAGTATTGGCCAACAAGCCTTCTTCTTCGGCTTCCTCGGCATCTTCATCGAGCTGAGCCTCGTCCAATTTCGGAGAACGAAGCAATGAGGTAACGAACACAACCAAATACAATCCTACAAGATCCTAGTTAGCTCAATTCTGGGAGAATCATCCCTAAACGGTTGTGCAACTTACCTAGGAAAAAGAATTGAGCCCAGAAGAACACGACCCCAAAGAAAGGGTAGTTCAAAGTGACCCGGTTCAAGAAAGTGCTGACGACACTGGGTGTGCAGACTTGCTGGGCAGTTGGGTTCTTGGCCACCTCGGAGCACGGCTTGATAAGTTCCTGACTGTTGGAGCAATCTGGCTTTCCAATGAAAGCCCCCGGGGCACGGTCACAGAACGTTTGAGGGCCAAAAGTGGCATATTGAGGGGCGACTACCATAGAAATGGAATAGTTCAATGCCAGGATGATTAGCATTAACATGGCAGTGGCCAACAGTAAGGCCTGTGGAGATGTATGGCCGTTTCGAATTTGGAATATCTTGATCCACAAGAAACGGATTCCGACCACCGCGATCCCAACAACAGAGCTGCAGAAAAATAGCAACACGAGTATTGTGAATATAGCGTAGTCAATGGGAAAGACCTTTGCCGACTTGACAAGCGCCCAGTTGATGGGATTGAAAATGTTGACATGGGCGAGGATGTATCCACACCGATGCTTGCAGATCGAATTCTTGGCTTTGTCAATCGAGGTCAAAAGCATAGATACCCAAGCGACAAAAGCGACAAGGAGCAGCAGAAGGCCCCCCAATAGTTTGAAAGGCCGCAACACCGCTCCAATTTTGTACCATGTCTTCATCAACAAGCTACGGCCTTCACCCTGAGACTCCTCGGCTAGGCGTTGGCGCCTGATCAGTGTCCTTTCTTCTCGTACCAGTGTATCGAGTTCTCGACGGTCTTTCGAGGATAGAAGCTGGGGATCTCCTGCACATCGACCTTCCAGCTGCCGCTGCCTTTCCTGGTTGGTCTCGAGTTGCTGTGCGGAGCTCGCCCGCAAGCTAGCGCTGGAGATGGACGGCGCAGTCTTGATGAGACTAATCGGTAGAAGAGCTAGACCCACTGACGTGTAAAGGACATATAATAAGAGCCCAAGGGTCATCAACAGCCCGAGTCCAAATGTGAGTGCACGCTCGCCGTCTTCAGAGAGCCAGATCAGTGTCTTGTTGCCGATCCACAAGCAGGTGAGTACTCACGATTCTCGGTCAGTAACCGTTTGAAATAGTCGAGGTCCATATCATTCTTATTTTGGGACAGTGGGACAAAGAATCCGACCAAGAATAAGATGACCACGACCGCAATAAAGCTAAGTGTGTACTTGAGGGCACCCCAGATGCGCTGACCCACGGTCTGCTCACCTGACTCAGTCGCAACTTCATCATACTCCTCATACCAGAAGTACGTGAATGGAATGACCAGAAGACAGAGTAGGGCATCCAAGGAGTACAGCAGGTAATAGATGACCGTCAAGGAATATGTGATCCGATCAACAACATCCTGGGTTGCCCAATCCTTTCGCTGGCCCAATTTCGAAGAAGTTGTCGACGATACCAATGCCACATCTACGGGCAGTAGAAGGACCGTTGCCAGGAGACTGGTAATTGAGATGATGCAGGTCAAAGTGACAGAAGGTGATCGATCACGGGGAGTTTGATAGACATAGATAAACACCGACGCCACCGCCAGCAGAATAGCCACTACTGCGGCATACACGACCCAAATGAGGGACGTTTGTAAAAGTGCCATGTTGCAGATGTGCACTTTGAAAAATGCTCCATCAACACTTGTGAAAGCGTAAGAGCGGACAGGTCCAAGTAATCGTTGGCGCGCAGAAAGTAGGAATCCTGTGTCGTCATTGCTGAGACTACGCTAACCCATTTTAGGACATGTCCAGAGAGCGGTGAGTTTGAGCTGGCAAATTCACCCAGACCGCTCTCTCCTCCGCTTTGAAGGAGCTACAAACGTGACTTGAGACAGATCAACATTGATTGGGTTCTCAATCATTCTCATGCGCTGAGACTGACATTCATTTGAATCCCTGATTGAGTTGGCAGCATTCGATTTCCCCACTGCTCAGATTTTACTGGAGTTTGCAATTGCAATGCGCACATGCAACCATATCAAAAACACATTCTAGCTCTTTGAAGACCTAAGAGCAACATAGGGCCTCCCCTCATCTGGACAGCAAGACGTCCTTTAAAATGCAGTGCTACACAGAGATACTCCCCCCCACAGGGGTTACTCATGCTGTGTCAGCGTCATTCACCTCAGCAACGGCCAACAACCTGATTGTCATTAAAACTTCCCTTCTGCAGATCTTCTCTCTGGTCAAAACTTCAAAAGCATCCAATGAACTTTCTGAAACTGCGTTGTCTCAATTCCACCACCCAGAGACAAAACTGGTGCTGGAGAAAGAGTACCCGCTGTCTGGAACGGTTACCGATCTGAGTCGAGTGAAGATATTGAACACCAAGAGTGGCGGAGACGCCATACTAATTGCCGTCCGTAATGCAAAACTCAGTTTGATTGAATGGGATCCAGAGCGCGATGCGATTTCAACGATCTCCATCCATTACTATGAGCGGGATGACTTGACCCGCAGCCCTTGGGTGCCGGACCTTAGCCAGTGCGGAAGCATTCTGAGTGTTGATCCAAGCAACAGATGCGCGGTGTTTAACTTCGGGGTCCGCAATCTTGCTATCCTACCCTTCCATCAAGCGGGCGACGACCTGGTCATGGATGATTACGACCCAGAGCTAGATGGGGAACGCCCCAGCGAGGGTTCTGGCAAAGATATACAGCAAAAGAAGAATGGCCAGATACACCAAACACCCTATGCCTCATCATTCGTTCTGCCATTGACAGCATTGGATCCGTCATTACTCCATCCCATTAGTCTTGCATTCCTGTACGAATACAGGGAGCCCACATTCGGTATCTTGTACTCCCAAGTGGCTACATCCACTGCTCTCCTTCACGAGAGGAAGGATTTGGTATTCTACGCTGTCTTCACGCTCGACCTTGAGCAACGTGCATCCACGACACTTCTTTCCGTGTCTCGTCTTCCGAGTGACCTCTTTAAGGTCGTGGCGCTGCCACCTCCGGTAGGAGGCGCGGTGCTTCTTGGGTCGAACGAGATTGTGCATGTTGACCAAGCCGGCAAAACCAATGCAGTGGGGGTCAACGAGTTCTCGCGACAAGTTTCTGCGTTTTCAATGACCGATCAGTCAGACTTGGGTTTCCGGCTTGAGGGCTGTGTGATTGAGCGACTCGGCGGGGATAGTGGGGATTTGATTCTAGCCCTTGCTTCTGGCGACACCGCATTGATCAAGTTCAAACTCGATGGAAGATCCGTCTCCGGCATGACCGTTCATCTCCTCCAGGCCAATGCGGGAGGGAACATTCTCAAATCGGCTGCTTCATGCTCCACCTGTTTGGACGATGGAAACGTATTTTTTGGTAGCGAAGACGCAAACTCGGTACTCCTCGAATGGTCTCACACATCTTCTACATCAAAAAAAGCTCGACTTGAATCCAAGCAAGCCGACGACAGCAATGAAGGCCTCTCTGACGATGACCAAATGGAAGATGATGACCTTTACACCTCGGCACCGGGACCTGCACAGAGTGACAATCGTATAGGCAATGACAGCTCAACACCTCAATACTATAATCTTCGATTGAACGACGAGCTTCCTAGCATTGGACCTTTGCGAGATATCACTTTGGGCAAGGCTATTCCTAGCGTGAGGAACCCGCAAACAAATGAGGGTGTTGCCGCTGAACTGGAACTGGTGGCATCCCAAGGCTCGGACCGAGGCGGCGGTCTGGTCGTCATCAAGCGTGAGATCGACCCTTCGACGGTCATGTCTTTGAAAACCGACAATGCAGACGGAGTTTGGTCGGCCAGTGTTACCACTACACCGGGGAAGGGAATGTCCAACCCCACTGAAAACCCAGCCCGGCGATATGTTATCACTTCGCGGCCCACGGAGTCAGATCAGGAAGCGAACGACATTTATTCGGTGGAAGATGGGGGTTTCAGTCCTTTCAAGGCATCTGAGTTTAATCCCAATGAGGATTGTACCATCGAGATAGGGTCTCTGGCCGGGGAGACTCGTCTAGTTCAAGTCCTCCGAAACGAGGTTCGAAGTTACGATAAAGGTACTCCAACATTTACAATGGCATGTTATGCACAAGCTAATGCTAAACTTCGATAGATCTGGGACTTTCACAAATCTATCCTGTCTGGGATGAAGAAGTCAGCGAGGAGCGCGTGGCTATCAGCGCAAGCTTCAGTGACCCTTATGTTGTGATCATTCGCGATGATGCTTCTGTGTTGCTACTTCAGGCCGACGATAGTGGTGACCTTGACGAGGTTCCACTTCCAGACGAGATCACCACATCTCAATGGCGTTCCGGTTGTCTCTACCGTGACAGAGTCCAGGCATTCGACGCGGAAGAAGGCACATCAAAAGACTCGGTCGAACCTGGTTTGCTACTGTGTCTATTGGACTCGGAGTGCAAGCTGTCGGTACGTTATCGCCACTAGACACAACTGATTTCTGGACCTGACACATACTACAGTTATTCCGAGTTTCTGATATGAAGTCGCTCGCTGTTATTCAAGGCGTCGACTGCTTACCCCCTGTGCTGTCAAACGATCCTCCCAAACGATCCAATATTCGGGAAACGCTCACAGAATTTGTGATCGCAGACCTCGGAGATTCCTCAATTGTCTCGCCTTATCTGATAGTAAGAGATCCTCCTCGGCTCACGGCCTGGACTGACTTGAATATCATAGGTTCGAACCGAAAATGACGAGCTCATATTCTACAAACCAGCGTTTATCACCACCAGTACTGCTGGAGAATCAACACGACGTTTACACTTCTTCAGAGAGTCTAACAGTACTCTACCGAACACGCCCTCGGAGGATACCCTCGCACAAGCTGAATACCAGCAACGATTTAGGCCTATGAGGGTTCTTTCAAATGTCTCAGGTCTCAGCACAGTCTTTATGCCTGGGGCCTCTCCCAACTTTATCTTTAGAACAGCCAAAAGCCCACCACACATCACTCGCCTCCGAGGAGGCTTCGCACGATGGCTAAGCAGCTTCGATTCAACCGAGGCTGATTGTGAAGCTGGGTTTATTTACGTGGATTCCCAGGTACGTGATATTCATTCTTCCCTGCTGCGCTTGCTGAACTTTGTTAGCACTGTATCCGAGCTTGTCAACTGCCCCAAAAGACTCAATTTGACTACCCGTGGCCGTTGCGTCAAATTCCACTGGAAGAACAGGTGGATTTTCTGGCTTATTCAACCTCTTCTGAAACCTATGTCATCGGTACTAGCCGTCCGGCAGACTTTAAGCTACCGGACGCTGACGACTTGCACCCTGAGTGGCGTGGCGAAGGTACGCATATACCGGATCGATCTCTCGGTATTTCACTGATCAAATTTGCAGAACTGTCCTTCTGTCCGAGAATTCCGGAAAGTTCCATCAAGGTCATCAGTCCCAAGACATGGACCATTATTGACAGGTGAGATCTCGAGACCAGCGATAAGCATCATATAGGATCAATCGATACTGACCTTTAAAGCTACCCATTGGATCCCGACGAGCAGATCACAGCTGTCAAGAACGTCAACATTGAGATCTCCGAAAATACCCATGAGCGCAAAGATCTCGTAGTTGTCGGGACGGCGATTGCCAAGGGCGAGGACATGCCATCCCGCGGCACGATTTACGTTTTCGACGTGATCAACGTGGCCCCGGATCCCGAAAAGCCCGAGACGGGCCGCAAGTTGAAGCTAATCGGCAAGGAATCTGTCAAGGGTGCCGTGACCGCCCTGTCTGGCATTGGGGGGCAAGGGTTCATCATCGTCGCCCAGGGGCAGAAGTGCATGGTCCGAGGTCTCAAAGAAGACGGCAGTCTCCTCCCTGTCGCATTCATGGACATGCAGTGTTACGTGAATGTTGCGAAGGAGCTGAAAGGAACTGGCATGTGCATTCTTGGCGACGCTGTCAAAGGCCTTTGGTTCGCCGGCTACTCAGAGGAGCCATACCGGATGTCCCTCTTCGGCAAAGACCCCGAATACCTAGAAGTCGTGGCCGCAGACTTCCTTCCGGATGGAAGCAAGCTCTACATGCTAGTCGCGGACAGCGACTGCAACCTGCATGTTTTGCAGTACGACCCTGAAGATCCCAAATCCTCTAATGGTGACCGCCTGCTCAGCAGGAGTAAGTTCTACACGGGCAATTTCGCCTCTTCGGTGATGCTCCTCCCACGGACGGCGGTTTCTTCAGAAATCCCAGACTCGTCAGAAGAGGCAATGGATGTAGATGAGACGCACACCAAGCACCAGGTCCTTGTGGCCTCCCACAATGGATCTTTGGCACTCGTGACATCAGTCGCAGAAGAATCCTACCGTCGGCTGTCGGCCTTACAGTCGCAGCTCGTCAATACAGTCGACCACCCTGCTGGGCTCAATGCGCGGGCGTTCCGGGCCGTCGAGAGCGACGGCGCCGCGGGCCGGGGCATGGTCGATGGGAACCTCTTGCGTCTATGGCTGAACATGGGCAAGCAGCGGCAGGCGGAAATTGCGGGTCGGGTGGGTGCGACGGAGTGGGAGATCAAGGGGGATTTGGAGAGCATCGGGGGTGACGGTTTCGGCTATCTGTAAGACCGCATTCGTATACTTCTACTTCCGCAAACATAGGGGAAAAAAATAGACTGATCCAAGAGTTCGAATGGCGTGATATCATAACAGATGGGATATAACCAATAAAAATAAAAAGAGCCCAATAGCCAAATTCCAGGGATATCAAATCCAAACACCATACACGTTCGCCAAATTTTCGCCCCGTAACTGTTGAATCGTATATGCCCCCTAAATCCAAATATCCAGCACTGCAGAGATGATTTCTGTGCCAGACACACAAGTCAAGAGTTAGAGTAGGAAAAGAGAGAAAGAAAAGAAAGAAAAGACAATGAAACACCCGATCCCAGTGGAGAGCCATGCAGATGCGAGAAGTAAAAAGGACCAACGCCACCTTGCACCACGAATCCGGTAGATTAAAACACATCTTCAGCAGCAAAGTACCGTTTGCTGCGACCCCGCGAGGCCACAAATTTCATCTCTGGCGTATTAGTGTGATGCACCACATGCGGGCGATAGACCGCGTCCACGGGGGCTTGCCAGTCATCCAGGCCCAGAGGGAAATACTCGTAGAGTAGATCTGTACTTTCGTTGGAGAAGGGGAGCCCTGAGGCGTAAGGCTGGGGAATATTGGCAGTTTCCAAGAGTGGCATGGAGGAAGCCACGCTCCGTGATGGTGTCTGGGAAACGGCATGAGACAGCTTGCGCATCTTGGAGGGGGGCGCGGGTTGGTCGAGGCCGAGGGTTCGCTGCTGTGGCAGCTCAGCGGTAAAGGGGGAGACCATCTTCTGGTCGAAATGGAGGGCATTTCCGCCGTCTTCCTCATCTAGCAGGGACAAATTGATTGGCGCAGCGGCAGTGGAACTCACGCGCCGTTGGGAGTCGGTTGCTTGGGAAAGTTGCTCCGGGCTCGAGTGAGGGAACATGGACTGGGAATGGGATATGACGTTGTTTGAGGTCGATTGGGGGATGGGCGTCCAATCCGGGGTCGCTTGAGTCTGCATCATATTGGACGGGGGAACTGAGGCGGTCTCCGGAGAGCTACTTTGCGCGGCTGGCTTCGCTTTGGCCGGGGTCACACTGGCGCGACGGCCGATGGACTCGCTGGTGGGTGTGCGATTCAGGGCGCTGGCCGAGCTGGCTTGGGCATTCTTTCGGGAGGCAGCGGCACTGCCGCTGAGAGGTAGATCCTTGCGGGACTGGAAGTTGCGTGGGCTGCGGCCACGGACAATAACGGGACCCGACTGGACCTCCGAGATGGGGATCTTCGCCCCGGTGGACAAGGTGGCCACCACCTTGAGCCGAACGACGAAATGCTGCTGGAGTTCCTTGCGGCGGCCATTGTTGGCCGTCGCGACTCGGAACTGCAGGCGTTTCCAGGCAATCGGGAACGTCGCATAGTCGGAGTCCAAATCTTGACCGGCCATGATGTCGAGGGGAATCGGGGGCGGTTCCTTCTCAATCTTGGCGCCGGTACCCGGGTTGTTCTCCTCGGGCCCAATGCCCGAGTTGGCGGCGGCGGCCGAGGGGGTCTTCCAAGGCACTGAGATAATCTTGACCGAGTTACCCTCCACTGATTCAGTCGCTGACACGGTAAGTTCCTGGGCGAGGATCGGGATACGGCCCTGGTCGGTCATAATGTAGCGCAGCCCGCGCGGCAAGGTAACTGACCCGGTGATCTGAAACAGATTGCGACGGTAGCACGTCAACTCGGCGCCTTGCTGCGGCGGGGCGTTTTCCGACGGGGATGTTGTATAGGGTGATTCGGCCAGAAAGAACATTCCATGTAACTGCGCCGACACCGATAGCGAGGCCCGGCGCACGGAGTAGTCGAGAAGCGTATAGTGATATACGGGCATTGAGAAACTCAGCAATTTGTTGTTGTGGTCGATTGACGAGTCCTGGGGTTGTTCCTGAGGCGCGGCTTCAAAGGGTGCCACCATCTCGTTGAAAGGGTCATCGTACACTGAAGGAAAGGGCCGTAGTTGATGCGACAGACCGGGAGGGGCGAATGCGAGGTCATCGCTGGTTCTCCGTTAGCAAGGTTCTTTCCCCGAGTCCCAGTCTATGGAGCGGAGTCGATGATCCACCCCTCTCGTCCCACTTGATGTTTACCCACCTCACAAATGTCTCCGTGTCGAAGTTGGACCGATGGTCCGGCATGTCCAGACTGGACATCGCGTTTAAATAGTCCGCACCCTGTAAGTTCCCCAATGATAACGGGCTAGCCAGATACGGCGGTACCGCCATCGTATCAAAGCCCTCCATCGCGAGGACCTATACGATGCGCGGGGACACGGTGCGGGGAATAAACTCCAGAGGGACTCTCAAAGGGATGAATGGGATAGAGGAGAGTCAGAGAGGTAGAGGGGGGGAGAGGAAAGAGGGAGAGGGAGAGTGCCCGCTAGAGAGGGCGAGGAAGAGAGAGGAAGAGAGAGGAAGAGAGGAAGAGAGGAAGAGAGGAAGAGAGGAAGAGAGGGAGAGAGAGAGAGAGGAAGAGAGAGAGAATGAGAGTGAGAGAGAGAAAAGGTGCCAAGGACCAAGGCACGATCTAGGAAGAGCATCTGAGATCGCAAAGAAAAGACGGAGCCGGAGAGAGGAATCTCGACTTTCTGCACCCAAAACGATCAACGGATTCGGGGAATAGTGGAGCCGCGGTTTTTGCGGAGAACGAACGCAGCGCTGACTCATCTGGAGTACTCGCACTTCGCACTTCTACTACTTCGAGACTCTACGAGACACTCGGCTCTCGGCAGCCCTGAAGATCTTCCAAGAATCAGGACAACGACTAAACGAAACCCCTCTGCATATATCTCAACAAGCTGAAATCAAACGAAATGAATTGGATTTGACTTTGTGCCCACCTGCCTAACCCGGTAATGGCAGTCGGGTCAACCCTCCTAACGCCACTTAATCTATTCATATAAATGCACATACTGTGAGTACTAACTATACTATTAGTACTTTGGTCTCTTCATATCGTCCGAGGATAAGGACTTGTAGAGACAGTGGCAAGACCCCGTATTCCTGGACCCTGCCCCCCCCCCCCCCCCCCCCCCACATGTAGGGCGAATCATGCAATAAGCATGCATGGAATAGGCGCCTCGTGCTTGGCCCGGCGATGTCCGTCGATCTGCTTTCTCGTCCACCGTTCTGGAAGGAGATACAAATGTCAGACGAGTGTCCAACTCGAGATCGTAAGTCAAGCTTCGTTTTCGCATGTGGGACATTGGGTCTGTGCATTTGCCCGATTCGATCATCCCGAGATGATCTTCCAACCTTCACCGTTCGCTTGCTCTATCCGGCGCGAAGCCCGTCTGGGTGCTGACCCACGCTGATCCACCCGAGGGTCATGGCGTTATACCCCTGGCTTCTTCAGCGCTGGTACCAGCGCGGGCAGGCCTCGTCGATCTGGGACTCCCTCAGGATGAGGATGTCTGTATCTCTGCCCGGGGAAAAGAACGTGAAAGGCCCAGAGGAAAGTCTGTACTCCGTGCGACTGAGGCATTTAACGCAAACAGACAACGGACCAATCACAGATGCCCGGATCAAAGTTCGACCCGAGGGCCGATGTTTGAACAGTTTGCACAGTTTGCACAGTTTGCTCTACTGTAGGTACCTACCTAGGCCGGGGTATCCGATGACTTACGTATCCATGATATCCATATGTAGATATATATATATACCTACATAGGTAGGTAGATACACATCTATGGATATGTAGGTATGAGAGTGTATACGAGGGTAGTCTAGTCATATATACATAGGTACTGTACTCCACGGGTACTGATACGAAGCAAACTACCTAGGTACAGTGGAGCTCGGAATCCTGATGCCTGTTCGGTAGTTGCGCAGACCCCGAGTCCCGGTAGATCGTATCAAATTCCTATGCATAATAGCCCAGACCCAATGCGTAATGGATATCATAGAAACAAAAAACAAAAAACAAAAAGCTCTACGATGTATGCATCATCGTCCATGTCGCCGCATCACAGTTCACCTCCTCGAACTTGTGCAGCATCGTAAATCCCATCGTCGAAAGATGATCAAAATTGCCATCGTCGTCAACCTACACCAGTCAGTCAAGAACCAGAGGGGCAGAAGGGGGACCTTACACAATCCATCACCACGGCATCGGCGCTCAACTTGCGAATTTGCTTAATCGCCAGCAGCACCAACCCCTGCAGGACCGTCGAACACTCTTCCCCACAGGGGGAGACGACCGGCGAGGAAACTCCCCCGGCCGAAGCTTGCGTAGCGCGCAGCACGGGCATATGATCCGCCAAAGCGGATCGCTCGTTGTAGATCACAACACTGCCCAAGATGGCTCCGTCGGACGGCCGCTTGGCCCGGATAATGCCGCAATTTGGCGCGCCTCCGAGCGCCATCCGATAAATTTCCACCACGCCTTGGCGTCCATACGTCTTCACGTGATCCAGGATGGCGTGGGCAAAATCCCACCCGTAGACGAGATCGTAGTGGACATCCGCGTTCTGCAGGGTGGCCGTCAGCCCGTCCGGGGGCACCCAGGTAGAGAGGCCGCGAAGAATGGCGCTGCACACGGGTCGGGAGAGCGCCGTGTTCCAGCCCATATTGGCGAACCATTGACGGAGACGTTTGCGGTCGACGGGGCTGGCGGTCGGAATGCCGAGGTAGATCCCGGGAAGTCGAGAACCGAGTTGGAAGCGGCGCATCCCGGGGCGCTGGAGCAGGGTACGAATGGCGCGGCTGTGAAGGGAATGACCGATGGAGAGCTTTCGGCGACTGGGGTCGACGACCAGACAGCCAAGGACGCCTGTCCCCGTGGAGCGGAAGAAGTAGGTGGCACAGAATCCGTAGAGGGCATGCGTGCTGCTGTTACGGACGACGAAATGGGCTTCTTCGACATCCTCCCTCCGAAGGAGAAAGCCGTGAGACGTGGCGCCAAGGAGTTCAGACCGTTGGCCTGGTGTACAATCCGTTCGGATAGTATCGAGGAGGACATCCAGAGCGAACGAGTCGCGCTCTTCGTTCCAATTCTCGACCAGCCAGTGTTGACGGGATTGGTGAAGTTTCTGGGTGCGGCCGATGGATCCGGGGAGCGCGGCTGACGGGGTAAGGTCGCCATAGAGGACCTTGACCAAGGCTTGGAGAGCTGTTTCTGTGAAGTCATACGTGCATATATAGGTACCTATAGAGGAATCCACGGCGAAATCATACGGCGAGCTCACTGCCACCACGATCACTGGCCGTTCGCGGCGCTCGCCAGACGCGGTGACCTGTGCCCGGCAGATCATCGAGATATGTTTCGAGAATCCTTGCTGGTACATGTTGCGGTTGGCATCTGCCGTGACTATAACGACAGCACTCGCTCTCTGGATGAGGTCCTCGTGGATGGGCCGCACGCCGTTAGAAGTATAGGAGGTGTGCAACACGCGGCCATTTCTTTGCCGCGAAAGTGAACGTCCCAACTCTTTGAAGACACCCTCTCCGTGGAGCACGGACGAGGCTCGGTCTGATGACAAAGCGTCAAATGGTCCATGGGTAGACTCCGAGACATAATGAGAGGTTGCCGAGGTTGGTAGGGGTTTGACCAGTGGAGTAAGAAGCAAAAGTTCCTCGTCTGCATTGATGACATTGGACAAGGGGAGCAGGTTGTTCTTATCTCGCATGACCGTGATGGAAGAGTTGTAAGCTCGGGTGGAAAGGTGAGTATGCGAGGGTTGCATTTGTGTAAGCGAAGAGAGCCCTGGAGGATTCAATGCTTGTTCCCACGAGGTACATCGCGTCTTTAAAGCCAGCACCCGACGCAGCGATTGTTCAATGCGCTGTCGACCAATTATACCATTTTCCACTCCCAGCTTCAAGCCATTAATGGCTTCCTGCTGGACAGGGAATGACCGACACAGGAGGAGAACATCACAGCCGGCGTTCTTCGCCATCACAGTCCCACCTCCAACGCCAATATTATGGGTCAGGGCTTCCATGTCCAAGCATTCCGATACTACTACGCCTTGAAACTGGAAATCCTTCCTGAGGAGTTCATCCACGATCTGGTCACTCAGACAGGCGTGCATCACGTTCATCCCGGCCGATGATAATGACACGCCGCCCACCATCATCGCGTCTAGACCCTGGGCGATCGCGTTGCGAAATGGCACGAGGGCGCTGAGGCTGAGTTGCTCCAGCGACTCTGTAATGATCGGGACGTCCGTCTGTGAACCGAGGAACTCCAAGTTACCATAGGATGGGAAGTGTTTCCCACAGGTCACCAGTCCTGCCTCCTGGAAGCCCCTCATGAGCTGCACTCCATATTTGGAGGTCTCCTGAGGGTCATCCCCGAAGGTTCGCACGCCCAAGGGCTGGTTCCGCACATTCGTCAAGACATCGAGGACGGGCCCGAGGATCCAATTGACGCCCACCGCCTTGAGCTCCTGCGCAGTCGCCACAGCGACTTCATGCGCCAGGCTCTTGGAGCCCGTCGCTGCGATTCCCATGGCACTGGGGAATTGTCGAATATAAATATCATCATATAGACTGTTGACGCCGCCATTTTCCTGGTCCAATGCGATCAGCAGCGGAACTGGATGACCGGCATCGCGCGCAATGGTTTGTAGTTCTAAAACCAGTCTTGTGGCCTCCTCGGCAGCTGTAGGGAGTCAGTCACGGGTATCTTGAGCGGTGCGCGTGGCGCGAATTCCAATACATTTCAGATTCTTGGCGGAGAGCAAGACCGCGCCCAGATGATAGTTCTCGATCAACGATCGGATCTGGGGATTGACCTCCGTGCCATCGAAGCCCATCATAAAGAGCTGACCCATCTGCCTATGCGCCGTCAGCGCGGCGTTCCCAAAATGGAAAACGGGTCCCACCGATCAACATACCTATCTAGATCATCCCAGCCTGGGGGCAGCATGTCCTCTTTCCGGGCCATGGCCCCAGAGGAATGCGTGCAGCCCTAAGGTCGGAGTACACGGGTGGAGGATGGAAACGGAGACTGAATCTTGTCAGGTGACGACGTTGCAGGAGTCAAAAGGCCGAGCCTCAGCCGCAAATGTCGGGGAAGACGATAAGATAGGCCCCCGCTTAAACGGGTGTCACGTGAGCGACGTCCATCTGTCAACTCCAGGGCTATGGATCAACCGGTCTACCGTGTATCTAGGTGTATAGTATGATGATGAATATTCAGGCACAGGTACTATGTACAGAGGATTCCTGTATTTGGTTGGTAGACCTCGAAGACATCTCCATCTACTCCGTAGGTAGTCCCGAGTCCGGGTGTTCTCGAAATGTCACGTGCGTACGGTATTACCATACCCGTATCAACGGGTACGACGCCAGGGTTGCAGCGTCGGATGCAACTCCTCCAACGTTGTACACCCAAATGGAACCTCTTCATCTCCTCGTCATTGCTCGGCCGTTGTTGGTCATTGTTGACCATTGTAAGCTGCTGTTGGCCACTGCGAGCTGGCCACTGGCCATTGTTCTCTATCTTGTTTTGGAATCCGGGTCATCTCCACCCATGGCACTTCGATCCATAGACCCATGCGACGTGGGAGATCGTTTTGGCACTGTAGTACCATTGTAACCCATCGATATCTTCGCCTTAACATCTTCACTTCTTCACTTCTTCGCTCACACACACACACACACTCTCTCTCTCCCCCGAGTTTTTGTCTTCCAACTGAAAACACTGACGTAACTATGTGGGTGATATATGTGGGACTGCAGAGTGCAGGGTGCATACTGCAGCCTACCTTGAATCATTGCTAATACCTCCCAGGCGTGTCATCATCAGAGAGGACCCTCGCTCGGCGTCTGTGTATATCGCAGACTACATCATCAGTAAGTGTGGATGTGCGAGAGAGTCGACATCACTAACCCCCTCCAGGCCGCATTCAGGCGTTCAAGCCGACACCAGAGCAGCCGTTCGTTCTTGGTCTGCCTACTGGAAGCAGCCCGGAATTTATCTACAAGATCCTCGTGCAGCGTCACCGCGCGGGCGAGATCTCCTTCAAGAATGTTGTGACCTTCAACATGGTAAGTCCACCGACTTTGACAGCGACAACACCCACTAAGCCAACTCAGGATGAATACGTGGGTCTCCCTCGCGACCACCCCGAGTCATACCATAGCTTCATGTACAAGCACTTCTTCTCGCACGTGGACATCCCCCCACAGAACATCAACATCCTCAACGGAGAAGCCACCGACCTGACCGCCGAATGCGCCGCATTTGAAGCGCGCATCGCCCGGTACGGTGGAATTGAGCTCTTCCTCGGCGGCGTAGGCCCAGATGGACACATCGCATTCAACGAGCCGGGTTCCTCGCTCAACAGCCGCACTCGCGTCAAGACCCTGGCCTACGACACCATCTTGGCCAACAGCCGCTTCTTCGGCAACGATGTGGACAAAGTGCCCCGCATGGCGATGACCGTCGGCATCAAGACCATCATGGAGTCTCGGGAGGTGGTTATCGTCGCTACCGGCGCCCACAAGGCGATCGCCGTGCAAAAGGGCCTCGAAGAGGGCGTGAACCACATGTGGACTCTCTCCGCGCTGCAGCTACACCAACACCCCCTCGTCGTGTGTGATCGGGACGCTACTCTCGAACTCAAGGTGAAGACCGTCCGGTACTTCGAGTCCATCGAGCAGGCTGGAACCGATGCCCGTACCCAGGGCCCCGCTCTGGTCTACCGACCCCGAACTTATGTTCCGGGCCCCATGCCTAAGACTCCCCGGACAGCCCAGCAGGAGACTCCCGATCGGACTCCCGAGAAAGTCCCTAAGGATCTGCGCATCAATACCGAATTACACCATGCCATGGAGGATGATGAGCTCACGCCTGACAGCATGTCATCACGCCTGGTCGACTCGGCGATTGGAGGTCTTGATGGAACTCTGAAGAGCGATCTTATCTTTGACCGTATGGGTACCCGGATGACTGCCCTTTAGCTGGCTGTATGGTCTCGGTTTTCTTTTCAATTTGAATTTGCGGGAAGGGTTCTATTGCGAGGGACATCTGCATGGTCTATCTTTTTTCCTCTCTATCATGGCTTCGATTCATGGGGTTTGGGCGTTTCGCTTTCGATCTGGCCAATAGATGGATCATCTTTCGATTTGAAGCTTTTCTTAAGGAGTTTGTAACATTATCAAGACTGTAGCCATCGAAGAATTTAGCATAATTTCTCTTTTCTACAAAAGTAAAAAGTCAAATCTTTTTTCTCCTGTCTGGAGTGTATTTACAATTGCAAACCATCTATATAGATCAAATCCAGATGCCAAACAATGACGATTTATACACTTGGGTCAATTTTGGGGACATGCATATCTTATCCAGGAACATTATTCATAGCTTGGCAAAGACCGAGGGCACAGAGCCGCTCATGTCAACCAGAGTGCTCTTGTTCTGCAGCCAAGCCTCGATACCGCGACGGCCATTCTCCACACCCAGACCGCTCTTCTTCCAGCCACCGACAGCCATCTCTGCAGGGCTCTCGCCCCATGTGTTCACCCAGGTGATACCGGCCTGGAGCTGATCGATGATGCGGTGAGCCTGGTTGAGATCCTTGGTGAAGACACCCGCAGCGAGGCCGAGTTCGGTGGTGTTAGCACGCTGCACGGCCTCTTCAATGGTGTCGTAGTACAGGATGGACATAACGGGGCCGAAGATCTCCTCCTTGACAATGCGCATGGAGTCGGTGCAGTCGGTGAAAATAGTGGGCTTGACCCAGAAACCGGCCTGCAGATCCGCGGGGACAGAGGGCTTCTCAACACCACCACAAAGCAGCGTGGCGCGGTCACTCTCAATACCGTGTTGAATGTAAGAGAGCACCTTCTCATAGTGGGCCTTGGAGCTCAAGGGACCAAAGTTGGTCTGCTCATCGAAGAGCGGGCCTGCCCGCACGTATGGAATCTTCTCAAGCAGACTCTTCTCAAATGCGACCTTCATGGCGCGGGGCACGAAGACCCGTGTGCCATTGGTGCAGACCTGGCCAGTGCTGTAGAAGTTGGCCATCATGGCACCGTTGACGGCACTCTCGAGCTCCGCGTCGGGGCAGACGATCAAGGGGCTCTTACCGCCAAGCTCCATCGTCACGTACTTCATGTTACCAGCAGCGGAGCCCGCCACCTTCTGGCCAGTGGAGACTTGTCCGGTGAAAGAAACCTTGGCAATAGAAGGGTGACCGGTCAAGTAGGCGCCGACGTCACCGGCACCATTGATTACGTTGAAGACACCGTCGGGCAGACCGGCCTCGGTGTAGATTTGGGCGAGAGTTTGACCGTGGAGGGGTGTGAATTCACTGGGCTTGTAGACCATTGTGTTACCCGCGGCCAAACAAGCAGCCGATTTCCAAAGGGCACTATTGCGGTCAGTCTAAAATAACCCCAAAAACGTATACAGGAAAGAAAGGATTGGAAACTCACATCTGGATGGGGTAGTTCCAAGCACCAATACCGGCACACACCCCCAGAGGAGACTTCTTGGTATACACCCAGGCGTCTTCGCGGAGGTGAGTGGTTTCACCATTGAGACCACCACCACCAATAAAGTTGGCATAGTACTCCAGCACATCAGCGCCGGTCACCACGTCGACTGTGCTTGTCTCTGTGTACGCCTTGCCGGAGTCCAATGTCTCGACGCGGGCGATTTCGTCATTGCGCTCGCGCAAGAGGGCTGCAGCCCTGTGAAGAATACGAGCTCGGACAATCAAAGGGGTTTGCGCCCAGGAGGGGAATGCCCGGTCCGCTGCGGTGATCGCGGCATCGACATCGCTGTTCGAGGCGACTTGGATCTCGGCCAGCGGGGCAGCGGTGGCGGGGTTGATGGTTTGGAAAGTCTTGCCGGAGGTGGCGGCCTGGACTTGACCATTATAGTAGAGCTGGCGAGGAGGGAAAGAGAGAGACATGATGTGTGATGGAGTATGTACGGAGGAGGGTCATCAGATTCCAGATATATTGATCTCGGCCTCGGTCTGCAAAAAAGATGCCTCACCGCCCTGGACCGTGACGTCGAGTCGGACTAACAATTTAGCGCCGAGTGGATTTTTTCTTCTTTTGTTTCCGCAGGTACTGGGTACTGCGCCGTGGCTAATAACCAGTACGTAACAGCCAAGTACTCAGTACACAACGCCTCATGCCGACTAACAGATGCGGGCAACTCTATTCTCCAGCCTCTTAGGGTTTGCGGATCCCGACCTTATCCTCTGGACTCGATTTCCTCTCTCTCTCTCCTGGATCAGAGATACTCTTTGAGACAATTAGTGTTTCAGAACACGGAGAAGATACGAGATATGTAACACTCGTCCCGCGATAACAAGAAAGTCGGTGGCCGCATCCCTCAAGGCGCATCGGGGGTGGGCCTCTCCACCCTACAAAGATCGCCACCACTCAGAAGTCTCAGCGTTCGCCGAGCCTAACGGCAAAAAGAAAAGAGGGAAAAAAAAAGAAAATTTGGAGAATCAATACGTTGATCAGCCCACCCAATCACTCCCATCTTTTCTTTCCTTATAAAGTTTCTTGCCTGCCTCATCTCGGATTATCCATCTCATTCAACATGGCTACCACCAACGAACTCCCCGCGACCGATGTGAACAGCTACGATTACATTGTCGTCGGTGGTGGCACCGCCGGCTGCGTGATCGCTGCTCGTCTGGCCGAGTATCTCCCCAACAAGCGCACTCTGGTCATTGAGGGTGGTCCCAGTGACTTCCAGGATGACCGGGTCCTCAACCTCAAGGAGTGGCTCAACCTCCTGGGTGGTGAGCTGGACTATGACTACGGCACCACCGAGCAACCTATGGGTAAGTCAATCTCCAATTGAGCTTCAGTGGAGCTTCCAGCTTGTAAAGCGGGCAAAGCTCGTAATATAGAATGGGTTGCTGACTCTTCCCCGCAGGTAACAGCCATATCCGCCACTCCCGCGCCAAGGTGCTGGGTGGTTGCTCCAGCCACAACACTCTCATCTCATTCCGTCCGTTCGAGTATGATTGCCGCAACTGGGTGTCCAAGGGCTGCAAGGGTTGGGACTTTGAGACCTTCACTCGCATCATCGATAATCTGCGCAACACCGTGCAGCCGGTGCATGCCCGCCACCGCAACCAGCTCTGCAAGGACTGGATTCAGGCCTGCTCCAGTGCCATGGACATCCCCGTCATTGAGAACTTCAATGATGATATCCGCAACACTGGTGCGCTGACCCAAGGTGTGGGATTCTTCAACGTCTCCTACAACCCCGACGATGGCCGCCGCAGCAGTGCCTCCGTTGCTTACATTCACCCCATCCTCCGTGGTGACGAGAAGCGTCCTAACTTGACCATCCTCACCAACGCTTGGGTTTCCAAGGTCAACGTGGAGGGTGACAGCGTCACCGGTGTCAACGTCACCCTGCAATCTGGCGAGAAGCTCACTCTCCGTCACAAGAAGGAAACCGTCCTGTGTGCCGGAGCTGTTGACACTCCCCGTCTCATGATGCTCTCTGGTCTCGGTCCCCGCGAGCAGCTGTCTGCTCTAGGTATTCCCGTGGTCAAAGACCTTCCCGGTGTCGGTGAGAACCTCCTCGACCACCCTGAGAGTATCATTATGTGGGAGCTCAACCAGCCCGTCCCCCAGAACCAGACCACCATGGATTCTGACGCCGGTATCTTCCTCCGCCGTGAGCTGCCCAACGCGGCTGGCTTCGACGGCAAGATCGCCGATGTGATGATGCACTGCTACCAGATTCCCTTCACCCTCAACACCACCCGTCTTGGCTATGACGAGATCACCAACGCCTTCTGCATGACCCCTAACATTCCCCGCCCCCGCTCCCGTGGTCGTCTCTTCCTGACCTCCGCCGACCCCTCCGTGAAGCCTTCCCTCGACTTCCGCTACTTCACCGACCCCGAGGGCTACGACGCCGCCACCATCGTGGCCGGCCTCAAGGCTGCCCGTGAGATCGCCAAGGAGTCTCCTTTCAAGGAATGGATCAAGCGCGAGGTCGCCCCCGGCCCCAAGATCCAGACCGACGAGGAGCTGTCCGAGTACGGCCGCCGTGTCGCCCACACTGTGTACCACCCCGCTGGTACCACCAAGATGGGTGATGTGCGCACTGACCCCATGGCCGTGGTCGACCCTACCCTGAAGATCCGCGGTCTCAAGGGTGTCCGCATCGCCGATGCCGGTGTCTTCCCTGACATGCCCACTGTCAACCCCATGCTGACGGTGCTGACCATTGGTGAACGTGCCGCCGAGCTGATTGCCGGTGAGGCTGGCTGGGCTCGCAACCAGCCCCGCCTGTAGTCCCCGGACTCTTTACGCGCCAAAGATCTGACATGCCCATAAAATTCGTTTTTGATCTTTTCTTTTTTTGCGTTGTTGTTCATTTTAGCATATAAGCGAGCGGCGCAGAGCTCCGTCGGAGTCGAGCGACGATCCCCGCATGCGGGCAATTGACGCCCGCTCTCCGTCTGCCCAGGTGCGCGACTGGGATCACAAATCTACATCATTGGACATCTGTAGATTATTGATTCGGGAAACTGATAGAAGATCAATTTGAAATAAAACAAGAAGCTCAAATGGTAATTGCATTCTATGCTTGATGCAAACCAACGCCTGTACCCAGTATTGAAAAAGCGATACTACATGCCCCGATAGATCCTGGAAGAAGGAAAAAACAAGAAACAAACAATCAAGAAAAAAAAAAAAAAAAAAAAAAAAAACAATCAATATGGAAAAGGAAAAGCGCAAACAGATAGCACAGCTCAAACGATCTTGTCGGTATCATGGATCTTAGCACCAAACTTCCACACCTGATCCACCGTCAAGGTAGGACCCGAGAAGGGATCCTCGCACTCGCCCAGAATGACCAAATCGGCATCCGCCCCGCTCTCCAGTGAGCCCTTGACACCCTCCAGGCCCAGCAATCTCGCCGGCACTGCAGTGACCGCATTGATCGCCGCCGCGGTGGAAGCCCCCGACCAGCGCCGGAAGTTGTTCACGCACTCGATCAGCGTGGCCGACGACCCGGCGATCTTATCTGATCCCTCCAACGTCAATCGCGCACCCGTCTTGACGATTCTCTCTCCGTTCGTCCAGTCATAGACCCCGTCTGGCAGACCACAGAGACGCATGGCATCGGTGACCAGGACCAGACCTTCCGGGTGGGCGTTGTAGGCGATCTTGATGCTAGTAGGGTGCAGGTGAATGCCGTCTGCGATGACTCCGTAGAAGGGTCTCCGGCGCTCACTCTGGCCGAGCAGACCGAAAATACCGGGGTTGCGGTGGTAAAAGGGTCGCATGGCGTTGAACAGGTGGGTGATCATGCGGGCGCCTTGGTGGGTGGCTGTGACGGCCTGCTCGTAGGTTGCATCGGAATGGCCGATGGAGTAGATGATGCCGCGCTTGGCGATCTCAGGGATCTGAGCCATCATATTGCCGACCTCGGGGGCAGCGGTGATCATCTTGATGGGGTTGGGGTTGACGTTGTCGGCGCCATAGCATGCGAGGATGTCGGCGAAGGTCTCTGCAGCGAGCAGGACTTCGGACTTGTGGATACCGTTGCGGCCTGGGCTGATGAAGGGACCTTCGGCATGGGCACCGAGAGACTCGGCGCCATCTTCAGGCTGGTGCACTTTGGCTGTTGGGCCGAGGGAGGGAAGGACCTGGGCTCTGGTGTTAGTCAAAGTATGGTGCGTCCCCGACCCGTGCTGTTCACCTTGTGGTATACTTCGGCCGTGGAGCTGACGACTGTGGGGAGGTATGAGGTCACACCGGTCCGAGCCAGCCCTTTGTTCACCATGCGGAGACCCTCATCATATTCCTCCTTGGATTCGGCGGGTACTGAGAAGTCGAAGCCGTGAGCGCCGTTCAGTTGGACATCAATCATTCCCGGGGCGATGATACGGCCACCCAGATCGATGATCTCATCGGGAGACAAATGCAATTCATAGAATGCCTCCTGATCTTTGAGGATCTTGCCCGTGAGCGAGTCAATCCAGAGGTCTTGCTCGATGAGACTGGAGCCGCGCACCAGTCGACAGTTGGTGAATTTGGTGATGCGCGGCGTGGCCGCTGTTTTTCCCGGCATATCTGCAAGATGATGACAAGTTTCCCTGAAGATTCCGAGATCAAACAGAGAGGGGCATCGCCGTAGATAAACGCCGCGGAGTATGTAACGCGAGGGTCTGCATGTCACATTCGGGATGCCGTGGTATACAGCCGTATCCGTTATACCGTATGCCATACGGTAAGATTACCCCCGCATGCAACACTCCGCAAGCGGGTCGATGCAACTCTGCCATTTGCGTCTCTGCTGTCTTTCTCGTGGTCCGGTGGGTTCACGACGGGCTCATTATTCCTTCTCTTCATCATCTCCTCCACTTCCTCCCTCTTGGTTCGCCCACCCTCTCCAGAGTTCTCCATCTTGCGCTCCCCCGCAACCCCGTGGATTTCCCACGTCGCATTCACACAATTATGGGTCCCTGATAAGAAGGCTCGGCTACTGGAGCTAGCCTTTTAAAAAAAAGTCATCGACTTCATCGTGCAGATTCTGTTATCTCCTTTTAATCGACAGGATTCTTTGTTTTTTTTTTCTTCTTTTTAAACAGGTTTGCACCTACATTCCTCACGGCATATTCCCTCGTGGCAACATTCCACCTCCTTGGTCCAATTGTTATTCCTTAATACACTGTACGCCCCTGTAGATCGGTGTTCCTCTTTCACTCCAATGGCGACTGCAGAGGAGAAGCAAGAGCAGAGACAATTGGAAATGGCCAAAGACCACGATGCCGCATCGTCGTCAGACCCCGAGTCCGGAGTTGATCAAGCCGTGATAGGTCCAGCATGGATGTACAAGCCCTTGTTCAAGCTGGGCAACTGGGAGGCCCCTTATTTTGCCTCCCCCGAGGTGCAGTTGTACCTGGTTTCTTTTGTCTGTTTCCTGTGCCCCGGCATGTTCAATGCCGTGAGCGGACTCGGCGGCGGAGGCCAGGTCAACGCCCACGACGTGAACAACGCCAACACAGCGCTGTATAGCACCTTCGCCGTGGTCGGCTTCTTTGCCGGCTCCATTGCCAACCGGATTGGTCTCCGATTGACTCTCTCCCTCGGAGGATTGGGCTATTTCCTCTACGTGGCCGCCCTTCTGTCTTACAATATCAATGAGAATGCAGGCTTCCTCATCTTTGCCGGAGCCTTCCTCGGAGTATGTGCGGGTCTGCTGTGGTGTGCACAGGGCGCGGTCATGCTGAGTTATCCCCATGAGCATGAGAAGGGCAAGTATATTGCCGTCTTCTGGGTCATTTTTAACCTTGGTGGTGTGATTGGCAGCTTGGTATGTAGATGCCGCAACCATCCTCGACCACAGTCTAACCTCAGCAGATCCCGCTCGGTCAAAATATGCACTCCAACGCCGGGAGAGTCAACAATGGCACCTACATCGCGTTCCTGGTTCTCATGGCAATCGGATTCGTCCTTTGTTGGTGCATTGCGGACTGCAAGCATGTCAAACGCAGGGACGGCTCACGCATCATCGTGATCAAGAACCCGACCTGGAAATCAGAGTTCCTCGGCTTGTGGGAAACCCTACTGAAGGACTCCTACATCGTTCTCCTGTTCCCCATGTTCCTCGCCAGCAATTGGTTCTACGGATATCACTTCAACGCCGTCAACCTGGCCTACTTCAACGTGCGCACCCGAGCCCTCAACAGTCTCTTGTACTGGTTGATGCAGATGGTGGGAGCGTTTGTGTTCGGTCAGCTCCTTGATATGAAGGGCCTGTCTCGTCCCTGGCGCGCTAAGATTAACTTTCTCATTCTCCTCGCCGTCACCATGGCGATCTGGGGCGGTGGTTATGCTTTCCAGAAGCGGTACACCCGGGAGAGCGGGGACATTGGCACCGACTTCTCCGACAGCAGCTATATTGGACCGATGTTCTTGTACATGTTCTATGGATTCTATGATGCCGCCTTCCAGACCTGCACCTATTGGTACATGGGATCTCTCTCCAACAACAGCCGCAAGTTGGCCAATTTTGCCGGTTTCTACAAGGGCATCCAGTCTGCCGGTGCTGCCGGCATGTGGAGGTAAGCCACTCTCCCTTCTTTTCCCTGGACTTGACAGCTAACACAAGTTCAAGCTTGGATGCACAGGAGACCCCCTATATGACCGAATTCGCCTCATGCTGGGGCATTCTCGTGGGCAGCATGCTTGTCGCCTCGCCTGTCATCTTCTTCAAGATCAAAAACAGCACTGCCGTCGAGGACGACCTGCGGTTCTCGGATAACACCACCGCCGATGTTGTGGGTGCGACCCATGAGCTGGGTGACATGGAAAAGCCCCAACAAACGGAAGAGCGCCGACCGACCCTGACACTCCACGAATCTCAAGAGAACGAATCTCAAGAGTCAGTCCCCAGGGCCTGAGCTCCTTCTTGTACCACCACGGCTGTTTTAGAACTTATATCCCCGTGCCCTCGCGGGACTTGCATTTACGCGGCGTGTCGTTATTCTACTCGCGATCCCTCGTGAGCACCTTACCCAATGTTCAATGTCAACTTCTTTCTCTTTGAATGTATATGATTTGTGGCTCTCTGCCGTGTATGTACGATGTACTCATAGGTCAAATACCCCTGGATCCGTAACCTCCAAGATTCCCCAAATACCAAATGATATCACAGATCGCGATCTTTATAACCTTCAACCCTTCGTAGCCGTCGGCAACGGCACCGAAGACTGTGTATGAGTCGCCTCACTAGGACCCTCGGAGCCGAAATCCACCTTCAGCTTCTTCTGGCCCTCAGGTAACTCCCACCCAAACAACGTCCGGTTGAACAACTGCAACGAAGCCTCGGGCTGATAGTACGGAACCTCATGACCGGCCTCGTAGACGCGCGTAAAGGAGAAATTGCCATACTCCCTCGTCTCACCGTACTCGATGCCATCGACCAGGAAAGGCGCATATCCCGCTTCGCGGAACTGCTTGCTGTGCTTGTACTTCGTGGCCAGGGAGACTGCCTCTCCGCCAAACCAGTTACAGATGTAATCCGCGTCACCGTAGATGAGGGCGACGCGCACCGGTCGCGCGAGGATATCTTCCAGGTCTTCGAGGAAGTTGGGCCAGACGAAGTCGCCGGTCTGCTGGAAGGCGAAGTAGACTTCGTTGTTGGATTGGGTGTAGTTGAGGTCGACGCCGAGGGCGTTGAGTACCTCGTCTTTCGCGAGGTAGTTCTGGTAGTAGGGTTCTGGGGTTGGGTCGTTGCGCGGATGGCGGATGTCGTAGGTGCCACGGCCGCTGAAGGCGTAGTATGGGCTTTCTGGGGATTGTTAGTGTCTTTTTTTTTAAAAAAAAAAAATTCTGATAGGAGGAATGAGACGTGCCGACGTTATCCCGACACATGTTTGTCGCTTCGGTGCAGAGAGCATGGTCGGATAGAGATGTGCGGTTTGTCAATTTGCAGGTCAAGACTTGGTCCTGGCAGCCGTTAGGCATCTCGTTGGCGAACTTCATGTAGTTGTAGACTGTGTCGTTGATCTGGGGGTGGTGAGTATATCACTTGCAAATGATAGGTGTTCTGCACTCACGGCCTTGATGCCATAGGTGTTGTTGACTGCAAACTCGGGGTAGTGGGGAGCTTGGATTCCTTCGTCGATGATGCCGTTGATGATGCCCAGGGTGTTGAAGTCAAGCTGGATGCCCTCCTGGGTTCCATTGGCAATCTTCTGGTTCTCTCGGTAGAAGTGGTCGAAGAACTGCTATGGTTAGTACCATGTATATACCACCTGGGCAGGTCAATCGGCTTACAGCAGGGCCATAGTGTCTAGAACGAATTAGTACTATATTCACCGGCTCAGGGTGAAGATACTCACCCTCCGTAGCTTTCAGTCCACAAGTTGAAGCTCTTTGACTTGATCTTCGAGTCTAACTTGGGCAGCCCACCGAGGAATCCCTGCAGGACTTCCCAGGTCGCTTTGGCAGCCACTTCCGTCGTATCGATGGCAGTGGCGTTGATGATCGGATAACGGCCGTCGACACCCGCCACGTCGCCGTCTTCAAAGGAGCCCGTAATTGGATTCAAACTGCCAGCGCCCTTCTCGGCGTACGAGAAGCCTATCATTGATCAGTCGGGTCCGACGCAAGAACGGGAATGTACCCACCAACGCCTAACGGCTGTGACAGGAAGAGCATATTCGAAACCTCATTCCAAGAGTGCTTGTTGATATAGGTTTCATTGTTCTTGTTCACGCGGCAAGGCCCCAGTTCCTCGAACAAGCCAATCAGGGAATCACTCCCCGGGCCTCCATTCAGCCACAGCGTGATGGGTGCATTTTCAGGATCATGTCGAGCCTCAAAGAACCAGAAGAAGGTATGTTCAGTTGGGGAAATGTCGACATAACCCGAGTACGACTTGACGCCGGGCGTCGTCTCGCACACGCCTTCTTTCCCGGGCTCTTTATACCGAATTGTGACATTATTCGCCGTTCTGAAGGTTTTCACTCCCGTTGCCGGGTTGGGCAGTTGACGGGCGAGTAGATCCTCAAAGGACTGTACCGAAATCGCCGCCACGGCGGGTAACAATGAGATCCAGGAGACACGCATGACTGGCCTATTTCCGTCTTGTGCCCCAGGGAGGGCTCGTACTTATAGGGAAAACGCCCAGTACAATAGGCGCACTGATGTTAGGCCCGCTGCATGGGCTGATTGGCGGTCTCCGTTGGAGTTCCGGCATCGTACAGGTTACAGCCGACAGTTCAGGGCTCCACTGGTGCGACTTGGAGGGAAGTGCAGGACTCTGATTCGAGGGTCGATGGGGGCTGGGTTGTGAGGGGAAGATCGACACGGTTCAAACGGATCTCAGGGCGTCTGCCAAGAGTTTGTAGGCTCCAATGGCTTAGGTCTTGATGAGTCCAAAGTGATCGATAATTATATCTGTGAGCCTTGGAAGTACGTAGACCTTGAAAGTCGTATATATTCAAAGTTGCCTATATCCATAAGTACTTATTATTGCTATAAGCTTTAATTTTTCTGCTCGAGGATTCTTTGCATAGTATTTGCAGAGTCGTCCGACCTCCGCAATGGGCCAGTTGAGTTCGTAGAAGCGGCAACTCAGATGAGAAATCCCGAGAAAAAATCTTGGAAGACATGTGTTACATTGACCTGACTACATAGGGCTCATGAGTACAGTGTATTGGAAAGCATGAAGCATGTAATGAATCAATATTCGATCATGGAAAATGGATGGAACTCGCTTCGTAGTAGTATTTTTTTTTTCTCCCGTTGCCCTAAGCTACATGTTCGTGGGCTGTGATTCATGCCTCGATGATCAAAATCCTGACTCTTCTCTTGCCAGCGCCACGGCCTTCTTCCTTGACAGAGCTGACATTGACGCGAACTCGTTGGAAGAGTTCGACCGTCACCCCCTGTCCCGTGTTAGAACTGCCCTTTTCTTCAACACGAAGAGTGTATTCCTCGCTGTCAAAGTCCGTAGTCCGATGAGGCACCAGCTCGCGTCGCTCGGCAACCGAGCGTGCTCCAGATTCACCTGGCAAGACGAAATCTTCCAGGCGAACGACACCTTCGATACCAAAGCGAGGGACAAATATGACGACACCGTTTTCGAAAACGCGCATGACATATCCTTCTTCCTCAATACCCGCATCGACACCGTCGGCGGCCATCTTCTCTCCGCGGGCTTTGAGAGCCTGGCCCACGTAGTATTCAATACTGGCGCGTCCGGCGAACTGCGCATTGCGATGACGAACGTTGATGTTACGGCAGATGTCTTCAAGTTTGTTGCGAGTGCAGACACCCTCGATGACAGCGTGTCCATCCTCGCCTTCGTATCCAATCGCAGAAGCCAATTGACGATGAACCATCAGATCAGCATATCGTCGAATAGGTGACGTGAAGTGGGTGTAGATGGGCGAGGCAAGACCGTAATGGCGGAACTCGGATTCGGCGAAGGCACCGGCGCAGAAGTACTCTGCAGAGGTCATGCACCGAGTGGCCAGGATACGGACCAGGGTATTGAAGAATGGGTTCTTCGGATCCACGCAGCGATCCAAGGAGTCGGCCAGAGCTCTGGAACTCGAGACATCGAGCTCCATGTTCCGTTTCTTGGACAGTTGATTGGTGAGGTCCTCGAAGTTTTGAGGTGGGGGAGTGGCGTGTCGGCGCAGCAAGGCTGTCTGCGAGAAGGACTCGAAAATCTTCGAGCCGACCGTGATATTGGCGAGAAGCATGAACTCCTCAACCAGACTGTTGGTGTCCAGCATGGCCTTGGTCTTGACGTCAGTCAAGGGATCACCACCTTCGTCATCTCCGGTCTCGATGCGAACCTCGGGAGAAGCAAGGTTCAAGGCACCGGCATCCATACGCTTCTGACGGAGAACCTTGGAGAACTTCAAGAGGTTGCGCATACTGTCAGTCAGTTCATCTTGTGCTGACGTATCGTCAATGCGCAGTTGGGCTTGCTCGTAGCTGAAAGCCTCCCGAGAGCGAATGACAGACTTGGTGAAATCCGAAGACACAATTTCAGCTTCAGGGGTCATCTCCCACAGCACGGAGAAGGCGTATCTCTCAACGTATGGCTTGAGGGAGCACAGGTCGGTACCAAGAAGGTGCGGAAGCATGTCGATACGCTTGTCGACAAGATAAACGGTAGTTCCACGAACACTAGCCTCGGTATCCATAGGATTGTTGGGCTTCACGAAATGTGACACGTCTGCAATGTGAACACCGACCTCGAAGTTTCCATTCGGTAGTCTCCGAGCATGGAGGGCATCGTCAATATCCTGACAGCCGGGGGGATCGATACTGCAAATGAGCAGGTCACGAAGATCCCTCCGGCCGTTCCAACCTTTGTCTTCCTTGGAGGCGGGTACCTTCCAGTCATGTCCTTCGGCTGGAAGACAGTCCAACACAGACTTGGGGAAGGGCTTATATTGTACATCGTATTCGAGGAGGAGCGCCTCGGTCTCAGCGCCCTTGGTTTCCAGCTCTCCCAGGGAACGGATGAAGTGGCCAGTGGGGTACCTCGAATCTCGGTCCCAGGCGTCGATGGTGACAAGGATACGTTGGCCGAGAAGATCGCTGGCCTGTCTTGTGCGTACTTTGATCTTTGGGATGCGCTTGTCCATGGGCAACAAGAACACGTTTTGTTGTCGCCGACCCGAGGACTGCGAGCCGGCAGAGGCTGAGTCGACATGGCCGACGTATTGGCGCCAGCTGCGCTTGATGACACCGACAACCTTTGCGGTAGGCTGCGGCTTTCCTTCCGAGTTTTTGCCATGGGCCTTCTTCACCTCCTCTTGTAAAGCCTTTCGCTCTCTGTCCGACACCACGGCCTCGGTTTCCTCACCGTCAGGGTTATCATTGCGAGTGACAGCCTCTTCGTCAACGATTTTCGTAGAGGGTGTCTTCCATTGATCTTGAGGCAAGATTTCGACGACGACAGAGTCACCGGCGATGGCACGGTTGCTGTTGTCCCGTCCCAAAATAAGAAGAGGCTTGTCGAACGCCGACGTTTTGACGGATCCTTCCAAGTAGTTGTACGGTGACACATTGAATATGCCTTGGTGCAATGTCCCAGCTCGCAAACCAGTTGTGAGCTTGGACATGGAAAAGTATTCGGGGTAGAATAGATCACCACGGGCTGCCTCCTTGGCTTCGCGCGCATCCTTTGACTCGCTGATCATGTCCAGGAGCATCTCCGAGCCCTCCAGGCCAGAAACGTAGTCGGACAAGGACAAAGCAGTAATATTCTCGCTCTTAGCTTTCCGCAAATTCTCCTTGTCATCGGTCAAGACCACAATCGCGGGGGTGGACTTCTCTTTCTTGCTCTTCTTTGCCGATTGTTGCAGATGAGACCCGTACCAGCTGGCGACCAAACGCACAGCACGGTCATTTCTGTCGTTGATAGTCTCCTCCTGGCCTCTCCGAACATGAGTTTCGCGGCGGAACTCATTGAAGAACAGGTAGAAGCGTTTTTCATCCGACTTGATCAGGGCAAGAAGACGATTATAGAGTGGGAGCGATCGGTTTCTCAATTCCTCGAGGACAGTCTGGAGAACAATGACATCATAAAAGGCCCCGGTGTGCTCAAAGAGATCCATTCCATTCAACAGCGCGTTGGTATCGGGGACAAGGTAGTGGCCTTCCGGGAACGCCTTCGTGCCGGCGGGGCGATCAGATAGAACGAACGGCGCAACTGCTTCGCATTAGCACAGATTTCACTGGTATGGTAAGCCAGATACTCACTATTTCCATTGGCATCAGCCGGTGCAATAGAGGGGCATTGTGAGCAGAGTTTCGAAGAGCACGGGATGTCCTCTCTCAAATAAAGCTCGCGGACAATCTTCTGCACCTTGCCACTTTTCGTGGAGCGCACGAAGACTTTGCTGGTGACATTCGCAGCCTGCGGGTTGGCAGACAAGTCGCGCCGTAAGCTCTTCATCGTAAAGGCAGAGATAGTCTTGGGAAAAGGTAGGAGGTGTAGGTCAAGATCGGGAAGTCTTTTGCATCGTTATCGGTGGGTCCGATAAAGCGCTGAGGTAAGCACTCGTCACTTCGGTGTCGAAAGATGCAATTGAGATCAACTGAGGTTGAAAAGAGGGAGATTCGTCGAGTTAATTTCTTGTTCACCTCTAATACTTCCGACTGTCATGGTTCTCGCGGTAGGATCCCTGCCCGACATTCGCGGGTCGAACTGACATCGCCACCTTAGGCCGTGGGGCAGATATGCTCAACTGCGAGTATAAGTTCAAATCTGGCACAATGCCGATTGCTGGTGCAAAAGGCTGCTGTTGCAGGCGCTAAGGTAATGCGTCACCTGGGGGACTTTCATCTTCATCCATTCGCTCACCTCTAGCAGGTATTGTTTCTTCCCGAGGCATCAGACTACATCGCATCCTCGGCAGAGCAATCGTACTCTCTTGCTCAGTCTGCAGAGAGAGATAGCTTTGTTTCGGCCCTTCAACAAGATGCTGCGCAGCATAGTATTCACATCAACGTGGGGATCCATGAGGTGGCCTCTGAGAGCAGACTGAAGAATTTATTGATCTGGATAGACAATCAAGGTGCTATCACGCAAAGCTACCAGAAAGTCCACTTGTTCGATGTGGACATAAAGGATGGACCTTGCCTCAAGGAGAGCGCGTAAGTTTGGCCTTTTGATACGAGCCTGGTCCTCTGGTCCCGAGGTCCTACACTTTGCTTACGGTAAATGCTATCAAAGGAGCGTTCAACCCGGCCCACAGATCCCAAAGCCGTTTGAGACGCCTATAGGACGTGTTGGCCTGAGCATTTGTTTCGATGTATGTGTATTGATTCGACGGGAGTGTGCTGGACACCGCTGGTTGGAGCCCCTTGCTCACACCCCCTTCATTATCTAGCTGCGGTTCCCAGAGATTAGTCTGGCCCTGAGGCGGCAGAATGCCGAGATTATTACATATCCATCTGCCTTTACGGTGCCTACAGGAAAGGCTCACTGGGAGCCACTGTTAAGGGCAAGAGCCATTGAGACGCAGTCATACGTGATCGCAGCGGCCCAGGCAGGCCCCCACAACGAGAAGAGGCGGAGCTACGGCCATTCAGTCATCATCAGCCCGTGGGGAGAGGTAGTAGCGAGTCTGGGAGACGAATATCAAGAGCCCCAGATTGCAACTGTGGATATTGACCTCGACCTCGTGGCAAAGATCCGGCGTGAGATGCCCCTGCTTCGGAGGAATGATCTATACCCGGAGCTCTGATGGCTTGCGATGAGCGTGCGGCAGAGTCCGATGATGAATATTCAACTCTTGATTCCGCTGCTCCTAGCACTTCACATCGGCAGTATCTTATATCCTACTCAGAGATCGTATCGCAGTATGTCAATTATAAGCGAGTTTTTGTTACCGGAGCACCTAAAGCCAACATAACGAAAAGCAACTTTGAGAAAAGCGTAAAGTTGTACAGCAGGGAACAAAAGAGAATGAATGAGCATGCAAAAGAAAAGCCTGTCTAAAAACGAGACCGGAACATCATATCTGCCGTCGCAGGTAGTACAAACATCAACCGAAAGAGTCCCTTTCCGATCTCTATGTACAGCGTACAAATTGAGCACTTATTTCTTAACCTTGGAGGGGTCCTCAAGAATACCCTCGGCCTCCAGTCTCCGGCGGGCTTCTTCAAGAGCCCATGTTTGTATACTAGAGGAATAGTTAGTGGTTTAGTGCAGGTGAGAGATGAGGCCCTAGATGGGACCCTGGCCTCCACATACGAAGTGTCGGGCTTGAAGACATATGCGACTCCAGCAACCAAGAAGCTTCCAATGAAGCCATAGTACCAGATGTTCTCCCAGCCTTCCTTCTCGTACTTCTGGCCGGGCTTGACACCGAACAGCCAGCCAGTTGGGGGATCATAGGGGTCGCCGTGGTCAGCAGCACGGAGACTGGGTCGGGTTGTGAAGGCACGGGTGGTCTGTGGCGTGCGGAGGCTGCGCGCCCGAAGGGCGTGCGACAATGGCCGGGCAATCATCTTGAAGACGGGGGTGAGAGAAGGTTGAAACCGATCGAGGTGATACTGGCGGGGAGATTGGCGACAGTTTAAAGGCCCGGATATGAGTCGCCGGAGCAGTGTAGGTGGCAAGAGCGGTCTCAATTGGTATGATGCGTCTTGCAGATGTGGAGGGGTGGTTCGGCGGGTTGGTGTTGAAGCCGTAAAAGGCCGGGAAGCTGTCCAGTCATCGCACTAGTCCACATTGGGCGATTTTCATTGTCCGCTTTCGAGCCTGATATTTCAGGTATAAGTTAATGCCCCCGAAACCAGGTGTCACCACTACACGCGCGACGCGTGCATCGCGGATGACAGGATGCTGGACACCATATCGTCCCAACTTGACTACTGTGTACACATCAACAGTCGCTGAATTGCATTTCATATTTTATTTGGTGAGTTGTATTGTCGAGGCCTTGGACCATCTCCATATCTGACATTCTCTCGAGCATCCTGCGGAATGTATCTTCTCCAATTGTGAACGCGTCATTGGATATCTGCAAATTCGAGCAATGGCGACAAATAATGCATACCCGATCTCATCCAATTCGCGATCGAAATTGAATGCTTTTCGCTACAAAGACGACCAGGCCCCGGATAATACTGCCTCGGATGGCGCAGCGAGATCAATCCATGACACCGCAAAGAACCATCAACCCGGGCCCAAAGGCGTGGTAGAGCCGATGCAGAAGTCGCACAATGGGGGCAAACCCCCGAGCTGTGATCCCCAGCTACCGGAGACAAAGCTCAATAAAGAATGCCCCCAGACCCCCGGAAACAGGATTCCTTTGGCCGACTTGATCAGCAATGCCGAAGATTCATTCGATCCTGCCCCAGGGCCCGAGGTTACACCTGTTGAGCATGTTATATGGCAACATGTGCCCGCCAGTTCGGATCCATCATCCCAGACACCAGCAGGTCGTCGAAAGAAGCGACGACACAGCTCCTCCCCCGCCGGATCCCCCTCGAATGGGAAAACAAAAAAGGGCCAAAAAGAGCCTCTGGATTTACAAACAATGCATGCGCTTTTCAAGACTCCACAGCATGATCTGGCTGCGGACTTGTGGAACAACTATATAGATAAGAACATGGCTGAGGGCACAGACGACCTTCCCCCTCCCCGGCTTGCGAATCTCCTCTCATCCTCTCCTCAAACACCAGCCTCTGCCAGAACCAGCCGAGAATCTTCGGGTTTGAGGCGTGCCATAAGTTGCAACACTGAGTTTCCCACCTCGCGGACAAAAAGACGGCGAGTCAATAGACTTGATCCCGGAAGCTTCCCAAGGACTAATAGCAATGTCGAAGCTGGGAAGCCGAAGACTTCAAGGATAAATTATCTCATGGAGAAGATCGAGAAAAGCATACACCTGACTCCCGTTGAAATGGGCCCGCCAGGTTCTTCGCCTCTGCGCCAGCAGATCGATGCACGAAGGTGTCGCTCTTCCTCTCCCACCAAGGACCACAGGCTTGTTGGAATTGATGAAGACCCAGCGGAGAGAAATGGCACATTGCCAAATGAGGTTACAGAACCTGTGCGAATGCCGGTCCTTGATGAATCGTCCTCGGAATTCGGAGGTGATGACTTAGATCAGGACCTCATGGATTTGGCCGATGCATCCGCGGATCCCTTTGTTGAAGCGCCACGAACAGTCCCTGGGACAGCGCCCCTCAAACCCGTCGGCGGGGGTGTTGCTGCAGCAGAGAAACCTCCTCCGTGGTATCCTCCGAAGAATCCAGTACCGGGCAACAAATCTTGCACCACTCTTGACCCGACGATTAATGAGCCAAATCACGATGAATCCGATGAGTTTGATGACGATTATGATGACCTACCCGGCAACCTGGAGGAGCTTCTCGCCCAGTGTGACCAGAAGCCCCAATCGGCGAATGATTCGAACCCACCCACAAATCCACCACCCATCAAGGGATCCACAACCGTGGATGTCACTGCCAAAGGTACCGCCACTGGGGCAGACCCAGTCGCGCCATGCACGAAGACTGGAATGGCATCGTCAGATGATGAATTCGATGACGACTTTGACCTGGAGGCCATTGAAGAGACTATGAAACAAGCGGGTGAAGGAAAACCGGCTTACGTTGGTCACTCTTAAGTGGACTCATCTATAGATATTTGCTAAGACAGTCAAACCACTAGAGCTCCAAGGGTCGGCAAGCTATCAAACGTTATCAAATCGTCGAAGTTATGGAGAGCACATATGTTACTCTCAAAGGTCGTACTCAGCCAGAGCAGGTAGGACAAATCACCCATATTCCGACATGAAAACGCCCGCTGACTGAAAACCCTAGGTATTATTAGTTGAAGATGAGAAAGCCCGGGATCGGAGGGTTGTTTCTTTGCGTGAGTCGTGGGCCGACACTCCCTGCACCAAAGAGTCCTTCATCCACCTAGTTGGTGAATTTGACAGTAACGGTCAATGTATTGTCGACAATGCCAACAATATGATCATTCTTCACCCTGATCATCTCATATCCGCTACCGTCGTGGCGGATTCAACAGACTGCCAACGACGAGCCGTCCTCCAAGATCGAGTGAAGGTCATCGCAGCACTGGAAAGACCACAAGCGTTCGGGATTTTCTTTCATGAAGTCTTTCAAGAAGCCTTGAAGGCGAACACATGGGACATGGATTCAATCAAATCATTGGTCGAGAACATCATGTCACAACACGTCGAAGAGTTGTACTCGATCCAAATGAGCATACCTGAAGCCGTTGATTACATTATGAGCAGAATTCCAGCGGTCCTTGACTGGGCTGATACATTCCTTCACGTGAAACCACAGGTATGTTTCACGCTTCTCAAGTACGCTTGTCCAAATGTCGGCCCTTGCTCATCAATACTCGCAGGCCAAATCGGTGGTTGAAGATCGGAATAGTTCTAAGCTCAATCTTAGCATCAGCAAACTTCTCGAGGTAGAGGAGCATATTTGGAGCCCGATGTATGGATTGAAAGGCAACATCGATGCCACCGTGCAAGTCACTTGCCGCGAAGGCGAAGAGGTGAAAACGTTGGTTGTTCCGCTAGAACTGAAAACTGGGCGACGCGATACGAACCAGGCCCATAGGGCTCAGACAGCTCTCTACACACTGCTCATGTCGGACCGATACGGTAAGTTCTGTCGGAATGATGCAATATAGCATTGGTTTTACGATCTATCACTAATTCTGATCAGATGTTGATGTCAAATTCGGACTCCTTTACTACCTTGAGCTGACAAAGACCCTGAGCATTCGTGGCATTCGACATGAACTCCTCCAAATGATCCAAGTGCGAAACAACCTGTCCGGCTACATTCGTGAGAGGGAACAGCTACCTCCAATGCTGAAGAAGCCGCGTGTATGCACCCGGTGCTATGCAAAGACACCTTGCCTCATCTACCACAAGCTCGCCGAGGAAGGCGATGGGGAGACAAGTGGACTTGGGGACGAATTTGACACATCAGTCGGCCATCTGAACGACCGGGCTCGAGACTTCTTCCAAAAATGGGATCGACTTCTCACCAAAGAGGAAGGAAACTTGATCAAGTTCCGACGAGAGCTGTGGACACTTTTAAGCAGCGAGCGAGAAGCACTTGGCAGATGCTTCGGCGATGTCGTCCTTGATCCAAGAGCCATGCACGAGGAGCAGACCGGAACGAAGATCAATCGTTACCACTATACCTTTGTTAAGCGAGATGCGCCTGCAGGCTTCTCTTTTACCGACTCACAGATCTCTCTCGGTGAACCCATTGTCGTGTCCGATGAAAAGGGCCACTTTGCTCTCGCCAATGGATACGTTGTGCACAGTAGTACATCACACATCAAGGTCGCCGTGGATCGCAAACTTCACAATGCAAGATCAAGGACGGTAGGCTTCGATGCCGCCACTAACCAATCCTTCAGGGGTATCATGGAGGTCAGCAAAGGGGAGCCTGCGGCTTTGGAAGACCCTGGTGAACAACTTGTATACCGAATCGACAAAGACGAGTTTAGCAATGGCATGGCTATTGTTCGAAACAATCTGATCTGCATGATGGATAAGGATCTCTTCCAAGCCAGACAATTACGACGACTCATCATCGAAGGGGAAGCACCTGCCTTCAACGCAACCTCGACTGCTTATACCATCTCCGACAAAATGAGCCTCAATGTTGATCAGAAAAAAGCAATTGACAAAGTGATGAGTGCCAAAGACTATGCCCTTGTTCTTGGAATGCCAGGGACTGGAAAAACAACCACCATTGCTCAAATCATCCGGGCTCTGGTCGCACAGGGGAAGAGCGTGCTTCTTACATCTTACACACACACCGCGGTCGACAATATCCTGTTGAAGATTCGGAATGACAATATCCATGTCCTACGTATTGGTGCGGCATCCAAAATCCACCCTGATGTACAGGACTTCGCCGATCTTGCTGCAAATCCCAAGTCGACCATCGAAGAGCTCAAAAATTCCTACGAAAAGCCCCAGGTTGTAGCGACCACCTGCCTGGGAGTTAACCACAACATCTTCAATCACCGAATCTTCGATTGCTGTATTGTCGACGAAGCCTCGCAGATTACACTTCCGGTCTGCTTGGGTCCCATTCGCATGGCAAGGACTTTCATCCTGGTCGGTGATCACTTCCAACTGCCACCGCTTGTACAAAACAAAACAGCACAGGAAGGTGGACTAGATGTCAGTCTCTTCAAATTGCTTTCGGATTCGCAGCCAGATTCGGTCGTCAATCTAGAACATCAATACCGCATGTGTGAAGATATCATGTTACTTTCGAATCATTTGATTTACTCGGGTCGTCTCAAATGCGGCACCCCACAAGTCGCAGCCAGTTCGTTGGTTCTGCCTAACATTAATGCTCTCGAAGAGTACCATGTCGCGGACAAGAGCTACACATCGTCTCAGCGTGAGGCTTGTCCGGGCGACCCAAGCAGTCCCTGCTGGCTGCGCGATTTGTTGGAACCATCTGCGAAAACGCTCTTGGTGAACACCGACCCCATTGGACCTGCAGCACTTGAGATAGCGCAAGGAAACCGTGTCGTGAATCACATGGAAGTATTCCTTTGCACACAGCTTGTGGACTCGTTCATCGCCTGTGGAATCCCTGCCCGCAACATCGGCGTGATTACTTTCTATCGCAGTCAACTCTCGCTGCTCCGCCAAAGCCTACGACGCCACACCCCCGACTTGGAAATGCACACAACAGACAAGTTCCAAGGCCGTGACAAGGAAGTCATCGTCCTGAGTTGCGTCCGAAGCAACCCCGACAACCACGTTGGTGAACTCCTCCGCGACTGGCGCCGTGTCAACGTCGCCTTCACTCGTGCCCAGACCAAGCTCCTTGTCGTCGGCAGTAGATCCACTCTCCGTGATGGCAATGACCTCCTACGTCAATATGTTCGCTTGGTCGAAGGCAAAGACTGGGTCTACAACCTACCTGCTGCCGCGGTGGACAATCATGTCTTTCCCTCGTGGACCACCCAATCACAATTCATGTCCCCCGCTGCGAAAACACCCGGCTCTTCCAAGGGTTCAAGAACGAAGAATCCCTCGGTGAACATATCGCCCTCGCGTTCTTCTCGTCATCCGCTGAGCCCTCTCAATTCCGGGAGGTCTAATTCCGGTCTTCGGAAGCCTTCGAAGACAGGTGCAAAAATGTTTAATGGTACTAATGTGGTGGGCAATCGACCTGTCCTGCGCGACATTGTGAATGACCTGACCGGTTAGCACTGCAAACCTTGGAATGAGCCAATTATGGATCCTGCTACAGCATTCTAGGCGAATTGGGCCGTTTTGTATAATAATCGCGCGCAGGTCAGGGGCAGACTGACAAAATATGCCCATGCCCTGAGAAAATACACCATGCTAGGCATCCTGAGCTCTCAATATATACACTACTAGGTACGGCCTGTGGCTTATTGGCTGTCAAATATAATTCTGTTTCAAAATACTTCTTTGGTCCATCTCAACGTGCTTCACCTTTCCAACCTTGGAAGCCTGTCTGCGGGAGCTCACAAAGCCTCTAAAAAATCTACCTAGGTATCGGATCGGACACCATTCTTGGAATTTCGATAGAGGATTTGATTACCTATTAACTAGCCATTTGCGAGTACATCCATGCCCTGTAAAGCCCTCGACGGTCCCCTGTTGGGACAACCATGAAAAAAAGACACGAAAGAAATTTCACCTCACTTAAATTCACCATTCACCATTCACCATAAACAAATTTGCAAGTCCGTCACTCATCAGCTTCGTTCATCATCATCAATTTTCACAATATCCTCCTTTCCATATGGACAGCTAATCCAACGCCCACCTGAAACGCTTGGCCTGGCCCCCGTTCAAAGAGGCGCTGCTACCGACGGAGGCGCAGTCACTCGTCAAGACGTGGCAGTTGGGGCTTGAGTTTTTCATGAGGTTGTCGTTTGGCGCGTTGGAACTCATAGCGGAGAATCTTCTCTTAAGAGACGCAGTGGACAAAAGTGGTGCAACAGGTTGTGCACGACTGGTGTGCTGGAGAATGTAATTATTATTCTGGATTGCGTGTGCTCCTGGGGCAGTCTGAGGTTGCTTGCATGAGGGGTGGTTGGAGGCAACCGCAACCTGGAACAGAGGGGTGGCCTGTGATCGGGCAGCAACTGGGTACCGGGGAGAGCACTGAGGCTGCCTGGCACCTTGCGAGTTGGGAGTGCCCTGTGGTCGAACAGCAGTGCTGAATCGAGGGGAGACCTGCACCTGAGGGGCGTACTGAGCGGCGGCGATATATTGACCGGGTCCCTGCGATTGGTGGGGAGAAGCGCCTTGCAACTGAGGAGCATATTGCGACTGGGCGACAACCTGGAATTGAGGAGTGCCCAGTGTCACGGTGGGTACTTGGATTGGATGATAACCCTGCAACTGGCTGTTAGGAGTTCCCTGGATCTGGGCAGCGCCCGTGGACGGAATGCCAGTATGGGATTGAGGGACGTCCTGCAGCCGAGGAGTAGCCTGGCCTTGAGGAATGCCTTGTAGTTGTGGGGCTCTCTGCAACTGGGGAGAGGCCTGGAATTGGGGAAGAGCCTGGGGAAGAGGAACGCCCTGCATTTGAGGGACTCTCTGCAACTGTGAAGTAGCCTGGCGTTGAGGGGTGCCATACAGCTGAGAGACCTGGGATTGGACGAGAACCTGGAATTTGGGAGGGGCCTGGTGTTGAGGAGTGCCCTGTGGTTGGGGGACTCTCTGCGACTGAGGAGTCATCTGTATCGGAGCAGCCTGGCGTTGAGGGGTGCCTTGTGATTGAGGGACACTCTGCAACTGTGGAGTAGCCTGGCGTTGAGGGGTGCCATACGGGTGAGAGGCCTGGGATTGGACGAGAACCTGGCCCTGGGGAGGAGTCTGGGCTTGAGGAGTGCCCTGTGATTGAGGGACTCTCTGCGACTGAGAAGTCATCTGTACCGGAGTGGCCTGGCGTTGAGGGGCTCCTTGTGGCTGGGGGACTGTCTGCAATTGGGGAATTTGCTGTGATTGGAGAGCTGCTTGCGAATTGGAGGCGACTTGAGGATTCTGCATCAATGAAAGTTGCGGTCCAAACTTGAGAATTTGAGCCTTTCGAGCCTCGTTGATTGCGCAGTTCTCCCTCAATAATCCCCACTCCTGTGCAAGCTTCAAGTGTTCTGGGGAGCTTTGGGGGTAGTTTGAACGCTGGAGAAGCTCAAACCTCTCACGAAGTCTCTGAGCTTCCCCTTGAAATATAGCAGTCTGATTATTGATTTTCGCGATGACCTTTCCCATGTTCTTTGCCCGATTGGCATGGGTTGAAGCCTGCAGCGTGGCCTTTCCCTCTGGCGACAGTGGGTTTGTTGGAATAGACTCAGACTTGTACTCAAGCGACGCCGCCGATTGCTTCGATTCGTATCCTTCCTGGAGTCTCTTAACACTCGGGTCATCCGGCATCATCTCAATAAACTTGTATTTGCCAAGCGGGACGACACGTCCATGAGGCTGCGACTCAGGAGTTGGTGGTAGTGCCTGTTGCTTTACACCTTTTGGCGTTCTTTGGGCCGCCCAATTCCACTGAGGGATCGGAACAGAATCATGCACCATAGTCTGACCGGGGGTCACTGTGGTCGATTGAGCAGGGCTTTCATATCGCTGCTTGACCTGGCAAGGAGTCTCGTAGGGATTCCTAGTGGGTGCGAGTGGGCCGGTCATCTGAAAAGGAGTATTGGGAGCTGGAGCACCCATCTCCTGGATTGGGAACTGGGTGTCATTTGAGACGTCTGTCACTGGAACCGGTGCAAGCCTTCGAAAGGTTGATGGTGGTTGGTCGACCGAGGTAGCAGGAGATGATTTTTGAGCCTTGCTGCGACCTTTGCATTGGGTAGACTTCGGTGTTGCCTTCTTTTTTGGTGTAGATTGAGCACCTTGCTGCAGCTTTTTGGGGGTCCGCTTTGGTTTCTTTTTCTGCTCAGGTGGTTGCTTTCCGGTAGGGCCCTGCGAGTTCACATTTGGGGAGGTGAACACTCTGGCGGCTGTGGGACCAGTGGCCGTGAGGGGCGCAGATTCAACATCGCTGGCAGTGGCAACAGAAGTAGCGAGACTGAGGGGGTTGCTAGCCTCGACCGTAGTCGCAGAGGTCACAGAGGACTCCTGATTGCCGGAGCTATTTGTGGCAACAGAGCCAGATACGGCAACGGAAGATTGGCTGAGTGAATCACTCAGTCTGACATAATCAGCTGTCACATTAGATGAGCCGCTTGGGCGATGCGCGGTAGCTTTGGGGGGGAAGAAATTGTTGTCACGCTCGTAAGAAGGACGGGGGGCCAAGTTGACGTTGCGCAATGAAACCAGCGTGTTAAGCGGGTAAACAGTAGCTGGCTCCGAGAATTCTTTGGGGGGAATTGAGTGACGTGCGATAGCTGTGGAAGAGACGGCATCCAAGCAATCGAGAGTGGCCGGTCCAAGAACAGGGTCGGAGGGGTCATATGTAGCAGAGCGGTAAATGATACCAGGTATCTTTTGCTGCTCCTTAGCCCCATCCATAGAAGACTGGGAGTCAAATATCGAGTCAGGGATAACCTGTTCCTGGTGGGACTTGTTTCCGTACGTATCTGGGGGTGTCAAAATAAACAACATGGACTGGAGGGACGCGAAGACTCACCGACGAAAAGATCACTTTTGAGGGGTTGGATTTTTCCATCATGGCCAGTCAATAGGTTTGAGATCGGGCCAATGCCATCCCATTGATCGTTCAGAAAGAGCAAGATCAATTTTCTCATGAGGCGATCATCCGCATCCTCAAAGAAGTCGGCCTCGGGAGAGTCGCTTCGAGGAGGAATTGCGGCGTTCATCGTGAAGTCCGGATAAACAAGAGCTCTGTAGATATGGCGTAGACCAGGATAAGAGCAATAGGGAATATGAGATAGAATGGAGATTGGGGGGAAGAAGGTGGGAGAAACAGAGTCAAATGGGAAGGGAAAAGTAGATATTGCAAAACAGATCGAGTGAAACAGCAAGTGTCAGCTCCGGGAATGCGATGCTGCAGCCGGAGCTGTACCGACGAAAAGAAGCAAACCAGAGCAAACAGAGGAATGAAGAGAGGGTGGGGGGAGAGAAGAGAAGAGAGAGAGAAGAGAGGAAGAAGAGAAGAGAGAAGAGAGAGAGAGAGAGATAGAGAGAGAGAGAGAGAGAGAGAGAAAAGGAACTAGCTGCATTGGGCTACACTATGGATGCCCCCGTGGTTTCCCAGCAGATGACCTTCGCTCCTTCCGCCAGCACCGTGAACCCGTCCCTTCCCTCCACAGCGTCTTTGCCCAGTCCCGCGGCGGCGACGGCGAACCAGGGGCTGTGTTTGGCGCTACATCCTCGTTAGCCCACACTCATGTCTCAATCATGAGAACTCACAGTAGAAAAACTTTCATAGCCCAATGGCACGAGATCAAACCGTGCCACTTCAGGCTCAAGAGATCGACGCGGGATTCCTGTGCATCTGAAATAGCATATCGACTCAGGTATGGGTCGATATCATCCTCTTGAGCCCGGGGAGAGCCCATCTGAACCATCGCAAGCCATTCCGCCAGCTCACCACAGTATTCTTGTAATTCGCCCTCGGGCATGCTGTCAAGCGTATCCCCGTAGAGTCGGGGCATGATCACTTGCTCATGTCCAGTCTCTTGTAACTCACATGTCACTAGCTGGGGTTGAAGCTGGTGAATGGGCTTAGGGCCAGGCTCTTCTAAGCTGGAGGGATCTTCCAAATCGTAGAACAGCCAGGCCACTGATTGAGTCAAGACATGAGAAAAGGCCCACACTATTCTGTCAAACCCTTTCTTGCCGTGCAGCATCGAGGGCAGCCGCAGATTGAGTTCCACCACTGAGATAGTTAGTGAGAATTTCCCGAATCCAACTCAGATACCATACAATATCTGTCTTTGGCATGTTTTCTGCCTCCACTGCGGACGACTTTGCCCGTGAGACCCGTTCGCTCGTAAACTTCCCTTCCGAGCTCCATTCGCAACATTCCTATAACTGTGTGAGCTGGACAGACCCTAAAATTTGCCCCGCTCAACCGGAGAACGGACCATCACGAAGAGTAAAGACATTGTCTGATCCCGAGCGCCCTTCGGAGATCATCAATATATTGCCTAGATTCGAGTTAGATTGCTGATTCGGCAAAGCGAGCATGCCGTCTGAAGTCTATTGATATAGAAGACACAACAGACCCTCGGCTGACAATGTGGTTTCAGTACCTGATTTGATATATGTGTTGAAGAACTCATGCTCCAGTAGAGATGAAGGTGCCATGTAAACCCGCGCATATCGAGGTTTATCTAGCTTGGCAAGTGCCGGTTTGATTTTGGAATATGAGTCCTTTGGGATGATGACCTCAACCTATGCATGATCAGTAAGAGAATCCCCTCTGTGTACATTGTGACCCACCGAATGTAAAAATGCATGGTTCTGGATAGTGGAGAATGGTGACCTCTTGGGGATCTGCTTTGGGTCAATCAGTGGCGGTAACTGAGAGATTGTAGTAAAACATTTCTCACGCCGAGAGGTGTCGTCGTGGAACATGTTGCAATGAGGTGTCTGGATTTTTCAGGTGAGGTTTGATTAAGCTCGGGACCCACCAGTTGATGTCCGATTGCCATTTCTCAGGAATATGCTCTTTCGGAGACCTGACACGACAGAGCGTTTGATTTTATTAATCTTGACTCGGAACCACTCCCAGCATACCGAGTACCGAACTAGGGAGTAGATTGTCTGTCTTGACTGGGCCAGATAGGAGAATCCGATATTCTAAGGTTCCTTGCAAGGGATCTCATTAGATCGGTGTCCAGGCGTTAACTATGTATTCGATCGTAATATCGATTCATTCAAGACATGACACCGGTAGCTACGTTATTACATTATTCTACTCCGTGAACCTCTAAGTCTCGAATAGTCACATCAGGTTGCATATATCTTGCCTGAGGCAACGGCTAAATGACGTCTGGCAGTATCCAAGGCGGTCTACCGGCCCTTGCACATCTTCCTCCATACACTCACTGCCTCAGAGCTGACTTGCTAGTACAGCGCAAGTGACCAGTCCTGCGCCAATCGCCACTGTAGGTCATGACGCCCACGCGTCGCGATCTCCTCCACAAGGACCACTTCGCGTTCGTGTTTGGAGGTGTGAAGACCCAGAGCTACTCGGACCCAGCCGCCAAAGGCCCTGGCTCTCACACGTAAGGTTGATCGGTCCCCATGAGTCTGTTGTATCGTATTGACAGTGTGAGGCAGCATCCGCACACTTGCCTGGAACCCGACCGGGCAACTGATTGCCACAGGGTCGGCAGACAGAACATTGCGAATTTGGAACCCAGATCGCCCGAATTTCCGCTACTCCACCGACTTGCGCGGTCACACTGGTGCCATTGAGAAGGTCCTGTTTAATCCAGTCCGCGATGCAGAGCTGGCGAGCTGCTCGGCCGATGGTACAGTGCGCTTTTGGGATGTGCGCTCCAAGACTTGCGTGAGCCGATTGGATGTTGGAGTGGACGCCTTTACTATGTCTTGGTCCGCTGATGGTAGCACAATGATTGTTGGAAAGAAGGTCGGCGCCGAACTCCCTGCTGATTGTAATACGAGACAAGTCACTCACTTCACAACAGGATGATACCTTGATCCCCATTTCAGTCAAATTCCCCTCTGCCCCAACCACCCACCCCGATGGTGCCAGAGCTCTAAATCTTCCATCTTCCAGGCCTGGCGCAACTACATACACCGCGCTCGATCCTCATCCTCAATCCGTTCAGACAAATGCCACTACTTTCTCCTGGTGTATGCCCACACCCGAGCGCCCTGAGCAACAGGTGTTTGTCACAACGGGTGAAGGCAAGGTCAAGGTCATGTCATACCCTTCCTTTGACGTGATGCACACCTTGAACGCACACACTTCGTCCTGTCTTTCTATCGCACTCGCTCCAACAGGCCGGTACCTCGCGGTGGGAGGGAGTGATGCTCTCATCTCTCTTTGGGACACGACAGACTGGATCTGTCGCCGCACACTCTCCAGCGAGAACGGTGGCGCAATTCGAGGCGTGAGTTGGAGTTTCGACGGCCGCTTCGTCGTGGGTGCATGTGACGAACCTGGCTGCGGTGGTAACGGTCTGGAGATCTTCCACGCAGAGTCAGGCGACAGCATCCACACAATCCCAACTGCCGGGCACAATGCTGGTGTTTCGGCGGTTGCTTGGCATCCATCCAGATATTGGTTAGCCTACTCAACTACCACCGATGGACCAGGTAGCTCCAATTCGGGTGGTTTAAAGATTGTTGGTGCTGCTGGCGGCGGTCTTTGATCTTATTACATTTGGCAGATTCCTCTGCCTTTCTTTCCCCTCCCATGCAAGCTTTGTTTTGCATTTATGTGTACCATTAGAATTGCAGGTATCTAGCTCTCAAATATCATGAATGGACGTCTTCAACAATTATGACTAGCATCATGTAACGTACAATTCTTACGTGCGATACCTACTTTCTTATTGTGGTTCGTAAAATCTTGATTTTGTAGGATTTAGAGGCCCTCGATGCTCCCAGTGAAGTAGTATTTTAAATATCCAAGGGTGAAAAGCTCCGTCCCCAAAGAGGCCGCTTGATCATTCATCGTCAAATCATGAAATGGCAGAGTCTGGTTTCAGACACTGGTGTGGAAGGAGGCAGGCGCAGGAGATGAGACTGCTCTGAGAGAGGTCTCATGTGGAAGAACAGAGACCAAGTTCGTGGCTCCTGTGCGACTCTTTGGTTCAGCACACAGCCAATCCCGCGTGTCTCTCGGTCATAGACAAGGAAGTTGGAAGCGAGTTGAGAGTGGGTGACATCGGGTATGAGAGCCCTTGCCACAAGTAATAAAGAGGCTGTCGGCCGTCGGATGAATAAGCCTAGTGCAACAGAGCTGGCTGCTTGTAAGCTGATTGCTTCATAAATTGAATGATCAAAAGGAGGCCTGGCCAGCGCATGCGCGGAGAGCGGAGGGGATTTGGGGTTTGAAGGATACTGGCTTGCGACAAAGCTTTGTGGCTGCAAAGTACATCCCCTCATGATGGACGCCAGTTGTCCCAACCAGTATTGGCTCCGGGGGTTGGAGTGTCACCCATAATTTGAGTCCCCAGTATCTGAGCCCATTGCGACTCAGAGAATGTCTCCATGTTAAGGGCCCCCATATCCTGGTCATTCATTTGGGGCATTTGACCTGGAACAACCCATGCGGGCGGGACTGAAAATGAGCTTGATTCTGTAGGGAGCACTGGGCTTTCAGAGCTGCTCGAGTAGTATCGAGTACCCATGGAGTTCATGCCGGCGGCTTGGAAATTCGTGTTCTCGGGTGGTATGTGCATTGAGTTGGGCTTTTCGAAGGATAACCCAGATCCGGGGTTGGGATAATTGGCAGACTTGTGCTTTTTGGTTCCAGGCGGTGCATCATCGCCACCAGTAAGCGAATATGAGGTGTTGGAAGATGAATTCAAAGTAGAGGGAGTGGGATGGTCAGAGGGCGGGTTGTTTCTGTCGCTGAGGTTTCCAAAATCAGGTGAGAAATCCAGATCCATATCGACAATAGTCCCAGGGCCAGTCTGCTCTATGTTTTGGGTCGAGGTTTGGTCAAATGGATGTTGGTTTCCGTCACTGTTGAAGGGTGGTCCCCTGGCAGACTGAATCCCTGACTCCTTGTGCCGGCTTGGAAGCGACATCGATGCCCCTGCAGGATTATCAACTTGATGGGTTGGGCGGTTTGCACTGCATTGAGAAGGCTCCTCTGCCGGACCCCCTTGTGTTTGACAAACACTTGAGATGGGAGGACACTCGAGTTTATCATTGCAATAACTCTGCTGAAAAAAATGTTAGCTTTTCACTTGAATGACATACCTAAGTAACTTACCAGCATAGAACGTGCGGCGTTTTTGGAAACACTTCTGTCATCCAGGGCCCGGATGCCAGTGCCATCAAGATCAACATCCAACTGCACTAGGAAGGACTCTGTCAAGGGGTTCTTGCCCTTCATGGCATTCAGAGCGGACACGAGGAACTGCAATGAAGATTGGACACTCGAGTCCTCTGGTCTGGATTTGAGGTATTGCACAAACACACGAGCAGCAATGTATAAGCAAAACGACATGAAAGGGTTCAACTGAAATTCATCAGCAGGGGCAACATCAGACGGGTCACATGAACCTACGCTTGTCAAATCAACATGGCTGATCATTTTCATAATGCTCGAGATTTGGTTCGCTGCCACAAGGCACCTGCGCTTGCTTTCTGTTGAGATCTGGTTCGGCATCTTATTCTTTTCTGCCTTGAAGATGGCAGCTTGGTGCAGACAAATTGTTGAGGTGTGAATGCTCATGTTGGCAAATATAACATTAACGTCTGACATGCCACTAGGAAGCCGGAGATGATCAGGTAAGGATAGCGCAAGGTGAAGAAGAATGTTATCATGACTTCTATGTCGCTTCCAGAACTCCCCATTCAGGTCATGGTCGTTGTCATGAGGCTGGGGTCGATGGATGTGCACCAAATTGCGGCCAAACAGACTTGTCAGCACCATCACGCATGCGAAGGGGGCTAATGAAGAGGCTCCCTCGCCATTGACGACATCACTTAGACGCAATGTTCTCTGCGGTTTGCTTTTCAGAAAGGACTCTTCGGAAGCGGGCAGGTTGGTCATGATCTATTCCGCGTCAGTCATCACAAGAGGACAAGAGGATTCGATGGGCACCAACATCGTGTTCGTCAATAAGAACCGGCCAACCAGTTCCGACACTGGCATATCTGTCCGTGGCAAAAGTGCCCCAGAACACTCTCCTCCTTTCCTCACGCTCAGTCCAATCTCTCGGCGGCAGAATCGATTGCTTGACATCGAGACCGGCACCATCAAGTCGGTTCAATCCCAGCATAAGGGCCAGTCTTGCAGCTTTGCCAACACTCAACCAGGCACGCGGGAAGTAAATCATTCGGAACTCGTAGGTGCCAATCAACACCCATGTTTGGCAATATGCTAGACTGACGATGTTTTCTCCGAATCCTTTCATCTCATCTCTTTCGGCGTATTTGCGTGCCCGATGGTAGAAATGGTCATGGAGAAAGAAGTACTTATCACTGACCGATGCAGCATGACACCACATAATGTATCGCAGACAGACCGGTGGCCGCATATTAGGTGCCAGATCTAAAGCAGCATAGTAGCGGGGACGATGGATGATGGGCATCATGGGGTAGATCTTTTCGAAAAACAGTGTGTCCCTAGAGTATGTCTCGAGTTAGAACGGCGAAATGATTTCCACGACGGTTCCACGCAAGTCACATACAGCTCATCGATCACATCCTGAGAGGGCAGTGGCTCCTCCAATCCTAAACTGATCAAGTCCCATTGGGAGTTGCCACTTGGTGTTGTATGCTGGGGTGGGGGGAATAACAATTGTCCTTGCTGGCCTGCGCTGGGGGCAGTTTGGGCCTGGAATGAGGTATCCATATTACCCCCAAAGCCCCCGAGCTCCCCCAAGTCTGACAGGTCCGGCAAGGCCAGCATGGATTCATCGCTTATGGGCGCGGTGAACGCATTATCCAACGGTTGGGGAGGGGAGGGTCTTTGATTCGGGTCTGGATCTTGGCCTTTAAGAAGCGTTTCTACCTGGGCTAATGCATCCATCATCGTCAGCGATATAGTCCTCAAGTGGTACAAGGTTCGTGACCATGGCTGTCAGGGCTCAGCATACCTAATCGTGCTTCAAGCTGCTTGAAATATCCCCGCTTTGGGCCACTCTTCTTGCGCACCTCATCATATGCGCATTCGTGGCCCAGCCTGGAGCATGTGCCGCAGCTCGGTCGTCTGCCATCGCACCTCAGTTTCCTCCTGCGACAGACGACACATGCAATGCGCTTCGGACGGGGAACGAAGTTGCTTTCGCCGGTGCCGGTGCCATCGGCCGGCGCACCATTTTCGGCAAATTCAAATCCCATTTGAGGGGCTCCAGACTCTGTGGGGTATAGAAAGGCGTCGGGGCCAAACTCGGACGGTGCCGCCATCTCGCGACCTCGATGTCACGTAGCTGAGTAATGTAGATGAGGTCAGCGTCTTTGAGCTGAGCCAAGCAGACTGGAGAAACGCGCGGCGTCAAGAGGCCCAGGACATCCAGCTTTTCATTGCCAAAGAGTGGAGGTGGGGATGGAGAAGGGAACCTCGGAAAGTTCTATGGATGACGGCGGGCTTCGTATCAGAGGCTGAGCTCCGACTTTTAAGAGCGGAACAGAGTACACTCTACTCGACAGCGATTAACCCCCTTTTTTGGGAGTAATTCGATCACCTTCTATCTTAAACTATATGAAAGCCTCTAATTTTCCCCCCGTTGACAGGGATCGGCATGGCCACGCACGAAGGAGTTGCCTGGAGGCTTGGCAGGGTCTTTCTAGATCGACTGTACGCCGTGTACATGCACTCCATGCGGTTAGTATGCATTTACGGTATACGAGCGCGCTTAGATACACTATATAATATCGAATGCGAACTTCGACTATTTTAGTTTGGGGGTGTATATGGTTGGAGCCTACTGTACAGTCTTCGAAGTGTCAATCGCAAACCAAAAGATTCCCAGAAATAGTGCAATATGGAACAAAATGAGACATGTGAAGAGGGACAAGATATCGTACAGTCATCCTCTGCACTGTAGGGATGAGGTATAGGGTAAGAGGGAACGATTTCAAAGACAGAGCCAATGCACGTTTAGTTGTAGCCACGGCGACGCTTGCCTTGGTTGCGAGGTCTAGCGTGAACGACGGCTTTGTTGATCTTCCACTTGGGACGGGTCTTGTAGCCGGATTTGGTCTGAAAAAGAGAGAACGGTCAGCTGAGATCAAATGCCATGATGCAGAGAAAGTACATACCGGAATACCCCAGGGACTCTTCGGGTCCACGTTACCCTTCGACTTTCCTCGACCACCACCGTGAGGGTGATCCATGGCGTTCATGGCCAAACCACGGACTGTCGGGCGAACGTTGCGCCAACGCGAGCGACCCGCCTTTCCGAGCTGGGTGTAGTGGTAGTTGGGGTTGCTGGTGATGCCAATGGTGGCACAGCAATCCTTGTGAATAAGTCGGATTTCGCCACTTGAGAGGCGGACCGTAATGTGCTGAGCCTGGTGCTCGTGCTTCTGCCTCTCACGCGCCGTCATCGGCTTCTTTTCGGCTTCCATCTGCACCTCCTGAACCGTTTGCTGGCGCGAGTCACTACCCTTGGCCACGACTGTGGCGTGTGTTCCAGCACTGCGGCACAATTGACCACCCTTTCCGGGCCGTAATCCCAAGTTGAAGATCAATGTGCCCACGGGAATCATGTGCAGGGGGAGGCAGTTACCTCTCCAGGCAGTTCGAGCTGCCAGCACACCAGGATCCACAGTACCACCCATGCTCTGCCACAGATCCTCAGGAATTCCGGACATGTAACTCTGGACCACGTCGCCGGCGCGCATTCCATCCGCGGCGAGGATGTAACTCAGCTTGCCGGTCTCCTTGCTCGCCGTCAGAGCAATATGTGCGCTACGACCGGGGTCATATTCAATACGCTCGACTGTGTGTGGCCCCGGGGCCATGCGCAAAAAGTCAATAGTACGAATGCGACGCTTAGCACCACCACCATGATGACGGACGGTCACTCGACCCGAGTTGTTTCGTCCACCCTTGGCGTGACCACGCTTGGGGAAGGTCAGCTTGTGCACCGGGCGGCCCTTGTACAGGTGATCGTTGACCGGTCGTCGCAAATGTCTCACACCGGGCGTGCGTGGAGTGTAGGTACGCAGGTTCACGCCGGCCGAGGCGCGGGTGGGTGGGGGAGCGAAGGAGGTGTTGGGATCGATGAAAGAGTTGATGGGGGTTTCAATTGGCTTGGGCTTGGTTTCGAGTTCATTTATGATCGTCGAGTACCCACGGACGGGGGAGGGTACAGAGGGTAGACACCGAAAGGGCAACCGAATGCCCCGGAGGGCCATTCGGGTTTGAAGCATCTCTGCCAGGGGAGAGAAAGGAATCGATCAAGGAGGATCAATGGGATCAATGGCAGATCGAAGGGAAGTCTCAAGTCCAACGTGGTAGACCAATAGGGACTCCGATGCTCGCGGTATGCACCTCTTGCGCTCGGAAACAAAAAGTTCGGGTTATCCACGTGACTCGAGCTCAGCGCCACAGTGTGGCACAGGACCTCAGTGTGGCGCAGAGGCTCAGATCTCGTGACCTATGACCTAATACTGTACGACGGTACCATACAAACGCCCTGGTTGCCGGGCAACGGGCTGTTTACACACCGCGAGGCTCCCGTTTCACCCGCGCCCTCGCGTATCCACCCCGTACCATCCGTACCTTACACCCTAACCTCTTAATTTCCTCCCCTTCATTGCTGGATCTACTACAGTACTTCTTCGGTCGCACCTCCAGTCCTTTTTTTTTGTTCCCTATCTCCCTCTTTCATTCCTCTATTCCACATTTTCCACACATAAAACCTGCATTGAAGTGCCAATATCAAATTGGTCAAGATCCACGCGACTGGGTGGGGCACCTTTCAGGTTGGGCCTGTTTTCGCGCTAGTCCAGTAGGGCCAAACATCGCCTTGCCCTCTCAAGTTCTTCATTTTCCCTCATTCCATTTAAAGATATCCTTCCTCTTTCCCCACCCCCCCAATCCGCTGTTAATCGCGTGCGAGCACCGGCCGTACCAATCGCCCAACTGACTCTCTTACTCTCGATACCTTTTTTTTCCCGGATTCGCGCGTCGTGAAGCTGGGTAACTGGGGTCATACGCGGGTCTCGTCATAAATCAACATAGTCTGATATTGGACTTGTACCTCCATCATAACATCGCAACCTGTCTGAAAGCTACCTGTACCGATCGGGCAGTGTAGTCTCTGCAGAACAACAGCATTTTCACGCGTGGTACGTGCACCTTAACCTCAATCCCCTGGTATGAGGTCCCACTGAGGCAATGTTGCCCGGAATGCTGACATGAGCTGCCGAGCAGAACAGGATTCTTTTATTCTTGTACCCTTCCTCCTATTCCTACGCGTTCTTTTCTCTTTCTTCCTTCCACGATGCCTCAGGTGAGCAATTGAAGACGTTGACCAACACGCGTTTTTCATCCTTGCTATCAGATATACGAGCTCGAATCCCGAGCTCAGAGTATATCCAACGTCATCAGACTGAAACTGACGTGACGCTAGGCTCGCACCCTTCGTACCCGAGGCACGATGAATGAGAACGATGAGAATGGACCCTCGGCACGCGTCACCCGGGCTAAGAGCGCCGCCCTGACCACTGACGCTGCTGGGACGAAGAAGGCCTTGGGCGTGAAGCGAACCACCACGACCACAACCACCGGAACTCAACGGCCTCGCGCCGCCTTGGGAGATGTCAGCAATGTCAACAAGACTGAGGTTGTCGACGCGAAGGCTGGCAAGAAGGCTGCTGCCAGCAAAGGTGGCCTGACCTCGAAGGCAACCGCTCACACTGGAGGAATCCAAAAGGTCAGCCGTACGAACTCCGCCCGCACTTCGACCCGACCTCCCCTTCAGCCCCGCGATTCGCACAAAAAGCCCTCTGGTACCACAAACAAGCGCCCGCCCAGCAAGGAACCATCCCTCCAGCCCGAAGAACCACCTCGCAAGAAGGCCGAATTGGACCGCAAGCCCCCCGCTATTAAGGAAATTCCCGAGCCAATTGTCGAGGCGAAGTCGACCCCCAAAGCATTCGAAGATGCCGTGCAAGATCTGGATACTGAGGACCTGGATGACCCACTGATGGCGGCCGAATACGTAGTGGAGATTTTCGACTATCTCAAGGACCTGGAGATCATCACGTTGCCCAACCCCGAGTACATCGACCACCAACCCGACCTCGAATGGAAGATGCGCGGCATCCTTGTCGATTGGTTGATCGAAGTGCATACCCGTTTCCGTCTCCTGCCCGAGACCTTGTTCCTCGCTGTCAACATCATTGATCGATTCTTGTCTGCCGAGGTTGTCGCTCTGGACCGTCTCCAGCTGGTCGGCGTCACCGCTATGTTCATTGCCTCCAAGTACGAAGAGGTCCTGTCCCCCCATGTTGCCAACTTCAGCCACGTCGCCGACGAAACTTTCTCCGATAAGGAAATCCTTGATGCCGAGCGTCACGTCCTTGCCACCCTCGAATACAACATGAGCTTCCCCAACCCCATGAACTTCCTGCGCCGTATCTCCAAGGCCGACAACTATGATATCCAGACCCGTACTCTTGGAAAGTACTTGATGGAGATCAGTCTTCTCGATCACCGCTTCATGGGCTACCCCCAGAGCCACATCTCGGCCGCCGCTATGTACCTCGCTCGCCTCATCCTTGAGCGTGGACCTTGGGTATGTTCACCGACTGTGATTTCTGACCATCTGCTAATTCTTTCCAGGATGCCACTCTCGCTCACTACTCTGGCTACACTGAAGAAGAGATTGAACCTGTCTTCCAGCTGATGGTCGACTACCTTCACCGTCCCGTCTCCCACGAAGCCTTCTTCAAGAAGTATGCTAGCAAGAAGTTCCTCAAGGGTAAGCGCACTTCTTCGCTTCAACCGTTCACCACTAACTCTCCCCAGCTTCCATCTTGACCCGCCAGTGGGCCAAGAAGTACCACCACATGTATGTTGATGGCGCCAACTCGCTCGCCAAGGACGAGCAGTAATTGTACCATTTACGATGTCATGCTACCCCTGCTGCGGTGATGTCGCCTTTCATGACCATTCCCTTGCGCTCGCGACGCCCCGCGCAGGCAGATTGCACTCCTACATATGTTGGCATTTCATTGTGCTGGTATCGACTACCTCTTTGCATATTCTTACGACGACTTGATTGAATTTGTGCGCTTCCCGCATTTGTTTCCTGTGGTGGGGTGTTTGGCGCTCGGTTCTATTGTTTCCTTCTTCGGCCTCATTCTCGTGCATGGGTATTTGCTCCGGCTTGCCCTGATACCTTTTTTACATTCTCCGTCCGTGTTTCCGGCGTCGGGATTTATTCATTCAAATCGCAATTTTAACTTCTTATGGACGCATCTGTTAACCGGCACTTTGGCCAGAGGTGGGGAGTTGGGACTTTGGAAAAAGAACGGAGGTAATAGTGAAATGTTGAAGTATTGCGATGTGCTCCAATTAAACTTAGCCGAGGTCTCCCCTCTTGTTTAGTTCCCAACTACACTGGTTTAGTCTATCCCAACTACACCTCTTGTTCAGTCCTAAAACTGCATCTTCCAACTCATCCCGATGGATTCATGTGCATTTTGCAAGATTGCTGCCTCCCATCCTCCGGTGCCCTTCAATGACCCTGCAATCAATCCCACCTCCACAGATCCCGACTTAAGACCCGTGTCCCATCTAATTCTCTCTACTGAGCATGTTCTGGCCTTCTTGGACATCATGCCCCTCACTCGGGGGCATGTGCTAGTCGCCCCGAGGCAGCATTACCACACAGTAGGAGACATGACCGTCCAGACCGGACAGGAGGTACATCCAAATCTCGTATTCGACACGATCCGATCTAACCTATTCCTTCACCGAAATAGATCGGCAAGTGGCTTCCGATCCTTTCGAGGGTTGTCATGAAGACCGTATTTGGAGATGATCTCGACAGACATTGGAATGTGGTCCAGAACAACGGTATGTCGTGCCCTTGCTTTTCTCCATATTCTCCCCTGTGTCGCTCTCGGATCTAGCTTGGTGATTGCGACTCTCCGGGGCTGTTATCAATCTTGTGAGCGCAAGGAGGGAATGGATATTGGATTCCAGTCATTGGCAGCCATTCAGACCGCGCTGATCATGTTTCATACTATCGTAAAGATCTATAGAATGGGATGAAAGGTTGAAAAATAATTATGCTGACCGCATCCATAGGCGAAAGAGCAGCACAGGTTGTGCCTCATGTCCACTTCCATATCATCCCCCGTCCTGCCACTGGGGCGAATCAGAGAACGAGCTTTGCCATGTTCGGTCGTGGGCAGAGGGAGGAGCTCGATGATGATGAGGCCGAGGTCTTGGCCCGAGAGATCAGACTCCAGCTGATCGAGGAAGTCAAGCGCATCCAGAAGGAGGAAGGCGTGGACTTGGCCGGTCTGAATGCCGATCCAAATCGAGGGAAGCTGTGAAAGTGCACTTCATCCTGGATCTCGCTCTTCTCGCTTGCAATTATCCGCCTTGCCCTTTCAAGGGCCTTGAAACCATATTGAGTCATGCCATGTCCAACGCCTTTTGGGATCCCCTCGCTGCTGCCATGACTATATGACATGTCTTCTCGTGCACGATATTGTGAATCATTATTGCGATGCTTCGGAGTCTTCTCCGCATCTTGTGCCGTGGCCTTTCAACATATGCTTTTTTCCGTTCATTAGCCCATTGCTTCGGTCCCGTCTCATCAACATAGTACGTACCACTCGTCGGAATGCATTGAGCTCGTTAGCATTGTAGCCATCAGCGTCGGTCCTCTTCCGAGCCATCGAGATATCCGACAGTTCTCCTTCGGGGAGGCGACGGTAGGTAATTAGTCGACGAGCCCCTTTCAGTCTAAGGTTAGCAGGGTTCAGAGTGTCTCAATTTCGGCGAGGGTGACATACAATTTCCAAAGTCCTGAACACTGACACTGACGACCTCCAGATTCTCGTGCATGGGCACCGGGAACTCGAGTTTCTCGTCATTGGAGGTTGGCATCCACATCGACAAACGACCATTGGTGACCAACGCCTGAACCGCAAAGTTGAGAACATCATTCTGCAATGCCTCGAACCCGTACGGCTTTTTGGGGGGAATGAATCCAGGTCGGCTGCAGAATTGTCAGTCTCGGAGACCAAATCGATAGAACTCGACGTACAGATAGGCGGGAACCCCGTCGATGATGACATTGACAGCCGGTTTTCCCTTGCGCTCTCCCAGGACCCGAAGTCCTTCTCGCACGCCGTAGGGTGGATCACAGACAATGCCATCAAGAAACCCACTCCTTCGAAATGGCGTGTTTGTCAGATCCGAAGTCAGTGTGTCGATGAACTTGCTCTCCGTTTTATACTGGATGAAGTTTTCAAAGACCCCCAGTTTGGACCGGTCTTTGCCGCGGAAGCTACGGCCATCAATATCTGCGCCCATCGTCAATGCTCCGAAGTGCGCGGCGCAGACGATAAAACTCCCTGTGCCCACAAAGGGATCGAAGAACAACTTTCCCGGTGCTGCCAGGGCCATATTCGCTGTCACCAGACTCAGTTCTGCATCCATGGAGGTCGTGCTGATATATCGGCGCTTTTTGAGGTCGTATTTGATGATATCTTCACGGCAGCTGATGCCCAGTTTGCGTCCCAGGAAGATTTTCCGCGGTTCTTCTATCCTCGATACTCCTAGTGCGGCGACTTCAACGTCATCAATGTACTCTTCCATCACATGGAACTCTTCGTCGGGATTCTTCATCTGAATTGGACCGTGGAATCCCATGTACTTGAACGATCGCATGATTTCTCCCTTCTTCTCCATACTGCGCGTTCCTGAAAAACTGGTGATGACGAATTTCCATGGGACGTTGTTATAGCCTTCCCATAGATGCTGGGATCGTCGGCGGACATCTTCATGTAGCTCCTCGTAGGTAGTGCCTTGGCCCCATAGTTCGAAAACATCCTTGGCTAAAACGCTGCGCTTGATAGTGGCAGCGGCCGCAGCTGCATCGGGGAATCTCACGACGCAGTGTGGGGACTAGGTTCCATGTCAGTGTCATTCTTTCAAGAAAGTGATTCTATATCTCGAGGACTGTTTGGAATCAGGGAGTATTCTTATAAAGAGTCATACATATTGATTATAGGACAGGATCTCGATCTCGGCGCCGGCAATGGTGGCACAGGCCTCGAGTTCCGGTCGCCGGAAAGTCTCATGAGTCTGAGCAAAGCGAACGAGATATTCCATGGTGGGAATGCCTCGAGGTCCAAGGTTGACCAGGTGCCCAGGTGGTGATGTTGGTGGAGGCGGGGTGCGGATAGGTTTTTTTTTTCCTCGCGGGGCTCCGATATATACTCCCCTCACATAGTCCTCGTCACATAGCCATCCATTGCTCTACATCGTCATGGCTACATGTTTCGCTTTAACATTGGAATATCTAAGTATGTTCAAATCAATTACAATCTGATATTGAAAGGAAATTTGTGAATGGACCAGTCCAAAACAGAGGATATCACAGGAAACAACAGATACGCCTGAGACATCCCAAACTCCGTCCCTATGCAACTACCTTAAAAACATGTCGTGATTCGTATCCATCCACCGTGCTCACACTCACCTTCTCATCGGCAGGGATCATATGGTGCTGTAGATCCCACCCTGCCCGACGAGAAAGCTCCGACACCACCACATCACAATCCCCCAGGAGATCAATATCGAACTCGGTATGTGAGACCGGCTAGGCCTACAGTCAGCAGAGAACCAGGGACAGGAAATCCGAAAGAGCTTACCGTCCGTGAGATGTAGATCTGCGGGATGTGACGCGGTAGGATTCCTGGGACTTCCGCCACGGGGGCCACCTTCAACGACGTTCCGATCACGATAACCAAATCGGCGAGTTCGCGATCATGGTGGATGAGTCGTTGGCCGAACTCATCGGGAAGGTCCTCGCCAAAGAAGGTAATGTCGGGCTAAATAAGGTGAGTATGAGAGATGCCAGAGCGGAATTGATGACTACCAACCTTCATCACGCCAGGGGTGGGGATTTCATAGTCGTCCTCGTCCGAACTATCAGAGGCCTTGCGGTCTTTCTGCTGTCCGTTGGAGCTTCGCTTGCGCTTGAGCCCCTGCGGTTGCAACGCTTCCTCGGCGATCCTCTCCTTGCATACGGTGCATTCGGGGATATTCCCCTCTTTGATTTCGCCAAAGATCGCATCGCCATTTACCTTGTGCTTGCATTTGACACAGGTGGCAGTTGCAAAGGAACCGTGACACTGGACCATCTTTTCCGGAAGCACTCCTGCATTGCCTTCGATATTGTCAATGTTCTGGGTATAGTTGGTCAAAAGCTTTCCCTTGTCCTGAAGTAATCGAATGAAGCCATGGGTAGGAGACCATTTCTTTTCGGTCGGAAGGATATCTTTCGCGATGGAGAAGAAGATGCTGGGGTCCTCCCGGAACACCTGGATATCGAACACCTCCTGGGGATCGCTGAGGCCCAGGTGTTCGAGCTTTGAGTAGAGACCGGTATCTTTGGAACGGAAATCAGGGATACCTAGGCTCGTTGAAATCTATATCGGTGCCAGTCAGTACCCGCGAAGCCATGGAAAGCCCTTTCATCTTTGATCGAGCCACTTACACCCGCGCCGGTCAGGACGATGATGTTCCGGGACTCGCGAAGCAGTCGCACCGCATCGTCGATAGTGTTATACTGGGGGAGTTTCGGCCGTCGAGAGAATTCGCGCGAGATCGCGATCGCCAGAAGGGAGTGATAGGCCTCATCTGGGGCGTCGTCCAGGAATGCCGGGGGCACGATGCCAAACGCCGTACAGAGCTTCTTGGCCGTGACGGTTTCGCGCACAATGGTCTCCTCCACAAAGGCCGCTTTTCCGATCGCATGCAGACGTTGGCGATAGGCAGTAGCCTCCTCTAAGGTACAGGCTCCCGGGACTAGACCGGAGAGGCGCGTTAGCCTAGGATCGCGATCTCCGAGAGCGGGGATCCGGGGTAGGAAGGGTGGGTATTTACCTAGACCGTCGCGAATCTGGTCGTCGCGGAGCAGCTGAATGGCGTCTTCGCAGTTGGACAGATTCTCCCAGCCGTCGGAGTCGCTGTCTGTCTCCAGATCCGAGAACATCGCATCTACAGCGAGATCCGCGTTGGTCATGTCCACAGCGTCCACAGCCTCCACTTCAACCACGGGGGACTTCAACGAATCCGCTCCGCTGGGGGCTGGTTTCAAATCCATGTTGCAGGAGTTGAGATGCCAGCCACGGAGACAACGCTTTTTCTCGTGAACTTGCGCTGGCAAAAACTCGACTGTATGGCCGGAGTCAATATAATCCGGGACCGAGAGTGGCGATATCGCTGAAGTCGAGATGTAAGTATACAGTAGGTGTAGACGCAGCAACTTTCTATTCTCCTCCCTAGACCTTGGTGGGAGGTCTCTCCAGGTTGATTGATTCCTTTAATGATCAGTTGGGCAGCAGGTCTTACGCATATCATTGGTTCCAGCATATCACGCTTTCTTTGACACTGTGTCCGTTGCATGGCATCCGTGGTCATGCTATTGAAGTATAGAAGTACGCGGTATCCTTTCAAGTCGTTTATGCTGAGTGTTTCACCCGTTTGGTGTCCTAAACTATACTGTATACCCAGCATGTTTATGAACAGGTAGAAAGAGCAAGCCAGGTCATTTACTTTGTTTCCCATGCGGTATGGTACCTGATGTGGAGGTATGTGGACATCAATGAATACACATGCCCGTATATATATGAAGATTCCTAGCCTCGAAAGGCTGGCAGCATGGTTAGTCCCTGTGAAGGGAAAGGGCAAAAAAGAAATGCTCACACTCGGAGTCGAACCGAGGATCTCATCATTACTAGTGATGCGCTTTACCACTAAGCCATGCGAGCTGATTGGTGGAGAGCGGATCACCACTTGCGTCTATCAATCTACGGATGTGAATCTTCTGTTCACTGGCACTGCACTGAAGTTGCCTCTCTTTCCAATGCTCCTCGGAAGCTCAATATTCACACTGTCCACATGATGGATGTCCGTATCTCTATGCGCGGGAAGATCGTTGTGTCAGGGGTCCTCGGGGTATATACCTACCTAGGTAGGTATATATGCTATCATCACACACTCAGTCCTTCCCACTGAGTTCCTGCAAGCGAGCCATCTGCCAATATTTGCCTTCCATCCTTATCAACTCAGCATGGGTTCCTCTTTCAACGATCCTACCAAAATCAAAAACAAGGATCTCGTCGGCATCAACAATTGTCTTCAATCGATGGGCGATGGCGATTGTGGTCCGGCCTCTCATGGCGTCTCTTACAGCCCGTTGGACTAGCTGCTCCGATGCGGTGTCGAGTGCGGAGGTTGCCTCATCCAGCAAACTATTTGGGAGTCAGAAATCAGCACGGATGGAAATCAAGAGTGACGTACAGAATTCGAGGCCGAAGGAGAAGAGCCTTCGTGATCGCCATGCGCTGGCGCTGTCCGCCGGAGAACGTCGAACCATTCCCCAAGACAGAAGTGCTTAATCCTTGCGGAAGAGACAGCTGGAACAATAGTCCAAGTCAGATCTTCTTGACCAATTCGAGCTCAAAATTGGGGAGGCAAATGCTTACCACAAAGTCTCCCAGTCCAACAGACCCCAAAGCTGCCTGGATCTCATCGTCCGAGAAATATCGCTCGCCACTTTGGAAACATTCTCGCAAGTCGTCTCCAACCAAGCATGGATTCTGATCGACGAGTGCGATATACCCACGATAGCTATCAACAGAGTATTGGGCAATCAATGTGTTGGCAAGCCTGATCTCGCCCTGGTCCGCAGGATAGAACTGCTCTATCAAGTTTACCACAGAACTCTTACCACTACCGGTAGTTCCGACAAGTGCAATAAAAGACCCGGGAGGGGCTTCAAAGCTGACTTCATCCAAGGCGAGTTGGGATAGACGCGCCGGATATCTGAAGCTGACCTTTTGCAAAGACAGATTTTCCGGTGCGCTTGGCACAGGTAGAGACATGCTAACGTCCGGCGTTGCGAAGCGTTGCGAAGGCTGTGTTTCCATCAAGTCTCTCACTTTTTGAGCAGCACCATGAGCACCTGCAATATCCGGAGCACGCGAAAAGAGTGTCGCCGCCGACTGTGTTCCCCAGACTGTCGCAGCAAAGCAGATAAAAAACTGCTGGATGGTATACTCGCCCGTTGCGATGAGGTGAGTGCCTCCGTACCAAAACACAAATGCAATGCTCAAGACGCGTAAGGATGTCGTGCATGCATACATGGTAGCCGAGAGAACCCAGTATTTGGGTCGACGGTCTCGGTCGCTTGCCCTTTGAAAGGATTCCATGACTGAGGTATGCAGGCCGAGCACCGTCACAGTTCGAATTGCAGTGAAGGCTTCATGAGCAACAGCTACAGCGTCGGTGTCACGCCTGACAAATTTCTCAACCTGCGCCACAATATAGTATTGCAGGAATCCAGAGGCTGCCACAAGTGGAACGGTCGCGGTCGCAACAAGTCCGATCTTCCAGCCAAAGATGCACCCAATGGCAATTCCGGTTCCAAGCATCATAATGCTTTCCGCCACGAGCCCGAGGGACGTTCCTGATACACCAATCACCTTGACAGCCTCCGAGGAGAGAAAGCTCACCAACGCCCCTGTTGAATGGCCATTTTTTTCGAAGAAAGGAAGACTTTTGAAGAGGAATGTCTTGAACAGCTCTGACCGGGTCCGAAGACTCAGTCGACACGCCGACACCGCGAGGCAATATCCTCGGAGGCAGTAGACTAGAAGCACAATGAACCCGTGGATCAAGTACATCTTTGCCCAGTATTGGGTGTCGTGGCCACCTGTGCTCAAAGAGGGTTTCAAGATCGACATGATCCCGTTACCGAAGAAGATTGCTTGGATGGGGTATGTTGCACCGGCCAGCACACTGAAGAAAACGCCTGCAGATGTATACAGAACTTCTGGGTGGTTCAAGCCCCAGATAAGCTTGATGCTGCTTCCGGAATGGGCTGCAGATGAATAGTCATCGGCTGGTACGGTATCGATGCTAATAGAGACGTCGCGTGGCTGTTGCTTTGTCTGGAATGTCTGCGTAGCTAGGCAATTCTCTTGGTTGTTCAGGCTAAGCTCTTGTTGTCCGACCAGCTCTTGATACCGTGGGCATTTTTGCATTAACTCCGAATGGCTTCCTTCATTCAAAAATTTCCCATCCCCCATGACAAGGATTTTGTCCGCGTTTCGAATCGTCGAGAGGCGGTGCGCAATGATCATAGTGGTGCGCCCGGAAGCAGCTGCATTGAGAGCTTTCTGGACGTCATTCTCACTTTGACTATCGAGTGCGGCCGTGGCCTCGTCAAGCAGTAAAATTGCCGGCTGCGATATTATTGCACGGGCAATTGCAAGCCGTTGTCTTTGGCCACCCGATAGTCTTGATCCGCTCGCCCCAATGACCGTCTCATAGCCTTGAGACAGATTGGTGATGAAGCAATGGATGCCAGCAGTCTCAGCCGCTTGCACTACTAGTTGCCGGATGCTCATCTCATCCAGTGTCTATTATCAAGAGCCAGTAAGTATGCCTTCAGGAATGGCACGTTACTCGGGGCATACCTCTTGAACATGTTGTGGGAGTCCATGGGCAATGTTCGAATGGAGGGTTGTGTTGAATAAGGCAATGTCTTGACCGACGTAACCGATCTGAGATCTGAGCCAGGAGATATTCATCTCCGTGATCGGGGTGTCACCTATCGTTATTCGACCACTTAGTGGGTGGTACATTCGCTCCAGCAGGGCGAGGACTGTGGACTTTCCAGAACCAGAGGGCCCGACCAAAGCCACAGTATCTCCCGCGGGCACTTCGAAACTGACCTTGTCGAGGACCAGGTGCCCCAAGCGCGAGGGATAAGCAAAGCTGATATCTTCAAACCGAATGACTCCAGTCACCAGATCGGGCTTTACACCCGTCTCCTCTAGAGGGTTGATCGCAGAGACTCGGTCAATCACCGCGAAGACCCGAGATGCTGCTCCATTGGCGTTTGCAATGCTCACAACGAAAGGCAAGGCCTGACAGAGCATACCCCCAGCAACAGTTGTCGCATACAGGATAGTCAGGACCTCTGAGATGGTACACTGACCCAGACTAATCAAACGCTCGGCTTGCCAGAACTGTGACTCTTATCAGAAAGGATCGATGACCAGGCGTGAGGTTAACATACCCCGAGTCCGTTGCCCCAGTGCAGGATGGCGAACGAACCGGCAACGATCACAGCAAAGATGAACCTTTCCCGGAAGTCCAAGACCGACAGATACTGTAAGATGCCGTGGTACTTTTCCGCGTACCTTTCTTGACTGCGATAGGCGATTACATTCCTCATAGCACCAAGGACCCCTTGAGCGAAATTGCTCGCCCGCACACTATGGGCCCACCCCTTTCGCTGGATTTTACTTACCCAGAATCCCATCATTCCGACGAGGAGAATGAGCGATATTGGCTGAGTGATCATAATGGACGCAAATCGCCGATTGCTGATGAAGGCGCAGACCAGGGCGACGACGAAACCAGATAGCCCGGAGATCACATCGCCCACTTTCTGGGAGATCCCGTCCTGGATCAACTTCATGTCTTGATCAAGATTAGAGATCAACTCGCCTGGTCCAATCACGTCAAAATATGCGATATTCTGCTGTAGAACTGACGACAAGAGGCTTTGTTGGAGCTGACGCGCGAGTCGCTCCCCAGTTGCATTGAAACCCCATGTGCTGATCAAAGTCGTCACAAAGGACCCAATCGCTGGGCTCATAGTCAGCTTAATCCAGAAGGTGACGAGAGCGGCCTTTACCGATGATCACCAGCATAACAGTGAAATGTTGAGTCCGGTCGATCACATACTGCGCAGACTTTTCGTCGCCATGAATGAATTCATCGGCCATTAACCCAAACACCACGGTGACCAAGGGCATCGCTGCACCGGCGATCATCGCGCATAATGCCGAGCCAAGAAGCGTGCATAGCTGCAATGGTGTTGTGTGTCGGTAGAGAGACAAGAATGAGGCCGTGCTCAGCTCGATGTGAACCTGAGAGTTGATGACCTCGGGGACGGGGGACCCGGCGATCGGCTCGATATCTTGAAGCAGAATCTCGGCAGATACCGACATAGTTCCGGTCTATTGCACTTCGAAGTTACGGCCCGCGTTGGCTATACTTGGGGCGGATTTGGGGCGGACAAGGGGTGCATACCAGTGACCTGTCCACAACATGCATCCCACGCGATGACCCATCGGGGAAACGCCAATCTGCAAGGTCAATCACACTATTGGCTGTAAGTCATGTATACTGTACTCCGTGTGGTTGCAGAGCCGAAGTTGAGATCACAACGCATCAACTGATCGACATGTCGAGCGAATCCATTACAGGCATGGTCGGTTTGGCCTCGAATCAAGCTGAGACCTATTGCTGAATGTGCATATTCCCCCTACTCCGTACTGTATGCTTGTTTATTTCCATGAAATTCGATAACTCGCTACGTTTTGACGCGTGCCAGGTTGCATCCAGGGCGCTATCTTGAGACAGAAAACCGTGTCCTCGAAATTGTGAAGAACCTAAAGCTGACCGTCACTGTTTCGCAACCTCGGAATGTTCGCCCAGAATTGGTTCATCGTCATAAATAGACATCAATTGCCGGTGAATCTCTTGCCATGCCCCCGATCGGGTCTTAAATAGAAGCCACCAGTCCCCAGCTGCATCCTGACCAAGAATGCGAACCACATTGCGAGTTGGATATCCCCGAGCATGTTCAATATCATTGATATACGAGGGTTGACCCAGCGCATGCGCCCGGTCAGCCAAAGGCACACCGGGCTTGATCACCGCGCCCGAGAAATCGGCATTGAAGTTGCCCGACATCTGTTGGTTCGTGCAGGCCATGAAGAAATTATTTGACCGCCCGATCACCGGCGCCGTCCTTTTGTAGGATTCCCTCTGAATGGCTGTCATCGCCTGAACTTGTTCCCGGGTCCTGTGCTCCATCAGCGCCTGGCGGTTCTTGACTGCGGTGTATGCCAGGCTACCGTCGTGGAGAACCTTGTTCGAGGAGAGGAGCGTGTAGGAATAGAAGAATGCATTCCCGATGAAGCCAGCTCCATTAGGAGGGAACCACTCCGGGAAAAGCTTCCATACATTGAACACGTTCATCAATAGAATCGGTCGTTCTGGTGAAGGCTTCAGCGCTGTGATCATGGTCCTCATCCACCATGAGATGACTACATCCCCTTCGCTGACAAAAGGAACTTCGGCTCCCTTGGGAGCTGTCTCGGCCAGCTCCTGTCGTGCCAGCTCTCTCATCTTGGTCACGTAGTTTCCTGGCACACGAATGGTGTGGTCCACCACATCCTGGGTGAACAGTAGCTCTATCATATATCGAATACCAAACATCACAAGGCTGATCCCGCGCAACAAGAGCCCAAAGTGGTGGTATCTTTCTTTCGGGTAATCCTGCCCCAGCGTATGGAGCGGATCTTGATCGAACGAGACCATCGGCGGAAGGTTTTCTTCATGACCGCTCAGCACCGCACTCCACGCCTTCCAAAATGAGGTGCGAGAAATCGCATCGAACAGTGTATGTATATAGCTGGTCGTGATCAGGGTGGTGTCGCGGAACGAAACGACATGGATGTGAAGCTGGGGACGGTCCGAATAAATCCAGTCGGCCAGCTCCTTGGGACTGTCCGGATGACGGACTAACGATTCGAAAAACCTCCCCGGAGGGGATAAGAACGACTGATCGTAGTCTTGCTTCGGCAATTCACACCCAATTGGATGCTCACCGATGTTCATATCGTAGTTCGCCGTGGTGAAGATGAAAGGCGGACGCGTCTCGGTGTAGTTGGCTGGTATGTGATACTCCAATCGCTTGTCACTCTGGCATATTGTCAGCTGCATCGGCGAAATCGCTCTGGAAACACCCTCACCCTCAATCGCAAGCGAGCACCGAGCTGCCCCCAATTCCCAATTTCCATCAACCGAGACAACGCTGATTCAAGCTTTTGGACATCGAGGACATCGTCGATGCGGAAGGTGAAGTCGTGACAGATCCCTCGAATGTACTCCAGATCATCCCAATACCGCAGTGGAACCACCCGATCAGTCGGCACTTTTGCTGGCTGTCTTCGAGCGAAGCCTGGAAACATATTGAGTGGGATCGAAGTCGCGGGTTGAGATGTTAGCGATCAAATGCTCGGAGAATTGCAGGCGCTGCGTCTGTTATGAGTGAACGGTTCTGGAATCTGCGTCGACGATATGTATGTTCATGGGTATGAAGCTGTTAATGGTCAGTTCGAAATTGAGAGAAATTGGCTTTGATCAACTTCCTACGGAGTATAGATGCATCGGACATGCAAGGGACCAAAGCTCCATGTTAGTCTCTTATTTGGCGTCATACAATGACAAGAAAGACTGATCAAATTTTCGAGTTGAACAGATCGACATGATTGTTTGCCGGTCATGCGAGGGATGAGAAACAGACGGCGTCCAAGTGCGAAAATTCGGACAAGCTTACGGAGTAGACATATCACAAGGTACTAGAGCAGCTGCAGTTGTGCGCCACATTAAAAATCTGCAGGGCTATCACTTTGCGTCCCCGAAGGAAAGCAGTCCATTTGTCGGTGTGCGGTTATTTGCTCTCACGGACGTGCTGTAAATAGCGCCCGAGGGCCATCATGGGGAAGTAGTGGCGATAGTAGTCATACCCAAGATAGAAATGACTGGGGAATCCAGTTCCTGTGAACACAGATTCAGGCCACGAAGATCCAATCTCCTCTGGCTGGAGATTGGCCACCAAGTATCGAATACCGCGCTCAATGGCAGGGTCTGTGGGAGGCAGATGTGCCAACAATCCCATCAAAGCCCATGCAGTCTGAGATGGAGTGGAACTCTGCTGATCTTGACTTGGCGACCGGTATGAAAGGAGTGATTCGCCCCAACCCCCGTCGGCCTGCTGTTTGGATCTCAGCCACTGCAGCCCCTGCAACACCATTCCGGACACTCGCGGATCATCGAAGTATGCAAGACCGCACAGTGCGTGACTCGTGCCATACACGTAGTTGCAACCCCATCGTCCGAACCAAGCGCCACTCGACTCCTGCGTAGACGCAATGTATGTGATGCCACGAGCGCAAGCTGCGCGTAGTGCAGAAAAGCAATCACCGGTGAGAGTCTTCTCTGGCGCGTGCTTGATCATCAATCCGAAGGCTTCCAGGATACGCCCCGTGATGTCCGCGCAGGATGTATCGCATAGACTGTCCATGTCGCTGAATGGAATCTTGTTGAGGAACAGCTTGTCATTCTCCACGTCAAAGGCAGCCCAGCCCCCATCGGGATTCTGCATCCCCACAATCCATGCTGCGGCTGCCATCACGGAGTCAGATCCAATAGATGCCACGTCATGCTTGATCTGGGCGAGAATGATGGCCGCCGTGTCGTCCACGTCGGGATACCAGGTGTTGGTGTATTCGAAGCTGAAGCCACCCGGTGGTAGTCCCGGCCGGTATACACGCCAATCCCCATGAGGCACAATCAATTGTCGATTTCGGATCCAGGTAATGGCCCGGTCGACGACGTGTTGATCGGGCGTCATGGCGTCGCAAAGTCCAATCGACATGAGGGCCGTGTCCCACACCGGTGAGATACAGGCTTGGATTCGTTTGCCCCGGTCATCCTCCCAGGCAAAATTCTCAATGGCTTGGATGCCCAGCCGGACCGGATCGTCGTCTATCTTGTAGCCCTCGAGGACGAACGCAAACACGCTGCCATGCATGGGTGGGAAGATCCCCGCCCAGTCCCCGGTTTCTTCCTGTCGATTGAGGATCCATTCGAGGCATTTGCGTCGAGCATGAGAGCGGACGATCGGGAGGGAGCGTAGTCCATTCAACCAGTAGAGTAGTTTGTCCACACAGGTGAATGCAACGCCCGGAAGATCACCTTGGAACAATAATCCCAGCATGGGCAGGCCATATGGCACGTTTTTTTTCGTGGCATCAAGCCACAACTCATCAAGATAGTCATTGTTGGCGAACTTTCCGTTTGGCAGTGGGAAGATCGGTTGGTGATGGCAGATCAGTAACAGAGGGGCAATCGTACCCCGAGCCCAAGAAGCAAACGTGTATATATTGATCGGACAACTTGATGGAAGAAGAATCAGTTCCACGGGGAGCTGTGGCACTCCATCCCAGGGGAACAGGCCAAAGGTTGCTAGGAAGATACGCGTGAACACGCGGACTTTCGCAATACCTCCAGCTTTCAGCACAAAGTGCCGAGCACGCTGCATCGCTGCATCGCTGGGATCGAGGCCCAGGATCTTGAGAGCCAAATATGCCTCTGCTGTAGTGGATACGTCGCCTGGATGCTCGGGAGCCAGTCCCCATGAGCCATCTTCGTTCTGTTCAGACAAAATGTGTCGACGATAGGCTGCGCTGTCGACGTTTAAATCGAGTCCTAAAGCCTGTCGAAGAAAGATATATTCCGCAGTAATCGTGACGTTTGATCTGAGCTCGCCGCACCAGTGGCCATCGGAGCGAAGTGCGCCATGGGCGTAATCTCTGGAGAGCTTTAAAGCATGCTCGACTTGAGAAGCCAAATGGCGCAGTTGAATAGGGTCACTTGAAACTCCATTGGTATGGTTCATCGTGGATATTTCGCTGCCCAGGTGGTGACCTCGAAGGTTGATACCGGGTCTCGTTTCATAAGCCACATAGGAAAAGGGTTTAATACTCACATCAGTGCCAAGTTCACATCAGTCTGCACAGATCTATGCAAAGCCAGGGGCCGAGCACTCTCCCTTGCAGAAATCCACATTGCTGGGCCCAAGTCGTGCAGTCTCAGCCGCGCCATTTGACATAGAACTGGGCTGAGGAAAGGGATATATGATCTATCATCCCATTATTGACCTATCGGATGACTCAGGTCCATGGGTACGAAGAAGCCGATCTGAACTCGTGGATTTGATTAATCACGCGTGAGGTCGCATCAATTCGCGTTTTCCCTCTATATGCATACACTAACACTACACAACACTGAGCCGAGCTTCTCGCAATGATGCTTCCGTCGGCTGTGGAGATGGCCAGAAAGGCGGCGCTGGCCATGTCGCCGACTGTAGCTCTCCTAGGCATCATGATCATGATCGTGATTTACCAGTTCGTCCACCCGCGAAGAGCGAGAGATCCGGAGCCCCTTCAGTGCGAGAAGCCACGAGACGAAAATGACCGCTTCCGATACGATATATTCGGCATCGCGAAAGCCCTCGAACTAGGATATCACCTTCGTCGCAGAAGTTCCCTTTCATACACCAATGCATTGTTCAGCCGATATGGAGAGACCTATGCTTCACGGGTAATGGGGCATCGACTTGTGTTTACGTGCAACCCCGAGAACACGACGCATTTGCTATCCACTGCATTCGCAGATTTTGATAGCTCGCCCCTGAGAAAACCGATGTTTGAGCCGATCACGCCGCATGGGATTTTCACCCTCGACGGCGCAGACTGGAAGACGAGTCGAGGCCAGCTACGCGGACGATTGGCCAATCTGAGGAAGATCATTGATTTGGATCAGTGTGAGGCGCATTTCCAAGCATTTCTCAGACATGTACCGGTGGATGGAACCGTATTTGACGTTCAAGCCTGTAACTTTGCTTTGTCTTTGGATATGCAAACTCTTTTCTCGTTGGGGGAGTCGGTCGATGCTCTCAGCTTGACTCCGTCCCCAGAGAAGAAGCAATTCGTCGATGACCTCCTTCTTGTCAAGAACCGCATTGTCGACGATGGGTTCAGGGGACCTCTGCGTCATTTGTTTCCCCGGGGCCGATTCCTTCGCGCGTGCAAGAGAGCGCGAAGTTTCGTGTTAGCACACGCCACTCGCGAGGTTCAGAAGAGAAGAGGGGAGAAGGTCGATTCCAATATAGAACGCCAAGAGATCTCTCAATTCGCCGATGAAGCTTTGAGTATATTGCTAGCAAATGATAGCATGGGCACTGCATTGTCAGGCATGTTTTATTGTCTTTCCAGGAGCGAACGCGTCGTCCGCAATCTCCGTGACAGCATTGTTGATACGATTGGCCTTGCACCTCCGACATGGGGTCAGCTCAGTTCTCTCCATTATGTTCGTTGGGTGATCTTCGAAGGTGAGACTCCCTCTCAAAGGAGCAAGATACAATGAACTGACATTTGAGGGAAAGTCCTAAGACTTTACCCTGCCGTTGTCCTCAATGCAAGAGTCGCGAACAAACATTGCACCCTGCCCAGTGGTGGTGGGGTTTATGGAACCTCGCCAATCCTGGTGCGCAAAGGTGAGATAGTGGTGTTTTCCACCTGGGCTCGACATCGCCTGGGAGAAGAATTTGGCGTCGCACCGGAGGAGTTCCGGCCAGAGCGATGGGAACATCTGGGGGATATGCCCGGGTTCATCCCGTTCAACAAAGGACCAAGAATATGTCCTGGTCGTAGGTTTGCTCTTGGCTGTTGGTATTCTATCTAACCCGTTAGCAGAGCAGTACGCCATGATCGTTCTCACCTATATCATCGCCCGCATGTTTCAAACGTTCTCAACGGTGTCCGATTACAATGTCAAGCCATGGACAGAAAGAATCGCCATGACTTTCGAAAACGAGAATGGGGTTCTGATTGGGTTAAAATAGCTACGAGAGTAATTTGAAAGAGCCCTTTTTGAAAATCCGAATATCATTCTACCTATGCATACCCGCTCGGCTCATTTGGTCGGAGCATCGTCAGAAATGGACTCTCAGGCTGTTCCAGAGTCCGCTTTTATCCCGCTTAGCGCACGCCTGAGCATTTGAAGCTGGCGGAGGCCGGTGTCATCTTCTCATTCCAGGATTCGAACTATCCGCGTAAATTGGAGGAAGTGGGGCATGCGGAATATTGCCGCGCATGACAGGAAACACATGGATTCTGCCCTTGAACGATCCACCGTTGCCTTCGATTTGCGATTGAACCCGTTGGTTAACAATCGCGCCCCAGCCGACAACCATGTTGTATTCCTGAACATTCCGGAATACCAACTCGCAACGCCGTGAGAAGGGCCCGTCAAGATCGCTTGGTACCGGGTGGTCACCCTTCTGAAAGAATGGTTTCTCAACATGATTGGGGAACAGTCTCTCCGCGATGGTGGTGGGAGGGAGCAGGCTAACGGGGTGGTCCTTCCATGCGCAGATTATTGAATCAAGGTCTGTGCGATTTGCCACCAAGTAGAGCTCGTTTCGGGTGCTGAATGTGTCCCGAGTAGAGCGCATGGTTTCTTTTCTGATCCCATGGTCTTTGTTCTTAACGAAAAGGCCCAGTCTGTGACGATTTGTGTCGATGCTCCCTCGACCCTCGGTAGTCATTTCGATTTTCAATGACATCCATTGACGGGGTTGTTTCGGCTCTCTGCCTGGTAGGGATCTTCGAAGGATTATTTGGCCACTGGGGGCCTAACGCCTCGTTGTTTGTCATCGGCCATTAACCGGTGATATTTAGTGAGGCCAGCAACAGCCAGCATAATATGATTGAGACTGACGAACAAATCTGGCGAGAGATGGAATAGGAGAAGAGTTGAGAGAAGAGAAAAGAGGGAGGATGAGAGAAGAGGGATTAAATAGAAGAAGAGTTCCAAGGTTAAGAGAAAAGTTGAGAGATGAGAAGAGATAAGAGAAGTAATAGTAAAGATGATAGTGAGATAATAGTGAATATAACAGTGGATATAATAGTGAATATGACAGTGAAGATGATAGTGAAGATGATAGTGAAGATGATAGTGAGATGAAAGGGAAGATGGTAAGAGATAGTAGAGGACCTCGGAGGACTATACTTAGGTAAGAATTTGAGAAGACCCTCTAGGGCTATCAAGCTAAATTAGTGGGGAGAAAAGAACAGAGAGTCCTAGATTTAATCTGTGTTTATACCCTTATTTACTCTTCTACGACCTTACTATGAGATTGACTCTCTTTACTTGAAATTCACAGTATTAACGTTCGAAAACGAGAATCGGGTTCTGATTGGGTTAACATAGGAGAGTAATGTGAAAGAACGCTGAGCATATCTGAATATAATTCCACCTATGTCTACCCTTGAGGGCCAAGGAAACTCTCAGGGTGTACTGAGGAGGGCCTTATCCCGCTTCGCGCGCGCCTTGGGGCCTAGAGCTGGCGGAGGCGGGGTGTAGAAAGGCAGGGGGGAATTCGCACGTTCCATGTCTTCAACAAAGGATAACGATTCCCGCTTCCTTTCCCTGGATGGCGTCGATCTTAGAGGCCCTGACGCTGCTCCATGCTAGACTTGGGTCGGTCTGTGCGAGTTCGTATAAATCCCTAAGGTAAAAGCGCCATTGCGCCTCGTAACCAGTAAGGATAACGATGTCCTTCAGCTCAGCGAAACCAGCGCAGACAAGCTTGCGGGTCCAGAACGACTCTGCGGTTTCCGCCATTTGTGAACGACGTACCAATGTCCTTTTCTTTTGCCCTCATGGAACATCGAGGAGGAGAGCATTGCTTTTGACGCTGTACTGCTCCTTTTTCCATGATGCTAGGGCCCGCGCCTTATTTTCTGGATCGGGAGCTGCGCCATCGAGGCCTCGTCAACTGCGACAAATGAAGGATGCAAAGACGTGACAACGCTTGGCGAAGTGATCACCACAGGTGTCCAGATCACAATGTGTGCGATTTCCAATGCATCTCGTTTCATACGTCGGCAAGCTTTCTGAAAAGCCGCCCGGTCATCTTCAGCAAGCTCGTCCCAATTTTCGCTCCCGAACTCGGCAAATTGGGGTATGGACCGATACCAGGGGTAAGCCATGGGCTGGCTACCTGGAATTTCTCATGCCACACCGAGCATCGCTGCACCCAGGGATGTGCTGATCTCCTTGAGTCTTGTGTCCGACACACCGTCGTGCAAGGAAGTCATGCTGGGCCTGATGCCAGACCCAGCTGGGCGTCTATGATGAGATCATGAGGTTGGGGTATGGAAGAAGCTAGGTCCTCAATGCCAGTCGATGAGCCTTTTATACCTTGGCCCCAGCCCCGTATTATCACTCTTTTACACAAGCGGATCAGCTTCGCTTGAGCATAAGGTCATTTTGAATTTACTCACCTTTAGTTCAGTTCTGTGTGACTGAGGATCATGAAAGAAGTCATAGGCCTGGTGATTGTTCCTCTTTTCATAATAATGTGATTATAATGGATTTGTGGGATGAACTGAGAGCTCTCGGTAAGATTAGTAGAACTCAGACTGAGGTGATCAAGTGACGAACCTCAAAAGGATGATGTGAGGATTTGAGGTGATAGGCTGTCATTTATGTAATTGGTGAAGAGAGTTAACCATGAGGTATTGGAGCCACCAATGCCCTGCGGAGATGAGTATGGTGCGAAAAGCATAAAGAGTTTGAGAGAAGGATTGATGTTGATGTAGTTAACTTGAGGTCCTAGGGCATCAAATTGTGGCCTGAAGATGATGGCAGAAGCTTAGTCACGGCGTTGATGTAATTCCCCAGATGCGGGGAGATCACGTGGTGACCGGCTAGCATCGGCGAGCAAGAGAGTACTACTCTCCCAGAACCAAATAAAGCAGACAGAATGCCTCCTTTCTCTTCGAGTAGAATCATCTCCCTGTCTATATCGACCTGGCCGTCATGAGTCTCAGACACGGACTTCTTCCCCGCACCTTCCGGCCTTATCTACCCCGGAATCATCTCCGCATCCCCAGTCTGCCACCGCTCTTGTCTCGGAGGTTCCACGCCAGCTCTTTGCTATGGGGAATTAAGTCACAAGTTCTCAAGGATGTTGGCGAGGGTGGGTTTTCTTATATTCAGCTCTTATTGGCTCCTTGGCTCACAATTGCTAGGTATCACCGAGGTTCAGATCATTCAATGGTACGTGGAGGAAGGGGCTTACATAGAGGAATGGAAGCCATTGTGCCAATACCAGTCCGATAAAGCTGTGGATGATGTAAGTCGAGTCCTCCCATCTCTCTGAATATAGTATCGGGGCTAACAAGCCAAGATCACTTCAAGATATGAGGGAGTTATCAAAAAGCTTCATTTCGAGACGGACGACACAGTACCCACAGGAAGAGTATGTACCTCAACCTTGACCCTACTCAAGGCCCGTGTTATTCATATACTAAAGGTTCTCTAGGCATTATGCGATATTGAAGTAGAGGATGGAAAATACCCTGACGATAACCCTCCACATGAACCAAAGGCAGAGCCGGCTACATCATCTCCGGTCAATGAAGTAGCAGCTGCAGCCCAGGCAGCAGAGTCCTCACTGGCAGATTCATCTACACCTTCACCTCCCTCTCCCCCTCCGGTTGCTGCCCCCGAAGAAGTACCAAAGTCCAAGAGTGCATCCCTTGCAGTTCCCGCTGTACGCGGGCTTCTGAAGAGCCACGGCATCAACATTCTCGAGGTCAATGGCTCAGGGAAAGATGGACGCGTGATGAAAGATGATGTTTTGAAGTTCGTTGCAGCCAGGAATTCTGCAGCCTCTGCACCGATGCCCACGCAGCCCACCGCATCAGATACACGGCAAACCGAGTCATCAGTCCCTCTGACTCCAATTCAATCCCAAATGTTCAAGACTATGACCAAATCACTGAACATCCCACACTTCCTCTACGCCGACGAATGCAAAGTCAACGACATCACTACCATCCGCCAAAAGCTTGCCAACGACAAGCGCGAGCCTACTAAACTCACGTTCCTCCCCTTCGTGGTCAAAGCCGTCTCACAGGCACTGACCGAATTCCCCATTCTCAACGCAAAAGTAGATACCAGCGATCCCAGTAAGCCCAGACTGGTCATGCGAGCGAAGCACAACATCGGTATCGCCATGGACACCCCCACCGGCCTCATTGTACCCAACATCAAGGACGTCGCCAGCCGCTCGATCTTTGGCATTGCGGCCGAGATCGCACGACTGAGTGCCCTCGGCAAGACAGGGAAGCTTACTCCGGCCGATCTTAGCGGCGGCACGATCACCGTGTCGAACATTGGGAACATCGGAGGCACATACGTGGCACCGGTTCTTGTCCCGACGGAGGTAGCCATCCTCGGAGTCGGTCGGTCGAGGGCAGTGCCGGTCTTCGACGAGGCGGGCGAGGTTATACGCGGGGAAATGGTGAACTTCAGTTGGAGCGCGGACCATCGGGTCATTGACGGTGCGACAATGGCCCGAATGGGCAACCGAGTTCGGGAGCTGATCGAGTCCCCCGAGCTGATGCTGTTGACCCTCCATTAAGACCCCTAGATTTCGATCACTAGATATTAAAAATCGATGGGATTCACGATTTATCTACTGGAATTGTGGCTTCGCAGGGCTATAAGCTGTTCCCATTTGTTCACTTAGATGTGGGTTTAAGCAACACCGACATTCCGGCAACTCTGTGTATAGGCTCCGAGGTCTTGAGCATCGCACCGTGAGTAATTCCCAGTTTCAAAAACAATATGTTACCTAAGTATTCTGCACACAGTGTAGACAATTCAATTGCATTTCATATTCACAGGGAAATGTAAGCTCGTCTAGCCAGACAGATAATATCGATGACTCGATATCCGAGCCCCGAACGCCAAATCTAAGCAATGACCGGCATATCCGACCGAAACACCAGACACCATAGGGAGGAACAAAAAGAAGACAACAGACTGAGGGAACGAACAAAACAGACAAGAACCAAATGCTAAACAATCCTCCATGCATAACCCATTTTCGCATACGCCATATCAGATGTAAGAAGCTTGAGTCGTCACAGCATCTCGGCAGAGGGCTCAGACATACTCAGCCAGCTTCTCGGTCACAGCTTCAATCACATTGCGCTGGACATCTTCCATGGACCCCTGGACGTTGATGGTCATGGCATCCCACTCGCCCTTGGGCTCCTCCAGCGCCGCCAATTGCGACTGCACCATGCTGCTCTTCATATAGTGAGACTGACGCTGGGTGACACGCTGCAGCAGCACCTCCTCGTCGAGCTTGAGATACACGAAGTGGATCTGGACGGAGGAGGACCCATACGCCGCCACGCGCATCACATCCCGGTACTTCCGCTTCAGGGCGGAGCAGGCGACCACCACGCCAGCGGGTGGGTGAAACTTGTTGCTTTCCGAGGGGGAGAGGGCGTCGATGGCGGCTTGTCGGAGGGAGATCAGCCAGTCCCAGCGGTCTGCGTCTGTGAGAGGGATCCCTTCGCCCATCTTCTCTTTGTTGGCGGCCGGATGGTACTGTAGGATGTTAGAGATCTAGGTGCGCCTCTGGTTGGGTTTAACTTACGTCGTCGCCTTCTAGGAATGGCACACCGAGTTCGGTGCGCAGCACATTGCCGACAGTGCTCTTGCCGCAGCCTGCAGGGCCGGTGACGACCCAGATGTGTTGGATATGGGCCGGGTTCGTGGGGTTCTCCTGAAGCACTGCCGCCGTTCCATTGGAGAGGTCGGGCATGGTGACAGTGTCTACTTTGGCGTGAGGAAGCGGTCGTTCGCCGGCGGAGAGCATCTTTGGGTTTGGGGGTTCCACGGGTGAGAAGTTGAAATGACGCAGTGTATCGAGGGAATATATCAGTAGACAGAGACAGACAGACAGAGAGTGTGAGAGAGACAGAGAGAGTGGGAGTGAGAAAGGAGTCGCGCGCAGGCTACTTTTTAAGTATTTAAGTATGACGGTGGGTCTCGAAGATTCAGAAGCCGAGTGGGGGGATTCACGGCTATTGCGCCTCGCCATCTGTCCCCCTGATATTCTCAATTTAAAAAAAAAAAAAACTACTAGTACGATGTATAGATCGAACCGGGATCAGGGTTCTTACTGCTACATCCCGAGATCTCCCTCACGAAGGACACGAAAAGTGTACAACCATCGGATCTGATGTCACCGGCAATGTGTACCCCCACGCTAACAGACACCGCCATGTTCCTGCTTCTGTCTCTGCGAAACTTCCATTATAGTATACTGTCCATCCCACTCGGTTTCTCTCTGTCCATCCCGTGCCGATTGACACCCCGAGTCCGATGCCCCGAGTCAACAACCCCCACACGCAGATCCACATTGTCCGATACTCAATTCCGGGCCGTGCAACAGGACGGTGTACCACCAGGGCACAGGAGACACAAACACAGGGAATGAGATTGTTCCGGGGAAACCGTCTCACTCCCGATAGGCCCACCCGATTAGGCCGACATGCAGGCCTTGCACGGTCTGCGCATAGAGTGCCAGTGAGAATCTGGGGAAGAGGGATTCCTGCGGGGTAAAAGCTCAAGTGCCAACGGATCTTCAATTCCAACAGCCATATTTCCTCCGCTGGGCACACGGGAAGCGGATTCCGATTTATCCGTCTTTATCCGTGTGTTGGCTTCGGTGGCTTCATGTCTCGACACCTCAGAATTGACGAGTGTCAGATTCATACCCAATCGGTGGGAATTGGCCCAAAGGGACTCGGAGGTACGGTCACCGTAGGATAGAACCTGTCTGAAGTCAGAGACCACGGGTGTAAACCGCTGAGATATCCCGTTGTAAAGGAAAGCGACACTCCAAAGGTTGCGAGCAACCCCAGCGGTCCAACTCGATCCTCCATTCGTATCCTCCGTACTCCTCACTCGGTCTCGTAGCGCAATCTCGGAAAGTGGACAGGAAATAAATCCGGAAGCGCGATGGCGATGTCATCCGCGGGCGGTGAGCCATCCCGCCTCCAGGCCACCGCGACAGCTCCAGGCCATAGCTACCGACATACTGGGGCTGCATTTGGCCCAATCACCGCATCCATGGCTTCTCTTTTCTTCTCCGCACCGGTTGATATCGATGTCGTCCTCGAGGACCTCGATGAGCGCCAGACCGTCGATGTCAAGCTCGATAAGGGCCGTCGCGAGCGGGTCCCGCTGTACATGGACGGAGAGTCCGTGAAGGGTGCCGTGACAATTCGACCCAAAGATGGCAAGCGACTCGAGCACACCGGTATTAAGGTGCAGTTCATCGGCACAATTGGTACGTGAAGTGAGGCCGTGAAAATGCAACTCCACTGACATGCTCCGACAGAGATGTTCTACGACCGAGGCAACCATTATGAATTCCTGTCCCTTGTTCAAGAGCTTGCTGCTCCTGGCGAGCTCCTCCACCCGCAGAGTTTCCCATTCAACTTCAAAAGTATCGAGAAGCAGTACGAGTCTTACAACGGCATCAATGTCAAGCTGCGCTACTTCGTTCGGGTGACGGTCTCACGCCGCATGGCCGACGTCGTCCGCGAGAAGGATCTCTGGGTGTACTCATACCGCATGCCGCCAGAGAACAACAGCCCCATCAAAATGGACGTTGGTATCGAGGACTGCCTTCACATCGAGTTTGAGTACTCCAAGTCCAAGTACCATCTCAAGGATGTGATTGTTGGCCGCATCTATTTCCTGCTGGTGCGGCTGAAAATCAAACACATGGAACTGTCTATCATCCGCCGAGAGACGACCGGTTCCCCGCCAAACCAATACAATGAGAGTGAGACGTTGGTGCGCTTTGAGGTAGGTCCCTCCCGTCGGACTATGCATCACTTCCACCGGATACTAATATATGTGCAGATTATGGACGGTTCACCATCGAGAGGTTAGTGAATACCCAATTTGCCCTGGACAGCGTGACCACAGCCCTGGTTGTGAGGTTGGGCACGGCTGTGACCAAAACTAACATCGCACAGGTGAAACCATTCCAATCCGCCTGTTCCTTGGTGGATTCGACCTGACCCCAACCTTCCGTGATGTGAACAAGAAATACTCGACGAGATATTACCTCAGCCTGGTGCTGATCGATGAAGGTATGTCCCTTGCATTGTGCATCCCAAGCCCACGCACAAACCCCCGTCCCAAGGCGAGTAGCCGACGGCAAATGAAATTACCCCAAATGCCGGCTGAATCGGCCCGGGACAGACTTCGCTCTGCCGATTCTCCCAACCCCCACGCTAAACGCCCCTTGGCACTCCACATTTCTTGCATAAATTATCCTGTTTCCAATACTAACAGCAATAGATGCTCGTCGTTACTTCAAGCAGTCCGAGATTGTGCTCTACCGCCAAGCCCCCGAGATCGCCCCGAACGCCCAAATCGCACAGCAACAGCAGATTCAGCAACAGATGCTTCTTGAGCAACAGCGCCAGCAGCCTGCCCTGCCCCCAGGCTCTGCTACCGCCGGACCTGGAAGGGAATCCGCGCCTCTTCGCCAGGAGCCTCAGCCTGTTGCTCCGCCCGCCGCATAGACTATCTCATCACATTGTTTTCTAATCCGTTTCCTGTTCACTGCCTGCGGATCTGCTATTCTATACCCGCCCCTTGTCTCCAATTCGATTCCTTCCTTTTGCGTCCGGCATGAATGATTTTTCTCAGGCGACCGACCTCTGTAGTCTAAATTCTCCCTACATCGGGATCTCTCATCTCTCATCCAAATGCATATGATACTTGAGCTGTACTCGACCCACCTTCAATTTTCCATTCCTTGTTCTTATTCTTATTCTATTCTAAATTGAAGGAATCCAGAATACCAGGGACTTGTTATTGGAAGTTCCTACGGTCCCCAAGAGGTAGACAAGATCTACAAACCCCTAGCGACGAGAGAAGTGTCTCGATTTAGTTTATCGTGTAATTATTGCATGACAGAATGTCTTGATATCACTGATACAAAAGTGGTGGGAACAATGTTATATGTATGCAAATCATCAACCCAAGTCCTAGACTAAGATTCAAATCGACCGGTCTCCTGCAACACCTTCCCAAGCGACTGGAGAACCTTTCCGTCATCGCGCTCCTTGCCAGCAACCTGCACAGCCCGGGCAACGAGAGGGTAAACCCACTCGATGTGCTTACGGTAGTGTCGTGGTGCATCATCTCCAGCAGGCCCAAGAGCCGAGACGGTCTTGATAGCCGTCGGGTCCGGGATAGCCGAGGGCTCGCTCTTCAGCTCGACCAAATGATCGAGAAGATGGAGTAGATCCTTTCGAGCCGGCGTAGGTTGTGGCATCAAGCCACGCAGGGGTTGGTCTGCGATGTAGGACTTGAGTGAGATGGCGCAGCGCAGGAGGAGATACGGTGAGATGGAGCGGGCCAACGAAACGAAGGGGGACTGGGTCTTGGTTGGCTTTTGCTCTTTCTTGGCTGCAGCAAGCTCGAATAGGGTGTCGATGAGGACATAGGTGATGCTCGGGCGGAGAGTTGGGGGAGGGTCGAAAGTACGGCCTGGACGAACGGTGTAGAAGTCTTCCAAAGGGTCTTCCATGCCGGATCTGGGGAGGTCGAAGCGAAGAGGGGCGTAGATGAAGGAGGAATGAAAGAGAGCGCGAGCAAAGTCACGGCGAACTGTGTCGGGGATGGCGGAGTTGCCGAGGGATGGAAGGATAATTGTCTTCAGTTGTACGAATGATTTTGTGTCGAAGTCTTGGTCGGACGCAATTCGTTTCTTGGGGAGTTCCTGGGTCTGGAAACCATGAGCAGAGACGATTCCATTGGTGATTTCCACGATACGTTGCCAAAATTGGGATATTTCGGATTCGGCAGCTTTGCTGTACTGGCTTTCGGCATACGGAACCGCGACTTGGAGAATGTTCAAGGACGCTGTTGTAGCCCTCTGCCAGAGGAAAGGCTCACGGTCTTTGCCCTGCCATGTGTACTTCTGTGCAATCGCAGTGCTGAGATGCTTGAGAGTTTCCGCCAGAGCTCCATTCGTGAAGACATCTTGTTTGATGCCAAATTCAGCGATGTACCAGTTCAGAAGGTCAATGATGCTTTTGGAGAATGCTACAAACGCGGGCTTCCTGGTATCACTTCCAGCGGCCCACCTTGACAGTGCCGAGTCAGACAGCTCGGCTAGACAAAACAGAATCGCTGGTTGTGATGCCTCTTTCTCGAGGCACAGAGTCTTGATGCATTCAGTGACTAGCGCTTGAACAGCCGAGGGTCGGTCGGTGTCCGGAGAGTAGCGCGGAGCAACCGAGTTCCACACAAGCAGACGAAGGTGGTGAAGAACCTTTTCGACATTTGTTGTGGTAAGTCTATCTTTGTAGAGGCGATAGACTTGCTGGAATGATTGTAAATAGGCTAGGGCGGCGTCCTGGTTGGGCTGATCGAGGTCAAGCAGTCCTTCATCCTCAGCAGGGTGTGAATTTGCCCAAGCAAGCCATGCGCACTCAAGAGCCTCGTTGCTCAGTTGACCAGCGCTTTGTACTCGAAGGAGGATTGCAGATAAGCTGGAGAATGTTGCTTCGTTGAACTCCAGGATATGCAGATCATTCAAGCTTTGCCAATATTTCACAAGTCGTGCCCAGGACTGATCGAACTTCTCGTCACGAGCAAGAGTATCAAAGAAATTGGTTATCAAGCCAGACGACCCCCTAATCATGACAACTGTGGTATCCACCCAGGACTTCAGTTCATCCGACTTTCCATTGCCTTGTTTGCTCTTTACTTCGAGAAGCGTAGCAACAATACCCTCAGTCATCTTGAACACGACCATATTCAAACAAAGACGCCAGGCCATAGGGGAGAGCTGCTGCCCATAGGCATCGAAAATGCGGAGAAGGGTATGCACCGCACTATTTCTAATCTCCGGTCGGCTATCTGACGTGATATCAACGATGCGGAGCAGCAGTAGCAGCCACAGCGAGTTTCTCGAGACCGAGGGGTCATCGTTACGAGCTAGTTCGGCCAGCTCTTGCTCGCTGACAGACGGATCGACATGATCGACCGAGATCTGCTCGATCTGGCCCTGCAGGAAATCAGACACATTCCAAAAGAATGATGTAGTGGTCAGCGAGATGTTGAAATCCTGAGTCTGGGATGCGAAGTTGGAGAAAGCGTTCACCAGACTCAGGAGGCAGGGCGCCGGAAGCAAAGAAAGGAAGTCGGAGGCAACAAGATGTAGGGATTTGTAGGCGGCACGAACAAGGCGCGGGCCTGCTGGAAGAGCTGATGGTCTACGCTGTAACGTATCCGTTGGTCGACCAGAAGTCTCAGATTGCGGAGTATGGTGGAAAACACCAGAGATCAGGTCGAAGATGAGATCCCAGCCATCCACGAATGTTTCTGCATATTGTTCCAAAATGTTTCGAAGCACCTCTAGACTTTGCTCATGAATTTCAATCACGGTTATCGGCAAAGACTTCGAGGTATGCATGTCCGACGAATAAAGCGAGGTTACATGGTCTTTCAAGGTCTGTAGATTCCTTGTTTGTAAATCGTTGTAGACTTTCTCATCGTCTTCGTCCCTCCGTTTCATTGTTGAGAAAACGAGTGTGCTTAAAATCGCGCTCGCTTGAAGGCGAAGGTTCGGGCTGATGGCAGTATTGGCGGAAGCTGAAATAAGACTATGCGTTAATAGCCCCCATGCTTTTGAATCAATGGTTTCAAGAGATGAGAGTCTATCAAGGTTGGCATTGGCCAGCTCGTTGGCCTTGTCAAGAACAAATTTGAGCTCTTCGTCCTGCATTCTGGATTTTCCAACGTTATGTGACACCCGTCGGGCATTTTGATGCATGCGTCCGCTGCCTTTGGAGGACTGCGGCGAGCGAGGCATTTCGGAAACCTCTTTGGCGCTCTCTTCTTGGTAGCGCTGCTCCGTGAAGCTCGATAGGTTCAACAAGGCAAGCAAGATCTCCTCGAATGACTCTCCTGGCAGATCGGTGGTGGTTTCAAGCATCTTACTGGAAGCTGCCTGAACTGCAATCACCTCTGTTCCGAGATTGGCAGTTGGGATATCATTTCCTGGTGTCAGTGGTGCCTCGCTATTCCCACTAGCGGACTTGACCATTGCGCTAGAAGACATGCCAATCACGAGTCCGGTGTATTGGAGTGTTTCGAGAATGATAGACCAGGCCGGCTGGTCCAATGTCGGCCCCAAGGCAATCCCCAAGTTCAGCAAAGCGCGCATACAAAGCAAATTCCTGGTACTCAAAGATACATGAGATCCCTCTCCTGCAGTTGCTCCTGCAGACTCCGCTAAGGAAGGGTTTGAAAGTGAAAAATCCGCGCTCTTGCGTTTCTTTTGGGTTGATTCACTTGGCTGCGGCCCAGCGCTGGGCACATGCTGGTTCTTGGAGCTACCTGCATTGGCAGGTGTAGCAGCTTTTCCAAGTGTGGTCAAGAAAGCGTCTCGGGGCACCGATAACCTCAAAAGACCCGCCACGTGAGCCAACTTCTGGAAGGCTCTCACCAGATTGTGATAATACTCGTCATCCAAGGACGCGCGCAGGAAAGTGGAGCAGGCCGCGAGCACAGCGGGCCAGCAATTCTCGATTATCCCTGCGCAGGTCTTGATCGCTGAAAACTGAACATGAGACTGCAGATCCAAAGGATTGATGGGAATCTGCGGCTTCCTCGTTGGTGAGCTGGGTTGGGGGCGAACAGGTTCTGCTGAGAACTCCTGGGAGGATCTCGCAGAGCCAGGCCCTTGAACAGGGCTAAGAAGACGATTTTTGCGCATTTGTTTTCGATCCGGAACCGTTAATGGAAGGATGAATTTCGCGAGCCCTTCGGCGAAACTGCTGATACAGTTGAGAACAAGGCTGTATATGTAAGTTTCCGGCGCAACAGGCGGTTCCGTCTTGTCGAGAAGCTCAATGAATGGCGTACGAACTACACTCCACTGCATGCTGATACCGGGAACTTTGGTTTCACTGGGAGGAACAGTCGACCCAATGACACCGGCAACTCCCCCGGTTTCGAGGGTGATTTGATCCTCGGTAGCAGATCTTGTGGGGTCTGCGCGCAAAGGTACTGTGGACTGATTGCTGACACCTATCAAAGCAGGCTTCTCCGATGCCAGCCTGACTAATGCAGCCATATGGTCACGGAGTATGTTCTTTCGCCCATCCTCCCCGTCGTACAGGGTGTAAATCAGCCGCACCGCACCTGGTTCAGCATATAATCCTCTAAAGATCTCCATACACAGTAGCCTTTTCCAGGGCGCCGTTGAATCTGGTTCAGCGAGATGTGTTATGAGGCTTAGCGCCATCTCACATTCTGCTGTCAGAAGAGACATGTGGCGTTTTAGAAGTATGAGTAGGATTCGCGAAATTCGCACGCTTTGGGCGAATGACGATCGTTCAGAAAGACAGCGGACCGCTAGGGGCAATAGGCGAACGCGCAAGACTTGTGAAAGCTCGGGATGTCCCACGAATAGACGCCCACTATTCAGTAGAATGCTCTCAATGAGTTCTAGCACAAAGTTTGGGGACAGAGTCCGAGAGCGCAAAAACTGTAGTGGCTCGCCATCGATCAAACGACAGAGATCATCCAATACCAGCAATGCATCGTAGGCAAAACAACCGACATCAACCGGCTGGCCATCGACTTTGATGCTGGTTGTGATCTTAGCATCGTTGGGGAGCTTGTCCTCGCTAAATACCCTCTCAAACGTCGACACCACCAGCTGCTGAAGAGTTGCGGCAGCAGTGCTGGAGACAGCGATCGTTTTGCTCGCTTGTAACGTGGCACATATTTCCAGTGTACCGGCAAGAAGCTCTCCGCTCAGATCATTGGAATAGAACTGCAGCAGCGAGGGCAAGGATTGCAGAATCTTCAGTTGGATGTCGAGACCTTTGAATCTGTCAGTAATGATTACCAGAGCTGTAAGATGCGGGTTTTGGGTATTCACTTAGGCCTGTTGTTTCTTTCAAGCCTGCTACGACATCTTTGAGGCGGGTTGATGGCAGTGATCGCGATGCAATTAGTCTTTGCAAGCAGATCACAGCAATTCCAGCTAGCTTTGTATGCCGAGTATGGCATGCAATGATGAATGGCTCAACGAAATTTGGTTTACGGACAAGGTCTGATGAAGGTTTAGTCATTTTTCAACCAATGTCATCTGCGATTTCATGACCGACCTGCTGCTATTTGAGCCTCCGATGTAGAAGGCAAGGCTTTAAGTTCATTCAGCGATTGCTCAGCGGCCTGTTGTCCGGGTCAGTGTATGTTTAGTGTATACCCCGAGCGGAATACCAACGTGGCGCAAATCGGAGTTTTTCCGTCTTGATTCTTGGATCAGATTGGCAATTTCCGTTTGCAAGAACTGAGAAGACATTTCGAGAGAGTTTGGTCACAGCATGACCTACGCCGGTTGTCAACAATTCAAGGAGGGCTGGATCAGAACGGGCCAGTCAGAATGGGGGAGGTGAGACCAAATCTGTGAGAACAGTGCGTTCTATTTGCAGCGATCTCCCACGACCAACAGAGGATCCGTGAAAGCGTTGAAATTGACCACCTGGACAGTTCGAGGTCCGTTTACGCACTTCCCCGTAAGGAGGTCCACCGCCTCACTATTCTGCACCCGCCAAGACTTGTCAACGTCACTCTCTACTCCGTGCGGAGTACAGATTCTTTGCCAGCCCTGGAGGCACCTTTCAATGTTAAACATTACTGATGAAACATACCCATTCGGTACTGGGTTCAACCTAACCATATGCGTCCCTCTGTCCTTGAAACCTTCAAAGGATATCATCTCTCGGGCCATTGACCTCGGGAGTATCCTACCATCATCAGATCAGAGGTAACAGACGTTCTACAGATGCTCAAGTGTACCTAAGTATCAGCCTAGAGGATCTATATAATCAGATGGCACTTGCACAATTGCGACGGGCCTCGCCTTTCAGCTCGAGATTCATGGGTATCAGGATGTCTCAGTTTCATGTCCATGTACAGTACCTGCTGAATACGATAAACATAGTCTAGAAGAAGCCATTGACGAGACGTGTGGCTCTGCCTATTTGATAAATATGCAGATTGTACGGGGAACTGCTGCTGGAAAATTGAAGATGGGTTTATTACTATTTTTCTATAGCAGTTATTGAACTCAAAATGGCCTTCATTTGGGTCTTCCCCGTGTTGTTTTGGTACACAGATGAGAGTATAGTCATACCGATTTGACAAGGGCTCGTGAAAAAGATGTCTCCATCTGAATCAGAAAAGAGAACGGACATCCATGGATGAATGAGGCTGAAGGGAAAACGCCAAGCCTTTGGCTTTAGTCATCGAGTCTGACCGCCTCCGCCCGACCGCCCGCGCCCGCACTGCCCCTCTTGTCGCGACATCCCTCTCTATCTGGCCTTCGTCATCGTGAAATTTCGCAGTTTTCCAACTTGTTTTCACCATGAGTGCCAAAGTTCCACGAAACTTCCGTCTCCTGGAGGAGCTTGAGAAGGGCGAGAAGGGTCTGAGTGCAGGTACGATTGGTCTTACCGTCCCCGACCATGTCCGAATTCAGACCACTGACGTATCTCTTCGATTTTAGATGCCTGCTCGTACGGTCTCGCTGATGGAGAGGATATGATGATGAGCAACTGGAATGGCACCATCCTAGGACCTCCCCACGTAAGTCCCTTTTGATATTGCTGGCCTTGACTCTATCGCTAATGTAGCACCAGAGCGTGCACGAGAACCGCATATACAGCGTGAACATCCACTGTGGACCCGAGTACCCCGATACCCCTCCCACCGTCCAATTCGTCTCCCGTGTCAACCTCCCTTGCGTTGACCCAAGCTCTGGAAAGGTAAGGGCACGAAGATCCAGGCACATGATCATAATCAATTAACCGACCAATAGGTCGACCCGACCAAGTTCCCAACTCTGGCAACGTGGAAGCGAGACTACACCATGGAGACTGTCCTGATCGAATTGAGAAGGTAGGCATCTCTTCCGATAAAAGGCGGTGGCTTGCATTGACTTTTGATGTTTAGGAATATGGCCTTGCCCCAGCACAAGAAGCTGCCCCAGCCCGAGGAGGGCTCATCGTTCTAAACTCGCTTGAAGCATCTATGGCCTCACATAGTACAGGCAGAGACACATCTCGGAGTATCAGGGTCGGCTTCATTTTGGGTTTCCTTGCTTCCTTTATTCCCCCTCTTCTCCAACGACCCTAGAGCGTGTACAGTCCGCATGAATGCATCGGCAGGGTTTTCTTCAGGTTTCAAATTTCTATCCCTCTTTTCCAATTGAGTATCTATCTCTTCGATATGTTGTTCTGTCATGAGCATTGCGGCAGGCGTCTGTTTACCAATAACAAATGATCCTCTTTTGGTGACTTCGTATGTCCAACTCAATTGTAATGTTTCAGGTAAATCGGTATTTTTCGAGGTTGAAGTGACCTTGAACTTGCTCGCAAGGTCACTCTGGTAGACTTCATCGGTCAAAGAGCTCTTCCAAGGTTGGTACCACACCGGGGCAACCTTGGAACGAGCGTCTGCTTGAGTAATGCGGAGTATAAGAGACGACACCCGAAGCTTGTGCACTAAGAGCAATGACAATCAGGCCTCCGGGGCTCCACGATCCCCAGCGTGGTCCCAGCTTAAGCGATTAGGTGAAACTATACTGGAGAAACTCGCTTGTCCAGCTTTCTCGCGAAACTATTTATCATGTGGTCAGTCAACGACTTTGTCGGGATGCCATGGGTCCGCCCCATGAGCCCGTGGCGACTATCGAGGCTGGCCAGAACATTAGGGCAAACAATTTTCTCGTGCCTCATTCGCCTTGGATAATTTTGAGAGTGGATTCTTTTCTCGGACATAGTTGGATGAATGTACTAGTAGTCATCTCAGTATTAAAGACGCCTGTCAGTCGCGGCGATCCATACGGAGCTCCGCGTGGAGGGGGGGAGGTTGAGGCATCGTCTACGGAGTATTTATCTGAGGCATGACGTTCATTTGCGAACTTCACAGGTGCCCCTTCTGACAGAAGCATGGCAGTGCTTTGGGTCTCTCTATGTGGGCCTATCAGAAAAGGCTGCCAAGGGTATGTACATGTATATCCTCGAGGTTGTCGACATAGGCCGGTTATCAAGTGGGTTGATATTGGAAAATGACCTCGGCAACAGGTATGAGAACACGGGGAGAGAGCTATACTGGACGTCCGTGACGGACTTCGAATCACTAACGGCTCGGCCCGCTGTGCGCGGGTTGCTTCCAAGGTTATGTCCTGAATTCATTCGATTAATCACGGTTGGCTACTGCCCAGGTGGAATGCCGCAACAAGGGTGGTCGGAGTCCGCGGGTTGGTGAAGATAGGTTCGGCTGTTTCAGTGGGTGATCATTCCCGAGGTCTTTACGAAGTAGACGGAGGGTACGAAAGTGAAGGGGACAAGGATTTCTCTTCTCCAAGCGCGCGGACAAGCCGGACGATTGATGAAAAGGTTTGCGTCGACCGGGGATAGTGTAAGCCCAGTGACACTGTGTCCCAAGACATGCGCAAGCACAGAGGTCAAGGAACGAGATCCAAAAATGAGAATAATCAATAATGTTTCCCGGAGGAAACTTTCAGAGATTAAACTGAAAAGAACAGATACTACACTTGATCTAAGCCAATAGGCAAAGAGAGCTAAAGAAGAAAGAAAAGAAGAGGAAGTGCGGCGGGGGGAGCCCCCTTTTATACCTGAGACCGGGTGGGGCTGTTGACTAGCTTGGATTATGCGAGCCAATCAAAACTCTCGAGTGGATCTGGCAAGTTCCAAGGTTGTGAGTCATAGGTCCCGTGATCGGACATGCACTTGGAATGTGTCACGTGTATCTGCAGGCATCTCAGGCACCTAGGCATCAACACTTCCCCAGACCTCGGGACTTACCATCACCAGCGGAATGCATAAAGTCTTGGTGCCCAAGCATTCTGGAACGCATCGTTTTGCATGTAAGGTCCCTCGTGTCTCTCATAGAGGCATCCTGGACTGACAATTTCACCAGGTCTGTCGCTGTATCGAGCACTTCTCCAGCAATGTCGCTCTTCGACCGAAACCGCGTGGCTCGATGAGACCAGAAGTCTGGTTCGGCAGAATTTCCGAAAGTACAAGATCCTCCAGAGCCCATCACAGACAGTGCATGCTCTTCGTGCGGGATATGAGGTGTGTTGACTGGCCGGTCGAAACTGACCTCGTACTGATGTCCCATTACTCTCTAGGCCTTGGATCTCATATCCTCGTCGCATACTAATCTACAGCATCGTGAAAGAATTACAGACATAATCACCCAAGCCAAATCCCAGAGAGACAAATACGCCCGGATGCAAAAGAGGAGTCAGCCAGTAGCGCCACCGCCGACACCTCTCACGCCCAAGGCGGCTCGAAAGGCAGAGTCAATTCGTTTCCAGAATGAAACCTCTCGACGACATCCCGATGCCAAATCGGTACTCGACCGGCCACAGTTTCTGGGTGGTAAGAAGCGCCATGTGCCGGTGCTTGTGAACGCCCGCGGGCTTCCTTTCCTGCGATTCAAAAAGCCACAGCCAAGAAATGTCAGCAGTGTGATACGGACAAAGCTCAATAATCGCTGGGAATGGATTCAGCGTCGGGACAGGCTGAAAGTAGACTTGCTTTTCGCGGAGGATGAAGAGATATGGGATCGCATGACCGGGTCCAAGGATTTGCCCGCTTGGCCTGAAAACACCGAAACAGCCATTGAAGATGTCAAAGGCAAAATCAACAACTTTGACAAGCAAACTAAAGACCTTGCACAGAAGATGTGGAATGTTGTTTTGGCTGAAAGGGCCATGGCAGCGGAAGAAGCAGCCACAGAACAGTCAGAGCAGTGAAACCGGTATGCAGCTCGACATCGGTAAATCTTCATCGCCTTAATATGCCATCTGACGCGATGGCACTCCAAATCCCAACTCTTGGCTCACCCAATCGTGCTCTTTTGCGGTCACCGATTTCGCCACCAAATTGGATTGTCGAAACAGCTTTGCGTCCAACAAAACTTCAGCTTCGACACGCATCCATTGGAACTCGGTCTGCCCGAGCTTAAAGAACGGCGCCCTGCCTATATTGTGGCATGGATCGGACCCCGCATCTGCGCGTAGATATGCGCTAGTCTTTCGACGGTTTTCGTACATGCAGCCCTGGAGACTATTGATGGATTTATGATCATCGGTCATGCTTAATCACCTTCAAGGTGTGCTCCCTTCACACCACTGATGGACTGTTTACATCTATATTCCGTACAAGACCAGCACTAGGCAACCCCATCTCGAATTAGGAACTTCCCTCTGGGGCTTCCGGACCAGCTCCGGGCTCCTCGAAGTTTCCCCTATAGCTGCAATAATTCCAACCCCATTCGGAGATTTTTGGCCTGGATACCTTCCAGCTTCCAACCCTTGGAGAGTTGGTTCTTGTACTGACTACATGAATCTTGCGTCAGGTCTGGGGAGTCGACATTATTAGGCCTGGTATCTTCGTACACTTGGCGTTCACTTGCCAATGGCCAACATCTGGAACACCAGCGCTGATGATATGCAAAAAGACATGCAAAAAGAAAATGCTCACACTCGGAGTCGAACCGAGGATCTCATCATTACTAGTGATGCGCTTTACCACTAAGCCATGCGAGCTTGGTGAAAGTGCCTCCACAAATTTCAAATATGATCCCTGGCTAAAAGGAGGACTGATTGTACTTCCACTCCTCGGCCCAAGCCAGTATCAAAATCACCAATGCCTGTCTCTTAGATATATAATTCCAATTCGACGATTCTTGATCTCACCTAGGTAAAGGACCGACTCATATGGCTTCCATATTCATTACATGATCGTCTCCCTGTACTTAAAGGCTGCCTATATACAAAGTACTGCTGAATCTGTTTTCATACATAAGAGGTACAAATATATATTTTTTAGTCGAAGTATTAACAGCATGTGACTATTCCAAGGATTATAGGCATTTCCATTCAACTTGATCCAATTGGCTACTAGGTATAATATACAGTCTATACATCCATACAATACTACGATCTATCTGCTCACGGGTCCATGGATGTGTGGTATGGATGAACTCCAAAAACAACCTTCTCGCCTTCACTCTGTAGAAGATGCTTAGGTACTACCCGGAAGGACAAAAAAGAAATGCTCACACTCGGAGTCGAACCGAGGATCTCATCATTACTAGTGATGCGCTTTACCACTAAGCCATGCGAGCTGATTGGTGGAGAGCGGATCACTACTCGCATCTATCAATCTACGTGCATACTGGTGAACTGGATGACTAGAATATCCTGCTCCAGTGTAAGGCTGATGATCCATTCGAGATGTAGCAGTTACTTTTATAGACATGGATTATTGTCTTGGCAAAAGGGTCAGAATTACGGGGAGAACAATAAATCACAAAATCTACTTCAATGGTATCAAGTCAAAGCATATACATCATCTCATGTCGTGACGGTATTCTCTAAGAGTCCGCCATCTCGTCGTCGGAGTCGGCTTCAATCTCCCACTCCTCGTCATCGCCTTCGCCCTCGCCCTCGGCTTCAGCCTCACTCTCCTCATCCTCGCCGATTTCTTTGTTCATTTCCTGGACAAGCTCCAGGGCATGATCGCGGAGACGCTCATCCTCGTATTCTAGCAGCCCGTAGAGCTTCAAGCTCTGCTTGAGCCACTCACGACTAGCCTCGAGCGATGCGTGTCTGGGAGAGTCCGCCAGTTCCTCGGCGGTCGCGTCCTTGGGAGCCTGTCTCTTCTCCGCTAGCAGGAAGAGACACCAGCCTCCGAGGTACCATGCCTCCACGGATTGGTCGTCTTCAAGAATCAGGCGCTCGAGAACCTCAAGAGCCTCGAACTCCATGGTCACCTCCATCAGCAGTCGCGCAAGACTGATGCGGATGGCGAAATCAGGCACTCGGACATCTCCCGGGGTCAGATCCTTCCACAGCTCCATGCTACGCTTGAGCGCGGCTTGTGCATCCTCGGTGCGCAGTTGTGATATCCGAATGGAGGCGAGGGTTTGCAGCACCTCTGGTGCGTCGGGTGTCGCAGCGAGTGCTTCCGTAATGAGTGCGTCGCATCTGGCTTCCGCATCATCTTCCCAGCTGAAGAGAATGTTAGATCTGAATTGGACTGTGATGGGGGGATGAACTCACGAAAGATCAGTCATATAAATCTCAGCAACAGCACAGAGCGCATTGGACAGTTTGATCTTCTTCTGCGCAATGTCGGCCACTTGCTCGGGTGAGGTCTTTCCTTCGAGTCCCTGGAGGGCCTGTCTGAGAGATGCCACACCCATTTCGAACCACAGAACACTATCCTTTCCACCCTCCTCGCTCAACTGTGCGAGCCACAGGAATTTCTCTGCGCCGCCACCCTCGGACTCGGGGATGGAGCCATTCTGATCGAGTTGAACCGCTTGTAGGAAATAAGTTCGGGCCGTATCGATGTCACCGAGCTCCACGCTGATTTCTCCCAGTAGGTTGATGGCGGGGAGCTGTGCGGGGGTGTTTTCAGCAGACAAGTCCAATGCCTGCTGTGCGATCACGAGGGCTTCTTCGGCTCGGCCAGTCTGCAGAAGAATTGTCGCTTGATCGAGCAGTTTTGAGGGATCTTGGGCCATGTTGCCTTTCGAGATTGAGCCACCGGGGCCTAGGACGGACTTTTCGCGGGGCTTGGACGATTTCTTCTTTTGCGGTCTGGGCTTTCCCATTGCAGGTTGCAAATAATATAAAAGAGTATATCCGTAGACAAATTGTACAGTGTATCTTGAAGGAACAAAAAAAAAAAAAGGTGAAGCTCCGCAGCCAAAAATTTGGAGCGGCTGTTTGACGGGTTTGCATGTGGGACAATATTGGCATTCCTTTGCAACCGATCTCGGTCGAATGTTGGCGTAATATTGCAGGCTTGCCAGTTCTTGCTCAGACACTCACTGGTCTCATTCTCCTGACCTATACCTTTTATATCTGCGCAGTGTCCCCAAATCACTTGCGCCGCCCGATCCTGACCCCTCCAGTCCGCCGGCGGATCAGCAGCTATGGGTCGCGAAGACCAAATTGAGGAGCGCGAGGTGCTCGATTCAATCTTTCCCGAGGAAATCACCGGTTTGTTACATGAAGAGCCAGCAGAGGCCACAGTCCTTTTGTGAGGACTCTGCTGACGGTGGGAATGCTAGACATATCCGAAACCTCATACAGAGTCTCCATCACTCTCGACACCCTTGAATATGGCGAAGACGAAGCAGAGCAGCCCGTGATTTGCCTCGAAGTCTCCTACCCCGAAGAATATCCCGATGTTGGCCCTAACCTCAACATTACTTCCCCGCCCAATGCCCCGAGACATCCTCGACTAGACGTCCAGGAGGACCGGGACCAGCTCATGCAGGCTCTCGAGCCCACTATCGAGGAAAATATGGGCATGGCCATGGTATTCACACTAGTCAGCGCCCTGAAAGAAAGTGCCGAGCTCCTCATGACCGAGCGGGCAGACGCCATCCAAGCCGAGAAGGATCGGGCAGCCGCCGCTCGAGAGGAGGAAGAGAACCGCAAATTCCACGGCACTGCGGTTACTGTGGAATCATTTTTGGAGTGGAGCGCAAAGTTCAAAAAGGAAATGCAGGAGGAGGAGACACGGTTACGCGAGGAAAAGGAAGCGGAAGACAAAAAGAAGAAGACGGCTAAAGATGAGAAAAAGCTCACGGGCCGCCAATTGTGGGAGAAGGGTCTGGCCAAGGGTGACTATGATGAGGAAGACGATGATGCTATGCCGGCCGTTGAGAAGCTCAAAGTGGCCGCATGAGCTCCTACCTAGGTATATATGTTTATGACTATTCATGCAAATATTGACACTTTATTGCACTGCCGTGTAAAATGATGAGATCCATGGATGGTTCCAGACCATGGCCTGGTGAGTAAAGTAATATACAGTGGTATCCAGAGATAGTTCCTAGGGCTTCTTCATACCTACCTAGGTAGGTACTACACGAGCAACGCTGCCCACGGGTATCGAGGGAAGCTCTTCTCCAAAATGGTGGCATCCATTGAGCATCACCAGAGCCAAAAACAGGGGGCAATCGAGAATTCTTACTAGATGGACTGTTGTATATAATAACATCAAACATTGAATTGTTGGAAAATAAGTAAATATCATGTACCACGCCGAAACACACGAACAAAAGAAAGACCATTACTATCATAATATGGATACACGTGAAACCCACGACCATGCAAAAATATTCACAACCGAAAAGGCTTAGCCAGAGCACATAAGGCAGTCCTCCTTGTTGTCGATGCTGCACTGCAGGACGGCATCAGAGTAGATATCAGCCTCAGTCTTGGCGTCGGCAGCCTTCACCTCAGGCTCAGCAGGGATGGTAGCCTCGACCACAACGGCACGAGGGGCCTCCTGGGCGGGTGAAGGGATGGATGCCTCGGCACGAGGAACGGCAGAGTAAGAGGCAGCAGCGTTGCCGGGAACACGCTTCTTGGACCGAGCGACGTTGGTATCTTCAACCTTCAGCTGTTCTTGGTCGACGGTGAACTGGATGGGAGCGGAGGCGGCCATGGTGCGGAGGTAGTACATTCCGGTCTTGAGTCCCATCTTCCAGCCGGCGAAGTGCATGCTGGTGAGCTTGCCCATGGTGGGCTCCTTCAAGTGGATGTTGAGAGATTGAGACTGGTCAATGAAGGCACCACGGTCGGCGGCCATCTGCAGGATGTTACGCTGGGAGATTTCCCAAACGGTCTTGTAGAGGGCCTTGATGTCGGCGGGGATGTTGGGGATGTTTTGAACGGAGCCACCGTCGGCGATGATGCGGTTCTTCATGTTGTCGGACCAGAGACCAAGGTCGACGAGATCCTTCAGGAGCCAAGGGTTGACGACCTGGAACTCACCGGCGAGGACACGGCGGGAGTAGATGTTGGAGGTGTAGGGCTCGAAGCATTCGTTGAAGCCGAGAATTTGAGAGGTACTGGCAGTGGGCATGGGAGCAACAAGCAGAGAGTTGCGCACACCAGTCTCGGCGATCTTGGCTTTCAGGGAGGCCCAGTCCCAGAGGTCAGTGGGGGTGCGGTCCCACATGTCGTATTGCAGGATGCCCTGGGAGACAGGGGAGCCGGGGTAGGTCTCGTAGGTACCGAGCTTCTTGGCGAGGTCGGACGAGGCGGTCAGGGCACCGTGGTAGATGGTCTCGAAGATCTGAGTGTTCAATTGTCTCGCCTCGGGGGAGTCGAAGGGCAGACGCAGAGCCAAGAAGGCATCGGCAAGACCGTTGACACCAAGGGCGATGGGCCGGTGACGGAAGTTGCTCTTCTTAGCCTCGGGGACGGGGTAGTAGTTAACATCGATGATCTTGTTCAGGTTGTGAACGAGAACCTGAACGACCTCGTGGAGCTTGCCGAAGTCAAACTCACCACGGGCGGCATCGACGTAAGTGGGAAGAGCCAGGGAAGCCAAGTTACAGACAGCCACCTCATCCGGAGCACTGTACTCGATGATCTCAGTGCACAGGTTGGAGCTGCGGATGGTGCCCAGGTTCTTCTGGTTGCTCTTCTTGTTGCAAGCATCCTTGTACAGCATGAAGGGGTTACCAGTTTCGGTCTGAGCTTCGAGGATGGCGTACCAAAGCTTCTGAGCCTTGATGGTCTTGCGACCACGGCCCTCGCGCTCATAGCGCTCGTAGAGGGCCTCGAACTCCTCGCCATAGACATCAGCCATGCCAGGTGCCTCGTTAGGGCAGAAGAGAGTCCAGTCACCGTTGGCCTCGACACGCTTCATGAAGAGATCGGGGGTCCAGAGAGCGTAGAAGAGATCACGGGCACGGACTTCTTCCTTACCGTGGTTCTTGCGGAGGTCGAGGAACTCGAAGACATCCGCGTGCCACGGCTCCAGGTAGATAGCGAACGCACCGGGGCGCTTGTTACCACCCTGGTCAACGTAGCGGGCAGTGTTGTTGTAGACACGCAACATAGGAACGATACCGTTGGAGGAACCGTTGGTGCCACCGATGTAAGAACCGGTAGCACGGATGCGGTGAACGTTGAGACCGATACCACCGGCGGTCTTGGAGATCATGGCACAGGTCTTGAGAGTATCGTAGATACCCTCAATGCTGTCCGCGCTCATGTCAACCAGGAAGCAAGAGGCGAGTTGAGGGGAAGGAGTAGCGGCATTGAATAGAGTAGGGGAGGCGTGAGTGAAGTACTTCTGGGACATCAAGTGGTAGGTCTCAATGGCCTTCTCGATATCCTCGCCGTGGATACCCACCGCAACACGCATCAGCAGGTGCTGAGGACGCTCGGCCACCGCACCATTGATGCGGAGAAGATATGAGCGCTCCAGGGTCTTGAAACCGAAGAAGTTATAGTTAAAATCGCGATCATACACGATGGCTGAGTTGAGCTCCTCAGCATGCTTCATGACAATTTCATAATGTTCCTTTGAGATCATAGGAGCAGCCTTATTGTTCTTGGGGTTGACATAGTGGTACAGATCAGAGATGACCATCGAGAACTGCTTTTTTGTCTGCTTGTGGAGGTTGGAAACGGCAATACGGGCAGCCAGGATGGCATAGTCGGGGTGTGTGACGGTCATGTAGGCCGCAGTCTCAGCAGCCTATAATTCCACAGTTAGTGACCGCTTCAAAATGCAAGCCGAGACCACCTACCAAGTTATCCAACTCAATTGTGCCCACACCCTGGTAGACACCAGAGATGACCTTTTGGGTAATAGCAGCAGCATCCACATGCTCAGGGTCAAGACCGTAACAGAGTCTCGAAACACGTGCGGTAATCTTGTCGAACTGCACACGCTCCTTACGGCCGTCTGAATTATCATGTTAGCTGGTTCAATGTGGCAAGACAAGCTGATGTGGCGAAAGAGACGAAACACGATCTTTGCAGTAGATTTCTATCTGCATGCCAATCTGCATATCAATTGATGTAACTCACCTCTCTTGTAGACGAACATCTTGACTGTGTGATGGTAGGGGGTTTTAAAAAGAAGAGATAGATGCACGAATTCAAGTCTGAGATGCAGTGGAAGTGGGATAAGAGGGGTATCTCAGAGGACAAATGTGGAATGCCCGTACAGTGAGAGGGGTGTGAGAAGAAGAAAAGACCAGAGGGGCAGAGGAATCTTTGGTTACCGAGACGCGTTGCTAGGTCGCGCCCGCGTTTTTTCCAGCTTACCAACCGTGGAGTCGGGGATCCACTTCTCTTTGTTCTGCACCGCAGAAAATGCCCATTTGCCTGCTTAGGGCTTAGTGTGTCGGTGAGATCGGGACGAGCGGAGTGCCATTGGTGGTCCTCGGAGAAGGCGGTGATCGAGAAAGAGGCGGTGTGACGGCTCACATGGTCATGTGACCACGCGTGAACCGTGCAGGGCGCGGCTGAAAGGATTCCGGACTCAGATGATGCATCTGTAAGTTCAAGGATGGAGTACGGTATGGAGTGTAAACTGCACAGAGTACCTAGGTATCCCCTGGCCAACCTCAATGGCAAACAGAGGCTTGAATGCAGCCCTTGCTGCACCCAACGTTGTAGTGCATGTGATTGATCGACACAGCAAGGGCCAATTCTACGACATTGCTTGAAATGCGCTCAGATCAATATGCAGTTGACTTCTGATACTACATATACTACTCCGTTGAGTACGAGTGAAGGATGCCCTGTCAATGTGGAATGCGGGGAGTTCTATGATAGGTCCCCTCCACGGTGGCAAAGCTTTGGCCCATATGCTGACGAGTCTACACTTTTGATCGTCTGAAACAACCAGAAGCTCAGAAATCAATGAAATTTGGGCAATTTCAACTAAGGTGATAGGTCATGGGCACGATTATCGGGATAAACCGGACGAGACATATTGGAATAGTCGAACAGATCACCAAGCAGTGAATCAAGTCAGATCGAAAGCAGCGATATCAATGCTAGAAGGTTATTGTCGCGCCGGGATCCACACGGGGGCCGAGGGCATGTTACAGCAAAGCGGCCGCACCGATGAAGACTGCAGCCGCGAAAGTGGTGGCATCGAACTTGCGATCAGACGCAGCGGCATTGAAGGTGGGCGAAGGGGACGAACCACCGGCAGAGCCAGTGCTCGAACCAGAGCTGGAGCTGGAGCTGGAGCCGGAGCCGGAGGTGCCAGTAGCCTGAGCGGAGGAGCCAGTCTGAGTAGCAGAGCCGCCGGAGGAGGCAGCGGTGACGAAACCAGAGGCCGTGGCGGCACCAGAGGTGCCAGTAGAGGTGCCGGTGGCGGTGTGCTCTCCGGTAGAGCTAGCGCTCTCTGCGCGATGATCAGGAACCGAGGGGATGATGCCAAGGAGATTCTGCCTTCTTACCGACTTTGTGGCCGAGCTGGGCGCAGTTGTTGACGAAGAATTTCACTTCGCTCTCACCGCAGTCCTTGAGGATCTGGGACTGGATGTTGCTGGCGTCGGCGCCGCAGATCGCCTTGGAGTCGCCGGGGTTGTCGGTGCCACTATCGGCGATCAGTGGAATTCACCGAACATTCCTCAGAACCCTTCCATTCCTTCTCACTTACCCGATGATCTTGAGGACACAGGCGGGGGTTTGAGCGGTGCTAGTGCCAGCGGCCACGACGTTGGTGAGGGCCATGACGGCGAAAGCGAGGATGGACTTGTTGAACAGCATGTTTGCAGGTTTGAGTGCGGAGTAAAGGAATGGAAAGAATCGCACAGCGAGTCAAGAGATTTTCAAAGAGAGTGTAGAGAGAGTGCAAGACAAAGAGTGACGAAGTTGGGTTAAGTTAAGCTCTGGACAACAGGAACTTCAGTTTTGGTTCCCCCCGAGTTGGGAAGCTGCGATGGGGTCAGGGTCTGTACCGTCACGTATCGGACCCTGACTATCTGTTCGGCTCATATTGAAACCAGGATTCTATACCGTAAACCTCATACATGTAATTTAATCTCCAAGGCTAGTCGTACCAGATCCCAAAATAGACTAGCGTCAGGGACTCATCCCCGGATGTGCTGCACTTTGACTTCGATGGCAAGGCTGCTACTTACTGGATGCGCTGTTACACATACAATCTTAGTACTACCTAGGTACCTAGGTAGTATTGAGATGGATTGCCCGAGGTTCGGATTGTCGTCTCGGAGAGAAGTGTGTTCGAGCTCTATTTATAAACTCCTCTTTTTCCGTCCGAACACCCTCTAGTTAAGTGAGAGCATCACACAAGTACTCCGTAGTTCGAGTGAAAAATGAACTCATACCACTTTTAATGGCTTTCAAAACACTCGCAATCAATAACCCAAAGAGACGAGAAATGAGGAGGAAACTTCGGAAATTGTATGTCGGATCGGAGGCTATTTCACCACCGAGCCCAGATGGTAGTTACAAACATAATATTTACTGTTCTATACTTCACTTCGCCCACCCCGAATCAAAGATACTACTGACAACCTCCTGAACCGGTAACCGGAAATCCACAATCTCCCTCCCATTAACCAGATCATTCTCTGTAGCCCTCTTGTCCGCCTCGGCCTCATCCTTCGCAATGCCCGCAAGAACGTGCCTCGCCACCAGTCTCTGCCGCGCAACTTCAAAATCAACGTCTACAAACCAAAGCTCATCCATCAGCCCCGCAGCTGTCTTCCAAGGCTCCTTATCCAGACTCAGATAATTCCCTTCAAAGAACAGAACTCTGCATTCCACCGGGATGGCAATATCATCATCCACCGGATCTTTCACAGCATGATCGAAACTAGGCGCGTAGAGCGACCCCGTCGTGCTAGTGATTGGTGCGCGCAGGGCCCGCACCAGAGACAGAAACTTCTCCCCGTCGAACGTAAAGGCTGCGCCGCGTCGCGCCACCGCGAAAACCGGATCTGGCATCTCGGCCAGTTGCGCGCGTGTGAAGTGGTACCCGTCCATTGGAAGGGCGCTTGCTATGGGTGTAGGTGAAGTCGGGTTCTCTGAGGCGTAGATTTGGTTGATTCGATGCGCCATTGTTGTTGCTAGACCCGTTTTCCCACTCCCTGGAATTCCACTGATTGCTATCATTAGACGTGCATCATCTGCCGTTGAGCATAGTTTTGCTGGAATGGTCAGCCTGCAATGTCGAGAGTAACTTCACAGAGGTCTCGTGTTTGTGTTGGAGGGCTTACCCCAGGTCTTGTTGACTAGATGGTCTACCTGTTGATCCATTGCTCGGGTGACTGCTGTGATCACGGTAGATTATAGGCTGTATAAAAATAGGGGTGCGTTTGAGGTGTCGAATGAGTTCTGTTAGGGTGAGGTATGATTCTTGGTCTTGCGCAACGTCTTGCGCAACGTGTTGTTGTACAGAGCGATTGAGGGCCGAGGATGCTTCAGATTGCAATCAAACGCGTAATGATAGACAAGGTGTCCTGTAGGGTGTGTCTTGAGTATCTGCCTTCAGAGATGTTTGTAACTTTCGATTTGATAATTCGCGGAGTCGCGGGGCTCTGGCGGAGTGGGGACTGCAGTACTCCGAGGCATACGTCACCGAATGTGTCGCTATCTACTCCGTATGAAACTCCGAAAGTCCATTAGGCCTGGTTTACTACTACGGGATTGAAAAGGCAGTGGCATTGACAATGAAACGGCCCGAGAACTTATGCCTGGTGAGTATAACGGTAATTCCGGGTAAACCTAGGAAAGATGCCAAGATATTACAATGCAAGTCGATGTCCAGGTTCAGATTATTGACCAATGACCAAAAAATATCAGTATAGGACGATCCAAAGGGGTATGTGCTGCTGCAACCAGTACAACACAGCCAGGAAAGAATTGAGTTCATAGACACAAGATGGCTGAAATGATTTGAAACGCCCGCCCATGATGGAACCTCATTAAAAGACGTAAATAAAAGCCCCCAAAAAGACGCCGTCGCCATACAGTCTTGCGGCCCATTTTCATATGTAGAGACGTTGGTCACATGTCTTGGGCTGGCCGAGAAGTGCCTTCATTATCAGTGGAATCCATACTGTCACTGAGGCCTCGGTTGAGCGTGGGTGTAACACCAACGGCCGCCCACCAGTTGTCGGGAACATCCTCACGACTGGCGAGCCGATCCAGAATGTCCTGCATCTGCTGGATCTCATCGCTTTGGTGACGGTGGTCAGAAAGAGTGCGTGCGAGTGTAGGAAGGGGAGGATGAGCGCTTAAGGTTGAGTTCCGATCTCGGCGCACACGCTCATGAACCCCGCGCATGCCTGTCAGACGGGAATCGTAGGAAGGGGCGTCATCGTCGTCCGAAGAAGAGAAGTCGCAGGGGTTGAGATGATCCGGGTAGGGGTCGAGCGTGGCAGGCCTGAAGGTGAGGCCTGGTGGACGAGTCGGGAAAGCGGCATTGCGCGTGTCGGGCGCAGTCACAGAAGCAGAATTAGAAGCAAAGGATGAATCAATTGAGGGAAGATTTGCGTCGGGTGTGATAGTTGACAACAAGGTATCCCAGGCATCAGACTCCCGTTCTCCATCGGGGCTTGGGCTGCGTTGACGGTCACCGAGACCACCAATAATGTGATCGGGGCGAAGTCTTCCTTCTGGTGGTGGTACAGAATTATTGATGGATTGAGAGTCGCGCACTTCGGGGGGCATGTTCGCCTGCAAGAATCTCGCCAGATCGGATCCATAGCTGTCTGTACGACGCAGAGGTGGGAGGCGAACACCGTAGATAGGCGAGTCAGAGCTGTTTGGCATGGAGGGGTGACTCCAGTATGCTGGGGTGGAAGTATGTGTGGAAGGGTTTGAGGAGCCCGGGATTCCGTTGGCAGGTCCATAGCTGGCAAGTAGATTGGCCAGGAGCATATCACGAGTGCTTCTTCGGCGAGATCGTTCACTGCGCCGCTGGCGAGGGGGAGGAGCCCGGGTCCACGCTTCGCGCCGGGAGTCCTCCAGGGTCATCCCGTCCTCACTCGTGCCATTGGCCAAAACGGGCGAGCGCACAGGGAATCGATCCACGCTGGTCTGGTTGCCTGGACCACCACTTCGGAGTTCATCGATGATCTGGGAGTGGAACGAAGACAACAGACCAGAGCGACGCGAACGGTAAGCGCGTCCTCGCCGACCGATCGATGAGCGTGCAGCGGCGGATGAATCTTTCTCTATCGCAGTTTTGTTTGCTTCGGCCTTCGCAGGCTCACGCCACATCCTGTGATGATTAGTATAACGTGATGCAGTGGCGCATGTAACAGAATGTGCCCTCGGAATGACTTACGGGATGCCCATGTTTGGAACGGAATAATCAAAAGGATTGAAAAGAAAGACAAGTAATGAAGAAAGGTTATTAAGATGGACGCGACTGCGATAGCGCCGTTGTGGGGGGAAATGGGGGCGATGGGGACGGGGAGATTGGGGGTTTTTTTCCCAGGCAAGTGCTGCCTGAAGGGTGAGGCTACAGTCACGTGTGCCATCTCCCATGGCCTCCAGGGCTCTCCGCGGTAAAGCTCCGGTCATAGTCAACAGCCCACTTTTTGCTTCTTTCGTTATCTCAGTGTTGGCAATGGAGTTTTGAAAGTACTCTGAACCCCTAACTGCTGCAGTGTGCTTCCTCAGGCCGCATTGATCTTACGTCTACAACAACCTGGAGGAATGATTGAATTAGGATTGAGTCGAGTTGCGAGTTTGCTGCAACAGACTCCGCTCACATGGAAAGCCATCCACATTGCTGGGACTAACGGCAAAGGATCTATCAGTGCCTACCTATCCCATCTCCTCGCGACTGGCGGAGCACGTTGCGGACGGTTTACTTCCCCGCATTTAATCGATCGGTGGGACTGCATTACAATTGGCGAGAAAGTGGTCCAAGAATCACTATTCCGTCAGATTGAAGATCAGGTCAAACTCCGGGATCAAACATTGGGGATCGGAGCCTCCGAATTCGAGCTGCTGACCGCAACGGCCTTCGAGATATTCAACCATGAACGAGTCGATGTGGGAGTCGTGGAGGTGGGAATGGGAGGCCGCCTTGATGCTACCAACATTCTAAACAATGTTCTTGTGTCGGTGATTGCGAAGATCGGAATGGATCACCAAGCTTTCCTCGGATCTACGATCGCAGAGATCGCTCGCGAAAAAGCGGGGATCTTGAAGCCCGGAGTCCCTTGTGTGGTGGACAACACAAATGACCCAGAAGTACTTGAAACCGTTAAAAGACATGTTCAAGAACTGGGAATTGAATCATCTTTCGTTTCTCCTGCGCAGTGTCCGACACTGACACCCTACTTCAGGGATCTGGACCTAGAGCCCCACCAGCAACAGAACATGTGTTGCGCTGTCTCCGCCTTCAACCTTGCATTGCCTTGTCTGAGTCCTCTTATGACGACTTCGGACGTTCTCTCGCTACTACCAGGTCTTGCCCAGGTACAATGGCCAGGTCGCTTGCAATCTCTCGACCTCCGACCACTTATTGATCGCACAATGCCCATCCTACTAGATGGCGCTCACAATGCGCAGTCTGCCGAAGTTCTTGGCAAGTATGTGGACCGCAGGATGCGGTCGGAGAGCAAACCTGTCACCTGGGTAGTTGCTGCATCGAGCGGAAAAGACCTTGCCGGGGTTTTCGGCTCCATCATTCGCCCCGGGGATCGCGTTGCCACCGCAGAGTTCGGCCCTGTAGATGGAATGCCCTGGGTGCAGTCGACCAACGCCGCCGAGCTTGCCTCTTCTATCCTGGCCATTCAAGATATTGGGACGGTTCAGAGCTTCTCGGGCGATCTACTGCCAGCGCTCCGATGGGCCAGCGATGAGGCCCACGATGGCCCTCTTGTCATCGCTGGTAGTTTATATTTAGTCTCTGATGTGTTGCGTCTTCTCCGTGAGGCACAAAAGTGATACCCCATATAGATCGTGCTGTTATCCGCGAGATGCAAATTTGTAAATAATCGAACACTTTATGTCAAACGACCTGTATATTTTTCTTTCTTTCTAATGCCACGAATATCCCACGTACCCCATCACAGAATTGAGTGTAAATGCAGGACGTAGGCCTGAAATTGTCAAGGTAGGGCTGATCTGCGATGCGATTGTCCGACGCCTGATACGGCGGGTGGAGCACGAAAGTTCAAAACAACCATTTCCTTGCGGTCAACTCCCTGCACGCTTGATCGCCGCCTCTAATCAAGTCGCACTTTACCACATGGTGATTTGCAGTTTCTCTTGCATGCGCCTCGAGTTCTCGCGGAAACAGCTCTCCAGGGTGTGAGAGCTGAATCCCTCCTGTGATGTCCACTTGGTGAGACCCTGACCCCCAGCGTGTACTTTCGATCTCAGTGCGTCGTCGTTTCTTCCTTGATGATTGAAGATTAACACATCTCCCAGTTAGGACCTGCGGACATGACCTCGGAGACCTTTTGCTATCAGCAGTTGCCTCCTTCCCTAGCTTCCACCCCACTCTCTACCTGAAACCGCATCCCGAAAACGATAGCTTGCCTGAGCACGACCGGGGATACCGTCGATCCTGGTCTGTTTCGATATGGTCTCGCGATCTGCCGAAGGGAACGAGGGGCAGCCCCGTCCTCTCACCCCCTCCTCGAGAACCCCCGGGACCCCGATAAAGCCGCGATTGACCCGAGCCGGAACGAGTCCGACGAAACGGGAGGAAAAGCCGAAGGATGACAAGCTCAAGTCGTCGGCGAAAGATGTCGCGGAGCTCAAGGACTATGTATGGATGCTTCCCCACATGTTGGATCGGGGAGACGCTGACCGTGTGGTTTGACATCACAGCAACTGGGCGACTGCCTGGGCAAGGGAGCGTTTGGCTCTGTGTATCGTGCGCTGAATTGGAATACCGGAGAGACTGTTGCTGTCAAGCAAATCAAGCTGACGGACCTCCCAAAGAGCGAACTGCGCGTTATCATGGTAGGATATATCGCACACGATCAATTGGCGTTGCTGACACGGAGGATCACAGCTGGAGATCGACCTCTTGAAAAACCTTGATGTGAGCCACCCCGCCAAAACATCTTGACCTGCTTACTGACGTCGATGGCAGCATCCCAACATCGTGAAGTACCACGGGTTTGTCAAGTCTGCGGAAACCCTCAACATTATTCTCGAGTATGTCCGTCCGATCTAGAACCAGAGAGGCAAATACCGACTGACAGCTCGCAGATATTGTGAAAATGGCTCACTGCACTCCATTGCAAAGAACTTCGGACGTTTCCCCGAGAACCTCGTGGGTCTCTATATGTCTCAGGTCCTCCATGGCTTGTTGTACCTGCATGAGCAGGGAGTCATTCATCGGGATATCAAAGGTGCGAACATTCTGACCACCAAAGAAGGCCTGGTCAAACTGGCAGATTTCGGTGTTGCCAGCCGAACCACGGGACTCAGTGAATCAAGTGTGGTTGGCACACCATACTGGATGGCACCTGAAGTCATCGAGCTTTCCGGCGCAACAACTGCCTCGGATATCTGGAGTTTAGGATGTACGGTCATCGAGTTGCTGGAGGGCAAACCGCCATATCACAACATGCAGCCTATGCCAGCATTATTCCGTATTGTTAATGATGACCATCCTCCTTTCTCGCAGGGCGCTTCACCGGTACAGTTCAGCCTACGTCTGATATACACAAGAAAGACACTAACCCGATACAGGCCGTGAAAGACTTCTTGATGCAGTGTTTCCAGAAAGACCCGAATCTTCGAGTTTCAGCCCGGAAGTTACTCAAACACCCATGGATTGTCAATGCCCGGAGAACTGAATCGGTGATTCCCAAGAAATCTACAGAATACGAGGAAGCCGTCAAGAGTGTTCAGGAATGGAACGAGGCTTTGAGATCACCTGAAGCAGGCACCTCAAAAAGAAAGCCAAAGCCTGAAAACCCGCCTAACCCAGGCCTGCCCTCCACCAGAAACAACCCTCTGGTAGATACCCTACCATCTCCAACTTCCATAAAAGCTACAGACCGCTTTAGATCGCCTACCATTCCTGGCGAGGACAACTGGGACGATGACTTTGCCTCTGCTATTTCCCCAAGCGCACTTAAGTTGCCGCATCTCCGACCCCACGATAATTTCGGAGGCATGCTATCCTCTGAAAAGCTGAAGGCTTTCGCTTCCCTTGATGGAACTATCCTCAGGTCAGACGAAGGTTCTGACGGGTCAGATGACATTTCAGGGTTCTCGGACGATGTGCAGACAATCCGACCCTATCCTTCTAAACCTTCGGTGGCAGACCCCTCTAAATCTCAAAGTCCCACGCGCCCCCAGAATAACACCAATGCACCTGTTCCTACGATGCAAAATGTCCCAATACTTGCTCAAAACCCCATGCCAAGGCGCTCCCGACCACCTGCTCGTCCGGCCACCCTGTTCAAAGAGACCTCGGTTGACGATTATTCTGATCTCATCATGGCCAATGAGGATGTATTGGATCGGAAACTCGGCGGTTACCAGGTACTTAAGACAACACTGCTTGCGGCTTCTCATCTAACATACTACAGGACTTTGACGATGACCCATCTTCGCCTATTCATGAAAACATTGGCTATAACCCCCCAGACGAGCAGTTTGGTTTCTCTCAACCGCAGTTACGCAAACAGCTTTCTGTGAAACGAGATCGCTCTGCCATCGAGATCCAGAGGTTTGCAGAAAGTGAAATGGATGAAGACTTCTCTGACATACTAGGGGCTGATCAAGCCACTGTGGATTCGACTGATAGCGACGATGGCTCTGATCAAAGTACATTGATGCTGAACTCGAAGCTCAACAGTAACGCATGGCTAGGCGACCAAGACGACGAAGATGACCCCTTCGCTCAGTTGGAGGAAGGCTTCGACGAGGTCAACCTTGAAGAAAACATTGCACGAGACAAATACGCACGGCTCCGAAACCAAGTTGAAGGTCTTGTGGATTCCCTCAAGACATCACAAGACGAGGAAGTTCTCGCAGATATCTCTGAACAGCTGTTCAATATATTTTGTGACCTTCCGGAGACCAAGAACATCATCATCAGCGCTCACGGAATTTTGCCCATTCTCGAAATTTTGGATACAACTCGACGACGGGATATTGTGTTCTGCCTTCTGAGAGTTGTCAATGCAATCATTTACGATGACTATGAGGTCCAGGAAAACCTCTGCTTCGTTGGGGGTATCCCCATCATCAACGAGTTTGCGTCAAAGAAATATCCTCGCGAAATCCGGCTAGAAGCTGCAGCTTTTGTCCAGCAGATGTATCAAACCTCAACTCTGACTCTCCAGATGTTTGTCAGCGCAGGAGGCTTGAACGTTCTAGTTGAGTTTTTGGAGGATGACTATGAAGATGAACGCGAGTTAGTCTTGATTGGCGTGAACGGAATCTGGAGTGTTTTTGAGCTGCAAGTAAGTGTTCTGTCGCCGTTTCCCAAGTGCTATCCAGGTCTGACCACTCTGTCAAAGGGTTCTACACCCAAGAACGACTTCTGCAGAATTTTGTCGCGCAACTCTGTTCTTGATCCCTTGTCACTGGTCCTGAGCCGTGTGCTAGATGAAGACGGAGAACTGGCAGAAATAATTGAGGGCCGCATTGCCAATATCTTTTTCATATTCTCGCAGGCCGAGAACCATGTCAAGGAGATGGTAGCCGAACGGACAGTTTTGCACAGTAAGTTTCAGTTCCTACGGGTGCTTCTTGCGATTTCGAATACTAACAATGCATTTTAGGAGTCTTGAAAGAACTGAGGAGGATGAGCCTCGTCCACCAAGTGACGATGCTGAAGTTCATCAAGAACCTGTCTATGCTTTCGACTACCCTTGATTCGTTGCAGAATTCCAATGCCATCGACGTTCTGACTGATATCCTCAGATCGAACCTGAAACGCGCACACTCCCGCGAGGTATCGAATCAAATTCTCAACACTATCTACAATATGTGTCGTCTAAACAAATCTCGACAAGAGGACGCGGCGCTCAATGGCATGGTGCCACTTCTGCAGAAAATTGTGATGGAAGAGCGTCCTTTGAAGGAGTTCGCTCTTCCAATTCTCTGCGACATGGCACAGTCTGGAAAGGTCGGTCGCCGCGAGCTGTGGCGAAACAAGGGCCTCGGCTTCTACATCTCCTTACTAGAGGATCCATATTGGCAAGTTACTGCCCTGGATGCTATTCACACATGGTATGTTCCTGAATTTCAAAATTGATGGATCCATCGCTGATCACGTATAATAGGCTACAAGAAGAAACCGCCAAGGTTGAAGAACACCTTTTGGAGGGTATTTTTGGAGATAAAACCTTCACTGATGCCGTCGTGGAATGTCTTGAGCTTTCCAAGGCCAACGCATTTGAGAACACCCTCGAGCCCCTACAGAAACTTCTGAGATTGAGCCCTCATGTTGCATCCACTTTTGTGCGAGCTGATTTATTCACGAGATTGAGACAAAAGCTCCATCACAGCAAAGCAGCTGTTCGTTTGAACCTGCTCCGCATAATCGCCAGCATCTGCGACTCCCACGAGGAAGGAGGCGGACTGCTCGCGACTTTTGGTCTTCTGGATTCCATTCGCAACATGGAGAACGACCCTGCCATTCTTGTCAGAGATATGGCGGGCAAACTTGTTCGCTCCAGCGAAGCATTTGGCATCAAAAGAAGACCGACGACAGCTCGGCGACAAAGCACATCTACTCCTCCACCCATCGTCTTCCCAGGATCCTCTGCCCCATCTACCCCTTCATCCAACCGTACCGGTCAACCCAGAGGATATCTGGATGGGCGCGAGACACCCCGACACCCACGCAACTCACTTAGCGTCTCTTCGCTGGCCATGAGGCCCAGCAGTCGCGATGGAAGCAACCCAGTCCTCGGGTCTGCCGTGAATTCGAGCAATGCGGCCGCAGCGAGACCTAGGTCGGCCCGACCTCTCCCTAATCGAATGTCTCATGTGGAAATTCTGCGCGAAGAAGATAGCAAGGCCCCCGGCTCCTTGAGCCGTCGGCCCTCCATCATCCCACGCCGGCGCCGCCCTACCATGGCTGATTCTGAATGGGCTTGATTTGATACCTGATTCGAATGCAAAAATTCACGTTTGTATCATTCTACATACGATCTCTTTCCCCTTTTGTTTATGGCTGTCCCACATCGATATCGGCGTTCTTAACAGGTGGACCTGCATTGACGGACGGCGCTATAAGTGTGCCAAGCCCCTTTGTTATTGTGGAAGCACTGGCTGCTGCACATAGAGTACAAATACTTTTTGAATCCAACATAATTATGTGATGTTCTATCGAGTCCGTACAATCGTAGTCGGGTGTTTTCGAAATGACGTCTTTTGATATAGATCATCACGTGCAGCGCCGAAGCCGATTGGCGGCGAAGAACCCTGAAAAATCCAAGATCATACGATTGAATTCAACTTGGCACCTCATCCCCCCCTTTCGCTTCCCTTTCCTTTCTTTCTGGCCGTTGGCCCTGCTCCGGGATGAGCGCAGCGTATCGCGTGCCGTGGCGGGCGTTCAAGATTGAACCCGCCACGGTAATCGGGAAAACACCCAAAGCCACACCTGGCTCTCCGTTCGCTCTTTCGGGCCCACGATCCTCAGCTCGCCCCGTATACAGCACTTCGCAATGGTCTTCTTGGGCTGCTCGTCGATCGTTCTCCGCCAAGGCGCCTCTCCGGTCGGGTGAACAGCCTACCTCCGGGAAAGCCACAGGATCGCAGCGGAAGCTGATCAAGTGGTTGGCTATCGCTGGTGTTGTCGGTATAGGCGCTGTCGCGTTCTCTGAACAGGCGGGACATGCATTTGGTGCGGCGAAGCGCAGTGGCCGCGTTGTGGGTACATTAGCTGTCTGTATCAATGAGTGAGTTTTGCTCTGGTTTTATATACTCCTCGAGTTCGGGCTCTGGGCCGTCGCTAACAATTGACCGATAGTTACCGCGTCACCCTCAAGCAAGATGCTTCCAGTCCCGAAGAACACGAAGCGTTGATTCGTGCATGTCACCAACGCTGCGCCGAGCGGACCCTTCGCGTGCTCGAGAAGAATGGCTCGATCTTCATCAAGTTGGGTCAGCACCTCAGCAGTATGGGATACCTGCTGCCCATTGAGTGGACCTCGACTTTCATTCCGCTACAAGACAAATGTCCCGTTTCGTCCATTGAGTCTATTAACGAATTATTCCGCAAAGACACCGGCCAAAGCATCGACGAGCTCTTCGACTCCTTCGAACCGACACCTACTGGCGCTGCTTCTCTGGCCCAGGTGCACATCGCTACGCTGAAGGAAAACGGACAGAAGGTCGCTGTCAAGGTACAACATCCCGCGCTCGACGAGTGGGTGCCACTTGACCTCGCTTTAACTCGATTCACTTTCTCCATGCTCAAGCGCTTCTTCCCGGACTATGATTTGGAATGGCTGTCAAAGGAAATGGACTTCTCGCTGCCCCAGGAATTGGACTTCCGCATGGAGGCGCAGAATGCCACTCACGCAAGCGACTATTTCAAAAAGCACTCTGACTCTCCATTGGTTATTCCCGAAGGTGCGCATCGCCATAGCCTGTCCCCCGCCAAGCTAACCAAGCCCAGTGATCTGGTCCCAGAAACGTATACTGGTGATGGAGTACATCGCCGGCCAGCGCCCGGACAACCTTGCCTACCTTGACGCGAACAACATCGACCGTGACGAAGTCTCCGCCGCCCTAGCCCACATTTTCAACGAAATGATCTTCGGCGAAGACGCCCCTCTTCATTGTGATCCACACGGCGGCAACATTGCCATCCGACCGAACCACACACGCTCGCACCCGAACTTCGACATCGTCCTGTACGACCACGGCTTGTACCGCAACATCGACCGAGACCTGCGCCGCAACTATGCCAAGCTCTGGCTGGCTGTCATTGACGCCGATGTTCCCCGGATGCGCGAGTATGCGCACAAGGTCGCCGGCGTCACGGATGAGCAGTTCCCGCTCTTTGCGAGCGCCATCACAGGGCGTGATTACAGCGTGCTCACAAAGAAGAGTGTGGTGTCTTCGCGTACGGCGGAAGAGAAGGATGACATCTCCGGCGCTTTGGGTGAAGGCATGTTGCAGCAATTAGTTGTTTTGCTGGGACAGGTTCCGAGGATCATCCTGCTTATCCTCAAGACCAACGATTTGAGTATGTTTTCTGCGCTCACGCTCTTCGTCCCTACAGTGGCTAATACCCTTCCAGCGCGAAGTTTAGATGAGAATTTGCATACTCGTCAGGGTCCGATGCGCTCGTTCCTGATTCTGGCGCGGTATGCCACCCGCACTGTCTTCCAAGAGCAGATGGAGTTGATCAAGGAGTCTGGCGGAGTCTTTGCCAATTTCTTCCGTTTCCTCTGCGCCTATACCAGCTACCTCCGCGTTGAGGTCAAGCTTTCTGTCTATGAGACTCTGTTGTCTCTGAAGACTCGTTTCGGCATCCGCAGTGCTTAGGTGGCTTTGTCTTTGGTTTGGTTTATTGGATATCCCTTTTGATTTTGGGCACGGATTTAAATTCGTGCATCAGCGATGGCGTTTGCATTTCTTCAGTGTTGGCTCCTGAAGTCGTCCAGGGTCGCAACGGAAAACGACCCGAGATGTTGTACAATTAGATAGACCACAGATACACATTAGACGGGATTTTACATATGTACTACTTCGGATTTCGGGTGATATTCTGGATTCAGTATTTCATTAAGAAACTTATCAAGGCGCTTTTCAAAGGGAGATGAGTATCGATCAAGGATCCCGAACCGAGCGCCGTCAGAAAAAGCAAAAAAAGGGCAGAAAAAAGGGAAAGCATCACGAAGCGTGAGAATAAAGTATGTACAATCAAACAAATGACAATTTGCTTGTTTTCGTCCACGGCATTACCGAAAGTAAGAACGAGTTGAGTTGGTCAAGTTTCCCGGAGTCGGACATCCTTGAAAAAAAGATTGTGTGGAACAACCGCGAAGTCGCAGACCTCATAAACGAGTGCGTCGCATCAATCGACACTTGGAAAAGAAACTTAGATAGCAGCGGCGGGGGTGGAGGTCTGCTCGATCTCGACCTTGACGTCGGGGATTGAGCCGCCTGTCCCGGAGAGATCTGTGACCCGGGTGTTGGGGTTCTTAGTGTAGTAGTTGGCGATAGCGGACTTGATGGCATCCTCAGCGAGCATAGAGCAGTGAACTGATCCCGAAATCGTTAGTAAATTAAAACATGACGTGTGGGGTAAGAGGAAAAAAAAAAGTCACTCACGCTTGACAGGAGGCAAGCACAACTCCTTGGCCACATCGGTGTTCTTTATCTTGCCAGCTTCGTCGAGGGTCATGCCACGGACGAGCTCGGTCAGGTAACTGGAGGAAGCAATGGCGCTGCCGCAACCGAAAGTCTTGAAGACGACATCATCGATACGGCCGGAGTCCTTGTTGACGCGGATCTGGAGCTTCATGACATCACCACAGGCAGGGGCACCGACGAGGCCGGTGCCAACGTCTTGATCGCCCTTCTGCATGGAGCCGACATTGCGGGGGTTGTTGTAGTGGTCGAGGACCTTCTCGTGATAGCCGCGGCGCTGGGGGGCGAGGCCGCGGAGAGTAGGCTGAGTCGCCCGCACGGAGGCGAGGGGCGAGAGGGTGGAGCGTGTCGCGACAGAGCCAACGCGGGGCACAACTGAAACGATGCGTTTGAACATTATGATGGTGTGAATAGTATGAAGTTGGTAGGGATCTGATAGGGAGAGGGAAAGTGATTTCATAAATAATCTGATCGAGCCTTAGATAAGCGCGCTAGTCCTAATGGGGTAGTGTTCAGTGTCCGGATTCGCCGGTCGTCGGAGATGACAAAGATGACGTTCTAGCCTCTCCTCCTTTATTTGCTGATTTACACTGATTGACACTGATTCACTGATTCACACTCTCTGGAAAACTGGAGCGGGTTAAGGGTGATATCACGGTGTGGCGACCCTGTTACGTTCTCCGCGGTGGACTCCCGGTCAACGTCTGGTTTTCCCGCCACCAATTGCTGGGCAATGATATCAAATGGTGGAGCAAACTGGAAGGGCAGTGATAGGCAGTTCACCTGAGTTCTGATTTCTTCGATTAAGTGCGAGTCAAGTAAACGCTCTACAGGGTATATCCTAGGCTTTTTGGTCTGTCAATTCAGAATGTCAATGGACTACTGAGCATACGGAGATATCGCTTTGCTCCGCGGAGCCGGAGACGGAGCTCGGGGGTTCGTATACCTCATTGAGCGTGTACCCCTCATAGATCCCGATGTCGATATCTCGACTTGCGCAAACACCGAAGAAACACCTCAATACGAAGCTTGATCACATCATGGGAAACCCAATCACATTGGACATGTATACTATGGAGGACCCTGTGATGCAAAGCTCAGTGCAAGCTCAGTGCAAGCTCAATCCATCCAATTGACTACAACGCCTCTCGAACAGCAGATTTGTACTAAAGAGAACGTCAGCAAACCTCTCAACCTTGAAATCCTCACATTAAACTTACCGGGATAATCTGCGCTTTCTCCAAGTCCCATACCCCGGACTCTACGTAGATATCCTTACGGAGCAGCTCCAGTGCCTGCTCCGCACTCTCAGCAACAACCATCATCATACTGCCCTTGAACGAGGGAGTCTCGCCTTCCGCCGGGTGTGCATTCAGCATGGCACCTGCAATCCATCAGTCTACCCTGGTCTCCTGACTGGGGATCATTACAAACTCACCGCCGGCCACAATGGCACCGGATGCAACGTGTGGCTTCACGCCCTCGAGGTGGAGACTGGGACCGGTTAGCCATGTCGCGTCTTCCGGGGGGAGGAACTCACGGGCGGACTTCCATGCGCTTGGCGTGCACGCCCGGCTTGTCGGGGAGGATGCAGAGGAATTCCTTGGGTGCGGTGGACATCTTGCGGGATTGGAAAATCGGGGATTGGATACGAATGGAGGGGAGTTGGGGACGGATGAATTGGTGGGGGAAAGCGGGGACCCTCGATAGGCGGGCGAGAGGTTTGAACATCGTCAAGACCTAGGTACAATGCAGAAGAAATACAATCGGAGACTAGGCGGTTATGACAGATCTGGGCCGTATTCCCGTCCCTTGGCGGATATAGCACATTGCAGAACTCCTGAATATATACAGATCTAAGGTCAACGCCGAATCATGGAACAAAACAGAGCAGAACCAATATCAACTAGATTGGATATGACAGTCCGGATGCAGGACCCTATGTTTGCGCAAGAAAAAAAAAAAAAAAAAAAAAAGATCGAGGTTTCAACTCGAGTGTACATGCCAAGATCCAACCGGAGTCTCAGACACAAAGTATATCAAGGTCTGGAGAATGGACTTTATAGACCTGCAAACATTTTCCCCCGTAGCGCCAAGGTAACAAATACACACACGCCCTAACACTGGATTAGGGAAATCATTAGGCTTTCGGTCGCGAACATCCAAAGAAAAAAAAGAGAAAGGAGAAAAGGTCACAAGGGAAAGGAAGTGAACACCGCCGAGTGCGAGACCAGCGGAGATGGATGTTCGACGCGGAATCAAAGATCAACTTGAATCCCAGATGTTTCCCGCAAGGCGCAAAACCTAGAACGCCTTGCGGTCGCCAAGGTTGCCGGGCTTCTCATCGGTATCAATGTGCCAGACCACGTAGTTGGGCAGTCCAATCACCTTGTAGCCAGCACGCTTGGCCATCCGAGCAAAGCCTTCGGTCTCGGCTTGGTTCTCGAAGGCGTAGGCGGGGAAGTTGATACCGGAGCGGTGAACGTCCGCCTTGACGAGGATGTTGACACCACCAATACCATCAAGTTCGACCTCCTCATCTTTGTTCTTGCGCCAGTCGCCCATTCCAACGAGGTAGGTACGGCCGGTGTCGTATTCCTTGTAGCCTTCGGCCAGAACAGTGTCGGCGGGAAGAGTTGCGCGTAGGCGGCGGCCCTTGTCGGACTCGATCCATGAGTTGTAGTCGACTAGAAAGAAAAGCAGTCAGTATGCGGCGTCCCTCGAAAAGTCTCAATTGTGGCTTACAGCGACCCTCAATGTCGTGACCATCCCTGTAGCGGTGGAACCAGATGTCTAGAAGAAAGCAATGTCAGCGAATACTCTATCCGATACTGTGAGCAAGGTCACATACTAGGAACGAGGATATCCTTGTCGTGGGCCATGAAGTCCTCCAAGATCCGCTCCGGGCAGTCGGTGATGTCCACATCCCGCCAGTACACCCAGGAGTGATCCGCCTTGAGAGCGGAGTAAAGCAGGTAGTTGCGGGCACGACCAATCGCCTTGCGTCGCGGGCCCTGGGCCTGGAATGAATGGCGCTCCTCCACGCTCATCTCGGTGTCGGCACCGAAATCCTTCCGGACGACGGTCGCACTGCGGAAGCGGACCTTCTCATCGGCGTGGTTCTGGATCCGGTCCAATTCGGAGGCCAGGTTGGCCAGGGTCTCGTCCTTGCAATCACCGACCAGGAAGGCCAGGTCGATCAAATCGTGGGGGTAGGTCAGCTTATACAAGAGGTCGAAATATTTGGCCAGGTAAGGAGCGGCGTCCCGCAGAGGCGTGAGGATGAGGACACGCTCGCGGTTTTGAACGGCCTGGATGGTCGACTTGATCGGGTTCAGGTCGACGTCGTCGATGGAGGTGGAGTTGACTTCGTAAGGTTCGTGGCGGTTGAAGAGGACGGGGGTCTGAGCATGCGCATTCCACTCAACCATCTCGTTGAGGGACATCTCCATGGGTGATTTGCTCGATCCATAGCAGTAGAAACTGTGCACGGTCAGTAGAGTCCTGGGGGTCTGGTCCGCACTGTTCTCTCACTTTTGCATCTCGGAGGCTGACTTGCTGACGCCGCGCCACATCAGGAGGAGCAGACCTGCCAGGGCGATGGAGACCAGGAACCGAGTCCTTGTTAACAGCACGACGATTGCCCTCCATGGTGGCAGTCTGGCCTTGGCCGACTTCCAATTAACACCGCCCTTGGGCAACAACATGGCGATACGCGTTGGAAATTCAGGAGTAACCCGTCTCGAAGTTCCCGGCGATAACCCCCCGACCGAACGAATGTGGCGAAGAGAGGGAGGACCGGGGCGAAATGCGAAATGCGAAATGCGAAATGAAGGGTTGATGGGGAGAGAAAAGAGGAGTGACGGGATCGTCGGGGGAAGTGCGCTGCCTGTGCCAAGAAGAACTTAGAACGGCCAAATCAGCCAACTTCAATTGTTCGGCCCTGGATTACTTCACTATGTACGGAGGGCTCAATTGATTCTTTGCTTGTACTCCGTACTAGTTCTCCGTCCTCCTGATCATAGTGACCTCAACGGAGGCGAGCCGATATCAGCCCTATTGCCTATCCCTTTATTTATAGCCTACACAATACCTCCCCCGTACTCGAGGACACATTGAGTTGAATCATATGCTACGGAGAAGGTATTCCGTCTACGGGGTAGTCCTCGTATTCTGGACATGATTCTGTCAGCTGAGCCCCTATATGTATTTCATGTAGGTACATTGCAGGGGTTACGTTGTCGACACGTACAACTCGTATTCCGTCTTTGGCACATTCTGGCTGTTTGCGAGACTTCACCTACTCCGTACTCCTGAGCATACTAGTACTGAGCACGGATTACCTAGGTATAACATCGAGCAGGCTACCAGCATAAATTTTCACGTTTCAGCCCATCGAGACACTTGTCCGTTTCAAAAGTCTCGACCGTCTCCACTGTAGATCGACAGTCTTTCCTTGACACCTGATTCGTCCTTGCACGTTGAAGATCCAATCCGAGTGCTTTGAAGTCCGACTCCAACAGACTCACAGTGCAGTATATTAATACTCAACATCAATATGAGATTGGGTTCCATATACAAGTAGGTGTAGCAGTGGATCGAGCCTGGAATGTTTGATGAACCTCGGGACTCTACAGTAGTGGCTACAGTAGTAAACACAGCTAGGCCCCATGGATGTGACCAAGCATTTCAACGTGCATAAAAAAAGAGCCAGCACGGTGTTCAAAAGACAAAAAAGATAATCTTAAAGACCATGTTGGTATTTTAGGAAGAGCCGAACGCGGGGGTCGAACCCGCAGCCTTAAGATTAAGAGTCTTACGCTCTACCGATTGAGCTAGCCCGGCAAGAGGCTGTTAGATGGGACGGCAGAATAGTGCTACATAAACCAAAAGCCAGACTCACTATGGACTTGCATCTGATGGCTGAGACACTGGTGTTTCTACTCACAGTGTGGACGCAGAGGGCTTTGGTCTTACATAGGTAGCCTCATTTGGAGCCAACTATTAATTGGACGAATCGACTGGAAATATCAAAATGGAATCACAAGTGGCTGGAATTGGGTTATCGTTGTTCGATATGAAGTCACATCTGATCAGTCCGTAAAAAGCCAAATCCTATGACAGTATTGACAATAGGGATCTATGATTCCTACCTAGTAGGCGAGCTCTGAGGGAAACTACAATCAAAACTGTCCAGGTGTCGAGAGTTGACCTAACTTGGGGACTCATGAACTACACACCGAACAGAGCATGCCCCAAAGAGCCTCGGCTCTCTATGAGAGGTATTGCAGGAACTCCCGAGTGAATGAAATGGGTATCTATCTCCTTGGCGGTCAATCTGATAGCCTCGATGAACGCCATGATTCCCTCCGAGATCGGTAGGATACTCCTTTCGATGCAAGTTACGATGATTCCACTACGCTCAAGGGGACTGGGTTCACTTTGAATGGTTCATTGGGTCATAGATATAGACATGAAGATGAAGAAAGTGACAAATGAAACAAGAAAAAAATAAGCACAGCCAAATATATCCAAAAGCACATCCTCTTATTCACACCAACGCCAAAAAGACAGAAAGACAATCGAAACTCCGCCCATTTTTGCAATGAAAAAAGCTGAAATAACAAAGGAAACCCGAGGCACCGAAATCAACAAAGGAAAAAGGGTCTCGAGCAAATTGGGAACTTCGTATGTACCCCAAAGCCGAGGCAATATTGTTACAATGCAGGCGCTGAACGCACAGAGAAGGAACAAGCCAGACGAAAGAGGAAGGGACCGCTGCTGCAAGGGATTCATATGGAATGGGAGGAAGAGATATGAACTCGAGAGAAGAAAGGGGTCATGGAATCGTCAGATCGTCGATCTCCACCGCGCATCTACGGGGACGCGATGAGGGAGTGTCGACGAGGCGCAGAGGCGTATGTGTAGGAGGCGTGCGAAGGCGGGAAAGCAGGGGAGGGAGGGCCAGTCATAGGGGGCGTGGCAGTGAGGTAGGAGGAGCCGAAGGACTGCGAAGTCGAGCTGGGGAGCGCATCGTAAGCGGCCGGCTCAGAAGCCATCGCGATCTCATCGCAGAAGACCCGCAGACCGGGGAGGCCATTCTTCTTCTGGCGCTTGTGCTCGGGGAAATCGAGCAGGGGACCCGGGCTGGTGCTCTCGGCCTTTGGGGAGCGGAACATCTGCTCGTATGACTTGAGCTGGAACTCGAGGGCACGGTTGCGGTCCAGCAGCATCTCGTTCTCGACCTTGGTGACCTTCAGCTGCTGCTGGGCCGTCTGGTTCTGTTGCTGTAGGGAGCTGACTAGTTGCTGGAGCTGCATGCAGCGGACCTGGGGCTGCAGCTTCTCAGAGAGCTGCGGTGTGACCTGCTCCTGGCGGATGAGGTGGACGATGATCGCCAGCATGAAGTCCACCAGGTAGATGGCTCCTTGCACAATGTGTTCCTTGGATTGAGTAAGGCTCTTGGAGGGATTCCAGCCGGCACGCTCGAGGAAGAAGTCGTGGATGCGGCTGTCCAGTTGGCGGTGCAGCTCGCTGAGGTTGCTGCGGCGATTGCCCTCGGCAATGCGGTGCTTCTCACGCTGATCATCTTCAATAGATTGGGAGCTGCCCTTGCGCTTACGCCCGCAGAGCTGCTGGAGTGGGGCTTTGCGGTTGAGGTTCTGCGGGGCCACAAGGGCCATGATCTCGCTCTGTGAGAGGTCGGTGGGCCAGTCTCCTGCGCTCGCCTTCTGCATGGCGAAGGACTCTTGCCAGGAGCTCTCGGCCGAGTTGGCCGGGGAGGGAGGAGCGACGATGTGCTCGGCGGCTGGCCAGGGTGACTTGTATTGGAAACTGTCCTGAGGCCCCGGGGTGGTAGGAACGAGGGCATCTTTGGCGTTGAATGGGTTGAAAGGTCCACGAGCAGGCAAAGGCAAAATCTGAGGCAGAGGGGGGAGTCGACGCTCCTCGCCCACCTCCGAGGGTGTCATGCTTGCCGTTGATTTGAAGGAACTGATCAGGTTAGATTGGTTGACAAGACATCCGGAAAGAGTCACTCACGGGAGAGAGCAGCGGCGAGGGACGTCGTCGGTCAAGTGGGCCATCTCTTCGTACATTGATGTCGATGGTTGAGTCACGATGGTTTATTTGCAGGATACTGTTGATGTCGAGACGTGACCGGAAGATATATACCGAAGGATCCTATGGCCGAAGATATGTTCAAAAGGGGCCGGGTCGTCAAGGCGCAGATAAAACAATAGCGTTGTATATGCACGAACAGGGATATAGACAAAAGGGGAGATATAGACAAAGAGGTTGCAAACACGAGGCTGTATAGAGACAAAGAGGTGGGCTGGGGATAGATGTTTATATGTCCCAGGAGAGTACTTTTTCCAGCAGCTCTCCAGACCCAGGGGAGGGGAACCGTGATCAGAGCCGATCTTCGACAGACATGAAGCGCGGAATCGGAAATGTCATACAGACAGTACACAGTGCATTGTCTCCACCAGAACGGGGAAGCAAGACGGGCATCCCGGCCATTCAGCTAGTGCCCGCTTGGGCCCGAGAGAGGAATCGCTGGAGAACGATGCAAAATACATACTCGGTATCACAGAGTATCTGTCACATCGAGCACAGACCGGGCCCCGTTCAGATCCACGAATGGTGGCGAGTCGATGCAGCCCGAGGGGAGGGTTCGTGAGGATCCTGAGCCCTTGATTTGTCACCGAGATGCTGGGTTACGATCGACACGGGGAAGATTTTAGGGGTGTCCTTTTGATCCTTGCATCAATAGTCGTCCCAATTAATGACTGCGATATTCTCCGATTTCGAGGAAATCCCAAAAGGGTAAGCAGTTGAACTAAGATTCTCTTGCATATTCTAATGATCTATAAGTCCCTACATCGAACCGGTGGTATCACATCCCCACTTGGGGGTTTGAAACGTTCACTGCAGCAGGGCATTTCGATCTCTTGCATCGATATTCAGGAGAAGCTATACTCCCAAGGGGCTTACTCGTTCCTTGGCGGATGGCAAAGTTCAAACTCACCCTAAAGCAAATAGGAGCACGCAAGGAAGCCGTCCGGCTGAAGGATGTGAGGAGGTGACATTGCACGGTCTAGTATACAGGACTATGTAGCTGGTCATGGCATCTCCAAGCCGTATGCCTCACGATCCTGGAGGTTACCTACGAGATGAATCCAACCAAGAGAATTCCCAAGAGGTCCGACCGGAGTGATCGCTCGAGGAGACCAGCAGCTTGGGACCATGACCCAAGCACCAGGGTACGTTTGCTGTCAGATGGCGAATCATGGCGATCTCGATAATTTGGAATTCAACACACAGACGTTAGGGGAATGGACGAGTCAGAGAACTCCATTGACCCGGATTAAATTGACTAAATTACCACTCGAAGTGAGTTGGCTTAGCGAAGCCCTAAAAATGGCACGTTCCCCTGGTGGATATCACCCTATGTTTGGGATCAACACAGCGTATTTCCCTGCGCAATTTCTCGATGCATTACGGAGTACTCTGTAATTCTGTTTAATGAGAAATGGAAGCAGCCTTCAAAGTGCAGTGCCAGTACATATCCTGATACAAATGTCCTTTATCCCTTTGGAGCAATGAAACGAGGGTGGGTCGTCAGAATTAGAGCTGTCATATTCCCCATCTCAGAGCGAGTCAGCGTTCGCCATGCTAACCCCATCGAGGACACTAGTCCCCACGTTCTGGTGTTCGTGTTCTCGATCTCGTGATTTTATTGTGAAGGGATTGGAGATTCGTTCTATGCGTTCTATGCAGTTGATATCATTATTATCTTACATCGGAACAGACACCCGTCTTGAGTCTCCCCTGCTCCGTACAGTATATGAAACTACATAATTTGATTTTCAGATCTTAGCCCCGACCGGTCCATCTCACTAGGTTCCGCGCCTGCGCCTAAGGGCCTGCTGCAGTAACTCGAGGGGAAAAATTAGCCACGAACCCTCAAACTCTGCAATGGTTCCGGTTGTTCCCCGGGCCCATCTGGGCCCAATGATCTTCGCATTTATCCTCTTCCTGTCTCCTTGCCTTGGTGACGTGCATCGACCTCTTCTCCGGATCTCCAGGACGGGAAGTAAACTTTCAGAGATCAGAGATCGGGCTTCTTAGCTTCGAGCTCTCGATTACGTGCCTGCGTGAACGGAGTACGTCACGATAATATGCATCTAATGTCCGTTCTGGGGATCGTGCATTACAGGCTCTCCAACTCTGGTCCCAGTGGCTTGTGGCATTCACAGCCATGGCGGACTACGTAGATTGCAAAGGTCTCCCATGCGGCTCTCGGGTGTAAGGAACCCAGCCACCTCGTCAGTCCCAATTATAGCCTTCGCTCGATTACAGTTATCGCAACGCCTCCAAGGCCAATGATAGGGTCTGTCGCCCTCCTCGCGCCAATTTATTCCCAATAGTAGAAGTTAGCAGGCTCAGCCGCTCCCGTGCCGTCCCTGACCTGTCAAGTTTCAAGTGTCAAGGACGGTGGGGCTGTGTAACGGGATTTTTGATTTGCTACATTTACATACATTGGACATCACGATTTGAGATACTCCAGTCAGACCTACTGGACGGAAGGGGAATCCGTGGCTCTACACGTCCAGAACCGTGCCAAGCAGGGGAAAGTACAGGTTCATGCACGATGCGAGATCACCTTCCCGGCGACTCGTATGTAGGGTGGCAACAAGGATCAGAGAATTTGCCGCAATTCCATGCACCTAGCGCATGAACACGGTTGCTCGATCTCTGCTACTTGTTTCCGAGCTCTCGGATTGGGTGGCTTGGCTCAGTAAGATTAGCTATACATCCAAGATGCAGCCTGGTTCTCTATTTGCGTAGATACAGTAAATTGCCATCATCTCTTTCGAAACCGTCAGGCATGAATTTGTTGGCTCGTGCTGGGCTAGCAGATGTAACGAGGTGTACACGGGCCATGACGGAAGGGGCACATAGTCCATGATTTGGGTCTATTTGTTTACTTGAAGCCTAATTCCAATTGCTGCCCGGGTGAGCTCGGTGGCTTATCTGGGCAAATGGACAATAATTGCTACGGGTTATCGACTGGGACAAAGGCAATCATGATCCACGGTCATAAAGCCATGTGGATCTTCGGCGTCCACCTGGCCCTCATCTTTACCCAGGTTCAAGGAGTACAGAGCACCGGATACCAGATCGGGGGGTTCCAACCGTTCAAAAGTACGAAGATTTCGAATATTGGGGAATTTGTTTTTGGAAATCCTCGTCATGGAAAGCCCATGAGGTGACTCTAGCCCCTGTGCAGGCACACCCAATGCTCTGGATGCAGAGATATTCCCCGACTGGTGCAGCTGCAAGGACACCCCCCTACTCGTACAGATTAGCAGACGCCCACGATGCATGGTCTGTGACTATTTCGGGAACTCAAATTCGCCGCATATGACATGTCTCACTCGAGGGACTCGGGGGCATGCATTCTCACTCCCCGTGGAGGGAATTCCTGAGAGGTACGCAAAGTACGAAGTGCGATGCAATCTGGACCTCGCGCGCTCAGGTCTCGATCTCCCCGTTACCAGGAACACCGTTTGCCTCCAATGCAAGGCGGATGTAGTGGTTGCTGGGCCGGCCCTGGATATGTGCGTTCTAATTCAGGTACCCTTGGTTGTCCCGCTCTGCATCGCCGTGCGAAGAACCGCGCGCTGAGTCCAGCCGTGAATTCGCCCCGTCCATAGGATCTGGGTGGGCACAGTGGCCTTCGTATACTGCACATAATACAGAATGGAGTTGCCAACTCATGTCTTGCACTTCTCTCCACTTCGGCCCACTGAGCGTGGACTGAATGGAAAATCACACACATATCCTGACTCCGCCGTGGACGATGGCTTTTCTTCAGTCTCCACTCTACATTTTCTCGTGGTGCATTCCAAACCCCAGATTCACACTATTGAGATCTCAAGGGGCACATGGTGCAATAGATCGGTCGATCCCGGCTCCCATTCCATTTCTATATTCAGATATCAGATGCCGGGGTATTTGAATAACATCGAGAAGCCCAGTCTTCTACTGGAAGTACGAAGACGTCTAGTAGGGCGTAGCACTTCCCAGCAGAAAAGAAAAAGAGGAAGAAAACCCGAATGAGCGGGTCGCCCAGCCCCGTGGATTGATCAATTGCCCACTCCGTACTTTGTACATTGTGTTAGTGTTTCCGATGTGTGCAGGCACGGGTCTGGAGCCCATGTAGGTCGACCCATGCAGCAATCTATATGTACAGCACATCGAACCCTGTTTCCACCGTCGTCATCGCGAGGTGCAGATCTAATAGATCTAGATGAACGGTTCCCTGATTCGAATCTAAAGGGATTAGATTCCGACAAACTCATCCGGTTCGTCAGCAGCTCTTAGCTCTGCAGTGTGCATATGCCCAATATTGAGTTCCGTGAAGGTGTTTGAGAATGATTTTTCTGCTACGAAGCCGTTGACTCCAGAGCCCGAAGCCAATCAAATTTTCTCTGCGTGTTGTTCTGCGACAAGTTAGCCGCGCTCGAACCCCCTCGTTTCAAGGCGAATCGGATGGTGAGGCTGGGCCCGGTAATGTGGATTCGATATATCGATTTTTTCCCGAACATCGATATCCGAATATTATACTCCGTACTGATATTGAAGGATTATTGTATGTAGTGTAGAATGTCCTTGTTACTCTGTACTCTGTACGGAGTACGTCAGTATTTACTCCAGGGCTACTCTGTACTTACATACAGTCTGCCCTGTCTGGAAATAGTACCTCAAGATCGTCCGTCCCACAAGGCCACTTCCCCTCGACTTTAACTTTCTCTCTCGAACGCGATCTCCCGTCTCGTTCGTACCAGACCAGACCAGATCAGATCAGATCCCCAAACCCCACCGGTGCAAACCTGGACTTATCTTCACAGGTCGGCATTCACATCCTAGCTTCAAAGTGCCCCGTTTCCCCTCTTTCGATAAACTTCGGCCTTCGATCGACGGTTCGGGGATCAGGATGGCGATGCTGGGTCTAGTGGCCCGCGGGAGTAGCTGATTTGCATCCGGGCTCACTCACCGGGAATTGGTGTGGATCGGG